GATATAGTTAGTAACTAACAGTTAGTAACATGCCGTGTGGATAAAGTCTACATATCCTTAAAGTACTGTCTACAATCTATATGTATATACATATGTATGTATATATATATGTGTATGTGGTTAGCATATATATATATATTTGTGTGTCTAATCAATCTGATGGGATTCGCGAGACCTTGCCAGGGACACTGATTTTCATCCAAGAGACTCAAGATTCTGTATGTAGTGATGGCCCTAGCCAACACTAAAATGACACAGGATCCCATCGGCCATTACCGATGAAGATTTGCCAGCGCGCTTCAAATCACTGTCTTCCCAGGCCCCGTTACGGGGTGGGTTGGGAGTGCGCAGCTGGGAGCATGAAAAACGGGGACCGAAAACACTCATCCATCGCCATTCTGAAACACAAACCACGTAGTTGCAAGAACACTGCCTATTGTGTGTCTAATCAATCTGATGGGATTCGCGAGACCTTGCCAGGGACACTGATTTTCATCCAAGAGACTCAAGATTCTGTATGTAGTGATGGCCCTAGCCAACACTAAAATGACACAGGATCCCATCGGCCATTACCGATGAAGATTGCCAGCGCGCTTCAAATCACTGTCTTCCCACCACCCCCTCAGACTGGAAAGTGTTGAAAATAGCTCCTTCAAACTCATGGAATCGTGCAACTGTGACTTGCTCAACATTCACTGTTATCGACTTGAACTTGAACAATTTGTCGTACACCGCCCATGGAGAACGATTAATGCTTGCCCATTGCTGTATTCTAGCTGCTGTAACTGGTTGCAATTGTTGACGGGCACGCGCTATGCCCACTTCGCCCTGACGTATGTATTCCCGTGCTGATCTCTCAGTGCTCCAACGCCCATACAACAAAATGTCCGCCAGGGGTAAACCCTGCCGGGCCAGTTCAGACGCCCCGGAGCGTCTAAATGTATGTGTTGTAAGAGACAAATCATCACATCCCAAAAGAAAGGCCAAACGTTTCACCCAACGCAAAGCTGACGAATAAGAGATGGAAAACACTGGTTCACCGTGAGAGACAGGAAAACGCTTGAAATATTGCATAAAGAAAGCTACAACTGAAGGATTGCGCATCACCACCTTCTGTTCAAGTCCGCGTTTCGTCTGACCCAAACAAAGAATGACCTCAGTTGCCTGCAAAACCACATCCTGCTGCCTCAACGCTAGAGCCTCCCTAACTCTGAGCAATCCCGCATAGCATGAAACCATGAGGGCCGCCAGAGCTGGGCGGTTCAATAGCAATGCGACCGCGAACATGGCATGCAACAATTCAGGAGGGGCCGCTGGAGCCTGCTTAGGGGGTTCTTTCTGACCCCATGCATCATATACCTTCCAGGAAATTCTGAGGCGAACACGTGGACAAACCTTCTGCACTGCCGACAAAGCCCACCCATATTCGGCCCGGTGGTGCCCTGCCTCATAGCCAGACAGGAGCCACTCAGCTACGAATTTGTCCTGATCCTCCTCATCCATATCACTCCACACCAACTGTTGGTCAGCAAGTTCATTGCTGAGGTGTTGAAGTGCCTTGGTGTATTTGTCTATTGTGGATTGCTTCAAGGAGTTGAGCAAGAAAACCTGAACTCGGTCCAGGCCAAACCCACCATCCATACCGACTCTGATTCCATGGAACTGGTGCGGTTTGGTCCCTAATCCTTGGAGCAAAAGGTTTGGAATACGAACGGTTACCAACCAAGTCCAACCGATCTGTAAAATTTTTTGCCAAAGCCCAACAAAGACCACTGGGATATTTAGCTGCCGGTGTGGTACGAAACATGCCATGTTCATCCAATCCAATCAACACTGAATGCTGTTTAGAATGATTGCACTGAGGTGCATGAAGTGTGCAACGTTGTGGCAACAAAAGACCTGTGGGTTTTTTGGTGATGGCTCCAAACATGCATTGATGTATGACTTGATACCGAAGTTGAAACTGCTCACAAAAGGTCTGCGTCTCCTTTGTCGCAAAGAACGACGGGTATGGCTCCCGGCCACGGTCTGCAGGATGTTCCAAACCTACCCAGCCTCCTCGTGCCGCTATCTCCCCCAACATTCCTAGAACAATGAGGAAAAGTGCAGAACCAACCCTAACAGCATGTTCCTCTTTCTCTGTCCGGTTGGGGAGACAGATCCAAGGCTGTAGCCGAGCCCGCAAAGGCCGGGGAGCTGCATGATATGATTGCCCCGGTTTCAAAGGGACATGTCTTGCTGCGGAAATTGTACAACTTGGAGGGGACCCAAAACCACCCAAAACTGACCCAGAATCAATAATATCCAGCAAAAAATTCAGCCATGAATAATCCAAAAGGTCAGCATGACATTGCGGGACATCCGGAAACCCAAATTGTGCCAAGGGATCAACAGCCAGCCCAACGACGTTCATACCAATCTCTGCACATGACTTCTCAACAGCATCTATGAGATCACCATTACGCCTAGGTCCTGAGCAAAGATGGATGAAAAACTTTGTATCGGCCGGCCAAACCCCAAGCTCCCGCAGATCGGATACTGGCTTCGCAGAACCTAACTCAGGAGCGCCCCCGCCAGGCTCACTTCCTCGTTCAAATCGCCTGGACGGTCTGTCTGCTGGATTGTCTTTGCTGGGAACCCAGGGGTAAAAACATTCGTGGCCCCCTGCAATGTTGATGCTAGCCAAGCGCCGACAACGACTGTTCAAAGCCTTGGAACTTGATCGCCCCTTACTAAAGGAACCCACACAGGCTGCCGAGTCTAATGGATGAATGAAACGGCATCCATCGTCCGAAGGCCTCCTCAGCCTATCTTCCGCTGCCCAGCAAATAGCATCTGCCTCACCGAGGGTGATGTGAGTGCTTTCCCAGGGAACCCCAACTTCTGTCCACCGGATTCTCTCGGCCGGCAACCGAACTTTCCTCAAAGGACATGCATGCTCCTCTTTCAATCCTATGCTCCACGGTAGTTTCAAATTGGTATATACTGAAGGATGGTCACTGTACCGGGCCAGAGCCTGCGCCACGTGCGTTGGAATGACCCCAAAGGCTCGGCCAAGGCCTGTCATTGAAGCATCCGTGCACTCAATGCGCTGGCTCCATGGACTTGACAAACTGAACTGTGCAAACCCAATCAGAAGTGCTGACACGCAAAGTTCAACCCAAACATCATCGGGGATGACAACTTTACCGCGCCTGTGATGTCGCACCGAAGCAATCCATGGATAAGCCGCTTGAAAGATTGACCTCAAACACGGTCTAGCTGAAACCCATGCTTCCCAATCAACCTGTCAACCACCGCAACCACCACTGTTGACCTCATTAAGATCATCAAAGTGCACTGTAAAAGATGCCTCCGCTTCTCTAGTGAAACCCCGACCCAATGACCTTCAGGATGAACAAAATATCCCTGAACTTCTTCACCTTCATGCGCGTCAACTGATTTCCGATGATTAGGCTCCACACCCCGAAGACACCAGCACTCCTCCGCCCTGGCCAGCCAAGAAGGACCGGAGGGGGGAGAATTGCCCGCATCGACGTGGTCAAGTGCCCAAATGTCATCAATGATTGAACCCCAAATAGGCAACCCTTCTGGCACCACTATGTCTGGATGTAATCGCTGGTGTTGTGGCAGCTCCGCATCAAAAGCAACCACATCAGTCAAACCCTGAGCCCATCCAGCTGATGGCCCGAACCCCATCGGGGCCGAGCGGCATGAAGGATACCGCTCCCCCCCAGAGGCACCTGCACCAGCTCTGATTGGTGGGCCGCACAGCCACTTCCCCCAACGACGTCCTATACGAAGCCGATGGAAGTAATGCCGCGCATCGCGCTTGCTGACCACAATCTTACCCCCAGACGGAACTGTGACACTACGAAGGGAGGGAATATATGCAAACCGTGGCCTAGGCAGGTGCTCCTTGTCCAAAAGCTGATTAACCTGTGGATCAGTGATAACTCTATCCTCATGTTCATCCTTAATAACCGCAAAAGCCCCAGTTAAAATCTTCTTACCACGATGTTTTGCAACCTGATGGCCCCGCTTCAGAGAATGAAGCCCCGCCTTCACGTTCTTCTTGACCAGCAAAGGGTACGTAGCATCCAGCCAGGTATAGCCACGTTTGACGCACCTGGGACGCTTCCGTGAACGAAGCAACAAGCTTTGAGGACAAAGTACCTGTTTGCTCATAATTGGAAAATGATGTGCCAAATGATCTGCTAGAGGAACATCTCCGGCTATGTCAGGAACACCACCTCGCACCCCCAATGCCAGTACTACCCCGCTGCCAGAGTAGAGTTGACTGTGTCGAGAAAAATTGTCAAGCCCCACTGGGCCTAACGTTGGCTCATCTGTCATCACCAGAGCCCTCAGACCACCCTCAATGCGAGAGTGCACCCGTTGGTGAGCTGCGGAGAGCACAGCATCATGCTGCACTGTCCACTCTCCATGCATCCAATTGAGTGCCGCCACCACCAGGTTACCCCCATAGTAGAGACACAGGTCATCAACATTATCCCGCATACCCCAAGACTCCAGCAACTGTGCATCCTTGCTGATCGGAGGCAGTGGAAAAACATGCTGAGGGGAAACACCAGTCTGCTTCCGATATCTCATCTTAGAACCAGACTTCTTGAATTCGGACATGCACTGCGGAGAGCCCGCCACATGGAATGTTGACTGAACCGCTCGACTGAAAGGATGATCAACCATGGCACTCGTGAGAACTTGTGTCAAAGCCCTACTCATCTTGCCAAAAAAATCGCTAAACCCTTCAGATTCATCCAGTCCACCACCCAAGTGCCGCCAGGCCCTCCACAACCTTCCTCCTAGTTGTTGGTGAGGGCGAGCATGCTGGAGCTCGCCAAGGTTCGCCTGTTGTCCACCAACTCGATGGCTTCGGCCCGTTCCCACGAGCCCCCCTTTTGTTTGGCTGACTGAATGGCCAAAATCCGCTGGCACAGCACATCGCACAGCACATCCAGTGCCTGTGAGATTTCCTTCCTGTTCACTGCATCTAAGATCTCCGCCAGTGTCAACACCTCCTTCACGTCCCGCACCTCGGTCAGACCTGAGAACTGATGAGCCCAAGCCGTCACCGACACATCCCTCAGTTGAGAAGAACGGGTCAGCTGACCTTTGGACAACCTCTGGTACACTGATGCTAGGAAGTGAGCCGTCAAGGCACCTGGATGACGGGCCGCAAATGCCACCAGATCTCCACGCTTCTTGAACTTCAGGCCGTCCACATGGGAAAGATCCGAGTAGGTGACCTTCTTGTCTGTGCCATCGGCCTTCCACCGCAGAGGCTTCTTCTTCCCGTTGGAACTGCTGCTGGAAGAGGAACGGGATCTCGACCGGTTGCTGCTGCTGTCCGATGAGCTTGAGCTCCCCGATCCCTTCTTCTTTTTCTTGCTCTTCTTGTGCCTCTTGTCCTTCTTGTCGGACTTTGTCTTCTTCTTCTTCTTCTTGGACCGCTGACTGCTGGATGGACTGAGGGCCATGGCCTGCAACTGCTGCACAGCTGATTCCAATTGCCTCAGATCCACCTGGTTCTGACCAGCGTCTCCAGGGGGCACGATGCCCAGCCCGGCGGCCCCTGGCTGAGGCCCGGCCAAAGCCGCGCCTCCTCCTCCCCCTGGACCAATGGGACCACCCCCCACCGGTGTAAGAGGGACCAGTGCACCAGCCACTCCCGGCTGATTGACCACCCAACCAGTCGCACCCGCCTGATACTGCTGCAAAATCAGATTGGCCTCTGCTGTTCCGTTTGCCACCTCTGCCACTGATGGGACCCACATTGCTGCCCCTGCCGGTGGAGTGCAGATCCAGTTCACATCTCCATGCACCACTCCAGCTGGGGCCTGACGCGACCCATCGGCCTGGATCAGAGGCAAACGAATGAACATACCTACCATATTCACCAGTGTCCAAATCCAATCCACTCCATCGGTGGAAGTTGTCTTGCAAATTCCAACCTGTCCCCCATCTGCATATGCCAGGACTATCACCTCGTCCCATTCCGGAGGACGTGAGATCAATGCAAATGACCCTGGAGGAAGCACAGGCCCTCCAGCGCCCACCACGGCCATCACTGACCAGGTTAGAGTCCGATCTCGCTCTGCTGTCTGTGTTGAAGCCTGTGCCACTATATGAGACCCGTCAAGCCACTGATGGAAATAAGATAGCCAGCCGCTAAGCACTTGTATCAACCCACCCACAACTCGCAAGATCAATCGCAACACACCCACAAGGGCCCGTCCCAAATCCAAAAGCTCGTGACGTGAGAAATAGAGGATCAAACAAGTACCACAATTGAGGATGGTAAACCAATCGATATCCAAATGTATGTCTGATGACCCGGACCCCCACAACCAATGATGCCCAGCCCTCACTAAGCTGTTCACCACCAGCTCGGGCCCTTCTCAAACACCAGAAATCTCAACCACAAATGAAGGCTGGCAGCTAATCCAACCGTGACAGGAACCACCGCACGATCCATGAAAGGGGAAGGATGCTTGAGCATGAAAAACGGGGACCGAAAACACTCATCCATCGCCATTCTGAAACACAAACCACGTAGTTGCAAGAACACTGCCTAATATGAATCTGATATATATATATATATATATATATACATATCATGTATGTCATGTCATGTCATGTCATGCCATGCCATGCCATGTCATGTCATGTCATGTCATGTCATATATATATATATACATATCATTCATGTACCACAGTGTCACATTACTACCTGCAGAGGCAACATGTTTACCGTGCTGTGTTGTTGTAGCAAGGGTTTCCTGAAATGGACTCGTGATCGTGGGGTTTGAACGGCAGGAGAATCATGAGTACTAATATGAGGCTACTGCAGTAGCTGGATGGTTTATTCATGGAAAAGCCCAAAGAAAACGAATGATAACTGGGGGTTACCCCCATGACTCAGGACACCTGCAGATAGAGTAATCAAGACTATATCATACAATCAATGATAGTGGAATATAAGTGGAATATTTTTACAATTGGTATAATGATGGATATATGTGTATGTATATATATATATGTGAATAATCCTATCCCCCATATATCACCACCAGCCAAAAAACACGAAAGCCATGATGTCCGCCTGAAGCGTCATGCGGTTCGCCGCAGGCTTCTGCCCTCCGGCCTGGCTTGGCATCTCCAATTTCACCATTTTAAGAGGTGGTATAAACCATTCCCAAATGGTTGGTTTATGGCATTGTTTTAACCACATGACATAAATAGAAACATCATAAGACACATCTCTATACAAATCTCTAGCGGAGATGTATCGCTCATGAATGGTCTATGCGTATGCTTCACCGGATCTCCGTGCGAATTTTCTACCCTTCTATCCCTGGCACCTGCGACATGGCTTTCGAAGATCACCTTGGTGCATCTGAAAATCGAATTTCGGCCACTGAGAATTCAGTTTTCTTTCTGGTGATGTTTAGTCGTTGAAAAAACAACGACAGTAAGGTTATGATATAGTTAATGATATAGTTGATTATATCATGTTCTACTTGGGTGATGTTTGGTCGAGGTTTTTAGAAAATTCGAGAAACATGAGTGGACTTGCGATTGTTTTCTGTCCGAATTTTCCCATCATTTAACACCAAATGTGTCATCCAAGATGTCAGATTAACACAACTTCTGAGCCTCGAGCCAGCCGCTTCCAAAAATGCACCCGGCGTTTTAGGCCGGCCACTAAAGTGGGAAACGGAACTGGGGTGGCGGCGACAATCCCGGCAGGATCCCCGGGTTTCTCCCTTGGCCAATTTGTTTGCTGTTGAAAATGAAGATAATGGAGTTGGATAGAGAAAAATTGATCCTGGACTCGTTTCTATTCAATAGTATTCGTCATAGACTGGAACTGTTCGGTTTTCATGAATATCAACAGAGACGATCTCTTTCAGAAAATCTGCAACACGATGCTACGACTCGTCACGCTCGTTTTTTTCAAAGCAAGTTATGTAACATCGAGACTCGTAGACTACATCTGTACAATCTGCCAATCTACAGTCGACTTTCAGCGGCCTCGGTGACCGAATCACAGAAGGGTTCCTCCAAACACACCCGACTGTGGGGAAGCCTGAAGTCACAAGATGCTAGAAGGGATGGAAGATATGCTTACAGCATATAATACAAATTGTTATATATAAACAATATTCCATTATATATAATATTATATATGTATATTATATTTATATATAGATTAATAATTAATTGATAAATAGATAGATGCACCATGAAATAGTATCTTCTGTTGTAACGATCCCTTCGACACCTCACAGGGACGACAACATCCATGAGAATTGCAGCCGGATTACCACGACCCCCAGCGTTGAGACTGGAACGCCCTCAGCTCAAAGACATGGCCTGCGAAGCACCACAATATCCATGGCGAACACCACATCTCTGTATGTTTTTTTTCTATAAATCCAGTGGCAAGACCTCCAGCAGTTTTAGGCTGCGCTTTGCTTCCCACAGTGAATCTACAGTAACTTTATCCCATAAAGATCCATAAAGAAGAATTCAACCTCAGGACCTCCGAGACGCTGTAGCTTTGAAACCATGAGAGCAGTGGCATCGGCGAAGTCCCCGGATTGCAATTGAGGCTGATAGATCCAGTATCACCTCCAATCAATCTGCCCTCTGGAAATCAAACCTGGCGAAAATTATCCATGTGTAGAACTTCCATTTATAGAGGATTTCCCAGCTGGATCCTCCAAAGTTACCAGAGGATTCTACAATTGGAGGTTCATCCATTCATGATTTCTATGATTTTCCCGCTGGGAAAGCTATGAACTTCCATAGCCATGTTTAATAACTTCCAACATGGCTGGCTATTAAAAGTTCGAGGATTTCCCAGCCATGTTTATAATACACCAGAGGATCATCCCATCAAAGATCTCTATAAACATCACCATGTTTTATCACGTTTAAATCCGGTTAAATCCCATTGAGTTCCATGAAATCCCCATTTCATCACCACTAGTTCAGAAAAAACTAACTCGAATCACTATTTAAATCTCCATTTGAATCACTCTTACAGTAGATCACCATATTTTTGGTGAACAAAGCGCTGGCCGGCACCTCGAACTTCTCTTCGAGCTGCTTCAGGCCATCCATGACGTTGGAGATGGTCTCGCCCTGTGGGGTTTCCCCCGGTGATTTCAGGCCACCAATTTATGGCAGTGATTTCATGGTGACTACACAATGGCAGTGTAATTGTTAGTAGTAGTTGTTGGTACTGATTGTTAGTAATGATTATAGGAATAATATGGAATAATGCTGATTGTTAGTAATAATGAAGCTATTTTGGCCCTGAATGGCTATAATGAATCACAATTATTGAATCATAATGGTGATTCATGGCTATTCATGGTTGTTAATCATCATGAAAATGGATGGGATGATAATCCCAAGAACTATGATGAAAACTAACCCACTTGGTACAGTAGTGGATCTGCACCTGCAAGTAGTTGAGCCATGCGATTCCAGTGCTGTTTGGCAAGTCTGTTTGATCATGCCGAAGAAGGACGGAATAAGTTGTGTCGCCGAAAAAAAAAACATCAAGCAATCGGATATGGAACTTACCTGCTCATAAGTGTCCCATTTGGCCTTGCACTGAGGCAGATATTTCAGAGACTCACTCCGCACCAAGCACAACGAACTACCAGCCCGCTGGGATTGAAAACTGAAAATCTCATTTAATATCCTTTTGACCACCAACGGCAATGGCCATGTAGTGATTGCAGTATCTGTAGACAGATAGTTATAAAGCTCTAATCATTAGATGGTCCAATGCCAAAAATAAACCAATTACCATGAATTACCCATAATTGTTGGTTCTATCCCATTATATTATATCCAATAAAATCCAGTTAGATGCCATAAAATCACCATAAAATCACCACGAACTCTCAAAGATCTCCAGAATCGGATGGTTTTCGACCCAAAAAACATCGAGATCAGCAAGATCCCTACCTTGGTGTCGTAAGCGATGTCCCCACTCTGGAACCTGAGCTGGGATGATCCCAGAAGCACATGATATGGATTGACATGGCATCATGGCATATTCGTCTCAATCATCTGTTTGTCTATATAATTCTATATATATTAAATATGTATATATATATATATATTATGTACATATATATATATAATTATATATATATAATGTATACATATATATATATATATTATGTATATATACATATATGACAGGCGATTTCATCGGCAACCTCATGAATTGAGCACTTCCGAAGCCTCATGAACCACTCGCACCTATTCCTCGGAGGCTCAGGTCCTGAGTCTGTGACTTCATGGTCTTCTTGCCACTTTCGCTTATTCTGGCCTCCATCTCGGCCTTGATGCCACAGCTTGGTAGCTAGACATATGCTATAATATACCTCCACTTCTAAGGAGCCACCTGCATCCTGGAACCAAGAAACCTAGGACTTAGGACTTTTCAGGGCTCAAATCTCCCAACCTTGTGCAGGGGACATCAATCCGGACCCCAACAACATCCAACAACCACCCGTTCGGACTCCAACACCAAGAATTCTGAGACCCAAAAACAAAAAAATCCGAAGACTAAGACTAAAACTGTCACAGATCTGGGTTGCCCCCCCCCCACCCCAAAAAAAAAACTTCGGTGATCCGCAGCGAATTCGCTGCTTCGCGCCGGGGTGCAACGGGAAGACCCAGCTCTTCAGAGGGCTTCAGGACCTTTGGAGGAAACTGATAAAGCATGGCAACCCCGGCAAAAATGAAGGAAATATTGGAGGATCTCCATGGAATTCCATACATCAGTAACTCGAGATGTTGACTTCATGATCAATCCACAAATAGATAGTGATATGGAAAAAACAAAATAAAAACAATATGTTCACCCATGTTCCTTCAAGTGTCCAACAAAATGGCGGTACAAGACCCCACAGCAATACAATATACGTACTCTGTGTGTGTGGGTGTGTGTGTGTGTGGGATAACTCAAAATAACCCGCAAAGAAAGGCTCTGTTCTGATAACATCCCAACTTATATATCCACTCGCACGTTGTCTCAACATGTTTGAGATGTGAACAACAGGTTAGTTAGTACAGGTTGCCTGCAGAAACTTTGAAGTACCGATTCTCCACTGCAGGACTCATGTTGGATGCATATGATGCAGATGAACCTGGCCCCTTTGATGGAGGCAGCTCCGTATCCAAACATCAATTCATTCGCTGGCAAAGAATGTACATAGAGGAAAGAAATGGAATGAACGCATTCAAGATGAGAAAGTTTGAAGATGGATGTCTAGAATCTAGACAAAAAGTTGGGTACTTGACCAGTTCATTTTCCCAGCTGTGCATCCCAAAACGGGTGGGTTTTGGACCGTTGAAACAAAATTCTGACACATTGGTGATGGATTTGTAGATTCTTTATGCAACAGCGAACCTCAACAAAGGATTCCAGACCAGCCCTTCCTGCAGCTCTAAAATACACCAGTCGAGGGGAGGCATGTTGGCAGCATCGGCTACAAGTGTGCAAGTTGATCTTGGACTGCAGAACTATCACCACCATTAGCTGGATTTCCCCACGTAACAACAGATCCATCTGCCAGGATCGCAGCAAATGCAGCGCATGTAGCCTGAACCTGCTGAACATTCCCGAGCCGATCTTGGACTGAAGAGCTGTCACCACCAGAACCTCCGCCCCAGGTCACGATCCTGTCGCCCCCAGGCCCGGAGCTTGAAGGGACTGCATCGAATCAGCCAGGACATGCCCGTCTGCAGTGACGAGCTTGAGGAAGCCTTGTTCAAAAGACTTCTGGGCCAAACGTTTCAAGTTTCCAACTTTGGAAGACTCCGCGATGGAAAGGCTGTTCCGCTTTCCGCTCGGCAAAGCTACGTAGACTTGCAGCACCAAAGCTACACTTTCACACTCAGGCATTCGCGAACGCCTCGAGCCAAACTCATACCAGCATGTATAGTCTTGGTCAAAAAAAACGTTGATTTGCAGAATCTCTGCCATGTGGTGATTGACATTAGATCCCTCCATCAGGGGAGGAAATCTATAGGGCTTTACAGGTCAAAACACTGGTGCCCTTCATTTCCACAGCTAGAGCTGGATGCTCATCCCAAGAAAAAAATATTGGCCCAAAAATGTGTGGCTTTCTCTGAAAATCGGGTACCCCTAAAAATCCACTGGTTTATCATTTTCCCTGTTCAAAATTGCCATTTGAGTGCTGAAAAAAAAACATATTTCGCAGGGCTACGAAACAACCAGAGTTCCCGGACGTTGTCGGCCAATACCCTGAGGACGGCCGTGGAGCATTTGATGAAATCCACCTTAGTTGGTGGGCGACCCTGGCTGTGGCGAAATCACCAGAATGCATCAGAATGCGGGTTTTTGACCCACGGTGGTTTTACTGTGAAACCCTCCAATTTGGGGGGCTATTGGATCTGGGTGAACCGAATGGAGACCCAAAATGGCTAAATGCTGGTACTTATGAATCCTGGCAACTTATGGAAACAACTCGTCATACCGACACAAAGTCATACATAATGTCATCTTACCAGCCAGTTCTTATCTCTAGGCGATGCAAAACTCCATGAAGTGAGGCCCATGGACGTGCCCGCTGGGTGACACCTAATGATCCTTCTGTGAAAAAACACGTCGGGTCATTGGTCGCTGGCTTGCCATCTATCAATCACAGGTACCCCAAAAAGATAGCAAAGTCATGCACCACTATGGTAAAGATTCGGAATTTACCCAGTTGTTTAAGATCACTATGGAAAATGGCCCATGTGTAGATGATGTATGATGATTTAGCCATTGAAAACTGTGATTTTCCATAGCTACGTTAAGTAACCAGAGGGTACTTGTCCATCTTCCTAGGGGGTTGCTATGTATGCCTGTTGCTTCTGGTTGTCGGAGGTTATCTGTGGAACAACCGGTGAGCAGTTGGGACATCTATGATGTGTTCAGCCGTTGGTTGATAGGGTTTCCCATGTTGGATTGTGATCACCTGCATCAAACAAACCATTCAGAAATGCTATATCATTGTATCATAGATATCGACAGATATGATAGATATGGGGCTTGATGATAATATAAAGATTATATAAATTATATAACCATCATATCTGGTTCAAACCCATGTTTCTTGTTTCTTGTTGGTAAATATCTCCATTTCTGGTCAATCCAGCATCTAGGAAGTTGGGGTTAAACACCCTCCATCCAACTACATAAGGGGGGAAATGATTACCGAGTGGCTACCATTCAAAATTGGGTTTTACTATATCAACTATGATCATAAATAATCTCTATAATCTGATCAAAAAATGTATCCATAGATTTATCCATAGGATTATCCATAGGTTTATCCATATTTAATCATATTTAATCATAGTTATCTCTATGATTCTCTATGTATCCATAGATTTATCCATAGGATTATCCGTAGGTTTATCCATAGTTACCCTTTTTCATCACCCCATCAGGCCACCTGTGATGCGGGCGTGTGCACGAAGAGACCCGGCAACTCCTGGGCTGTTCGGACACCGGTTGCCCCGGTTGGTTCCAGGCGAAGTATCGCTCAAAACCATGCGATGGTGGTTTGGGTTGCATAGTTTCACCAGAATTCTACAGATAGATGGATAGTATAGGATAGGATAGGATAGGGTAGGGTAGGATAGGATAGGGTAGGATAGGATAGATTGATAGATATTATGTACACACCACACACACCATTATATCCCAGTAATAATATCCCATGATATACCATTGCCATTTCCCAGGATCTCTCCAATAAACATCTTGCACATCCCAAATCAGTCGTTCCCCACAGTTTTACGACCGCACCTGGGCGTTTCTGTACAGTCGCGCATTGCAGGACTCCAAGATGTCCATGCACACCTGGCCGGAGATTCGACTTCCAGAATTTCGCCGGATCTTCGGGGCTTCAATGGATGTCTTGAGGCTTCAATGTTTTTGATTTTTCATGGAACCTGGAAAAAAAAACAGAAATGGTGTCTCCCGAAATGATATGTCACAGAGTCGTCATGGTGAACCATGAGGAACTGGACAGCGAAAACACAACCCGGAAATTGCTTGGCAAGTACATAACATAAAGGTGTGACTGAATGGAGTACACCCCTAAGGCATTTGAAGAGGGAAAATGAATGGCAATTCATTGGAACTGGGGGTAACCTATTTTCAGACCCATAAGTACATGTAGGCGGCCACATATTGATAGCATGGAGTGTGGCACTCCGGTAGTGATTCTGGGTTGCTTTGATGCTGGGCTCTTACATTAAGATAGACAGAGATATTTTGATTTCAATAATTGATATATAATTGATATCTAATTGATATATATATAATTGATCTATAATTGATATATAATTGAAATATAATTGAAATATAATTGATTGTTTACAGGAGATATATATATATAATATTGAAATTACTTTACTTCGTGTGATCCCCACCATGACATTTATACATTTTCTTACTGGCAAATCTTCTGGCATTCTATCTGACATATCTTCTGACATTCTATTTGACATTCTATCTGGCATATCTTCTGGCATTCTATCTGGCATATCTTCTGGCATATCTTCTGGCATTCTATCTGGCAAATCTTCTGGCATTCTATCTGGCATATCTTCTGGCACTCTATCTGACATATCTTCTGGCACTCTATCTGACATATCTTCTGGCATATATTCTGACATATCTTCTGGCATTCTATCTGACATATCTTCTGGCATATATTCTGACATATCTTCTGGCATATCTTCTGGCATATCTTCTGGCATATCTTCTGACATATCTATCTGGCATATCTTCTGGCATATTTTCTGGCTTCTATCTGGCAAATCTTCTGGCATTCTATCTGGCATTCTATCTGGCATATCTTCTGGCATATTATCTGGCATTCTATCTGGCATATCTTCTGGCATATCTTCTGGCATATCTTCTGACATTCTTTCTGACCTTCTTTCTAACTTTCTTCTGCACATTCTTTGTCCCATATCTTCCTACATGAGGTCCGGCAGGGAACACTTGGCGTGGATACTCGCGGTTGAGGTCCGGCAGGGAACACTGGGCGTGGATGGTCGTGGTTGAGGTCCGGCAGGGAACACTGGGCGTGGATGGTCGTGGTTGAGGTCCGGCAGGGAACACTGGGCGTGGGTGGTCGTGGTTGAGGTCCGGCAGAGAACACTGTGGATCGCGGGTCACAGTTGAGCAAGGACGACAAGGATGACAAGGAGGACGAGGAGGAGGAGGACGAGGCAGGAGGAGGCGGAGGAGGAGGAGGAGCAGGAGGAGGAGGAGCAGGAGGAGCAGGAGGAGGAGGAGGCAACTGACATAAAATCTAACAACCCTCACCTGGCAGGTGGGGAAAAATACCATAATTATCAATATAGTCTTGTATACATCAAGATTTCAAGCACTGTCTTGATCAAATTGGGGCCAGGAACCACACCTTGGTCGGAGTGAAGGGTATTGGCATGCCTCGGTAGTCCATTGGTTCGTCCTGCGGCGTGGAATTTACAGTTCAACCAGCCTGGTTTTGGTTCTGTTTGCCGATAGAAATGGGGATTCATTGAGATTTCGCCAGTAAATATGTGACAAAATCAATGAGTTTGTGTTCTTTGCCTCAAGAATTGAGTGATTGAAAGCAAGGATTTTCTCGCAAGAGGAAGCTTTGGCAAATTGGCACACCAACCTTGGTCAGAACCTCCTCGAATAGTTCGACTGACAAGAACCGGTACCCCAAAAGATTCCATTGTTCGAAACCACACGTTTAAAAATCAAGATTGCAATTTTTGTGGGCAGACCCCCATGTTTAGATATGATCGGACAAATCCATTAGCCATACTTGTTGGTAGTCCCCCCCCCAAAAAAAAAAACTTGAAAATCCCATTCAATAAATATCTCAAATAGATATTAACAACATTCCATTATACATCTACTAAACTAATCCCATGAAAACATTCCAAACCTGGATGGTCTTGGCTGTTCCGGCAGCTATTAGTTTACAACCAAATTCTGATACCAAGTTCTCACTTTATCCCTTTGACATCAGGTAGAACATGGTAGAACTATAATAACTATAGCAGCCCCAAAAGAGATAGAACTATAAATTCCTACCAAAATAGGGGTAATATACCTTTTTGCGTGTTATTGTGAACTTTTGCATTTTTAGAGTACAACTGTTCCAGGTGTTCCATTGCTCTTCACTGTGGATGCACATCCAAGTCCTTCTGAACCTTCACAAAGTTCCAAACGATGAACAGCACCTGCGGCCAGGCACCAACAGGACGACATCAAGCCCAGGTGGATCTCAACCAGTCCCAAAATACCACAAAAATGACATCCAACCATGAAACAACTGGTTGCTGGTATACCTACCCCTCTGAAAAAGATTAGTCGGTTGGGATGATTATTCCCAATCTATGGAAAGTCATAAAAGTCATGTTCCAAACCACCAACCAGTTGTGGTCTATGAAAAAAAACTAGCAGGTACAGTAATTTCCAACTCGTGAAATTCAAGGAACCACGACAACCCAAGGCCTGAACCCGGACGTGCACACCGTGTGGCCTGTGTCTGGATTACTCCTCGCTGTCTGTACTCGTTCATGACCTCAGGGTGAAAATCTACACTCCCGATGGAGAAAAAGGATGAAAGACCTAGATACCCATCAATATGCATTAACTATATATTATACATAATATACATATACATAATATACATATACATATATATATATATGATTAGACATGTACCCATAGACAGATAGAGAAACAAACGACAATGACAGATAGGTGTGGATCCGCTGGGCGCCTGGCACCCAGCATGGTCTCAGTTCTATCCTGCGCGGCTGGGGTGGAACCTACCTCTGCAGGTGTCGCAAATGGCCTGGATCAAACCTTCACCAACAAAAAGGCTTGAAAACTATCAAGTTTCCAATGTTTGGCGCCTCAAGAATGATTGTAATCCTCAAAAATCAAAGTTCGCACTGCAAAAAAAGAGAAGTGACCAGCCAATCTGTATAAATCTGTGGGTTTTTGTATTTCATGATTCACCGGTTTTAAAAACCCTGACCAGGGGTCGCACCAAGTCGCCCTTGTTCAGGTGAAGTGGCACAATGGCCTGTGATGGATGACACATTCCAAGAGGTCACTCGTGTTTAGTTCGTTGGTAACTGGGTTGTAATAATAATATTTGGCTAAATATAACTATATGTATATGTATGAATATATATATATATGTATGCATGCATGTATGTATGTATGTAATGTGTATATTATACCATGATTTATGTCACGCATCTGCGTTTAACTCCCAGGTGAGCGGGATTAACTCATATGCTCATATGCTCATATGAGCATCATATATTATATACAGTATATATATATACACATGTGACTCTCACCTATATAATATGTATGTATACATATATGTGTCATAATATGCGTGTAATTACTATGCTTCTGACCATGCAACATTGACAATTGTCCACATTCCAACTGGGATGCACATCCAAGTAAAGAACCTGCGCACTTGACTCTGCACCTTGCATATAAACAGTACGTACAGCATATATATATATAATTATATAGAATATTATATAATTATATATATATACATTCATGAAGATGTTAAACATTGTCAAACGTCAAACAAAGCTTCTCTTTCATCTGGACTTGACTATTCTTGACTGTGAAGAAGAATTCAGATGTCTGGGATTCTGGCACTTCAAAGCGCATTCAAAGTTCATTCGGATCCATTTCGGATTTGGTTTCTGTCTGGCAAATGTGGACCGTTGACACAGGCTTTGGCTTCGGGCGGGCCCTTCGGCTTGCCCGCACCTGGTCACAGAGACCATAAGCCAGCAGCGTGTATGGCCTTGAAGGTCGCGTTGCAAAGCTGGAATGATTTGGTCAATGGCCATTTCAGGTACTAGATTGGTTTTATGATGTTTATGTGATCTTATATGGTCTCATATGGTCTCATATGGTCTCATATGGTCTCATATGGTATCATATGGTACAGTACATTTTAGGGTCCTGAGTGTTCCATTGATTGATGGGATGGAGCAGAAATCGGGTACCACTTGGATGCACATGTATTCACGGCGATGTTTCAGGCGACAAATGGACTGGTCCAATTTCTAGGAAGCCATTGGAAAGCATTGACCCATTTGAATGAGTTGAATGTCCGAAAGACCATGGGCAAAATCCTTCTGAAGATTCTACTCTGTTTGAAACATGGATATTTGATGATATTTGCGGGGCACAATCTTGACAAGGTGGAAATGGTGGAAATGCCGGGCCAGGTGAAAACGCAGTCACGTTAGCCCCAGTTGTTTCCCGTGGCGGATGGTCATCCCTCGCGGAAAATGCAGCTCACTTGAGCTACGGAAAAAAACGACCCTGTGAGCTGGTCGCGGACTCGGGAGCAGTCCCCACCAGCAGCTGGATCGCCCCAAGTAAAGACGGATCCATCTGCAAGGACTGCAGAAAATGCGTAGTGGGTGGAATGAATCTGCTGCACCCCTTTGAGATAAGCTTCGACTTCAGAGCTGTCACCGCCAAAAGCGCCATCGCCCCACGTCACAACTGATCCGTCTGTTCGGATCGCAGCAAATGCATAGCGTGTGGCCTGAAGCTGTTGCACACTCCTGAGCTGATCTCGGACTACATGGCTGTCACCACCAGCAGATCGATCACCCCATGTAGCAACCGATCCGTCTTCCAAGATAGCAGCAAAAGCGAAAGCTGTGGCCTGAACTTCTCGCACCGTTAGGAGCTGGTCTTCCACTATACAGCAATCATCGCTGAGAGCTAGATCGCCCCAACTAACCACCGCTCCATCTGTAGAGATTGCGGCGAAAGCCCGATCTGCGGCTTGAATCTGCACCGTATTCCACAGCAGATTTTGGACAGCAGAGCTGTCACCGCCAAGAGCTGCCTGGCCCCATGTAACGACTAACCCGTCCGCGAGGATCGCAGCAAAGGCAACATCTGTGGCCTGAATCTGCCGCACATTCCTCAGCTGATTTTGGACGGCAGTGCTGTTCCCACCATAAGCTGGGCTGCCCCATGTCACAACCGAGCCGTCTGACAGAATTGCAGCAAAAGCATAGCCTGTAGCCTGAACCTGCTTCACATGTCTGAGTTTGAGTTTGACAGCCGAGTTGTCTCCGCCGTAGGAGGAACTACCCCATGACACCACAGCCCCATCTGCTAGGATTGCAGCAAATGCATGAGTTGTGGCCTGAATCTGCTTTACATTCCGAAGCTGATCTTGGACTGCAGAGCTGTCCCCACCAGAAGCTGGATTTCCCCAAGTAACGACAGATCCATCTGCTAGGAGTGCAGCGAATGCATGAGTTGTGGCCTGAATCTGTTTCACATTGCAAAGCTGCTTTTGGACTGCAGAGCTGTCCCCACCAGAAGCTGGCTTTCCCCATGTAAGGACCGATCCGTCTGATAGGATGGCTGCAAATGCATTCCATGTGGCCTGCACATGCTGCACACTCCTGAGATTCCTAAGCTGATCTTGGACTGCGGAGCTGTCACCACCAGAATCTGGATCTCCCCAGGTGGTGATCCTGTCCCCTCCGCAGCACCACAAAGCAAAGGCTCTCAATGTTGAGGCAACTTGTACTTGAAGCACAATGGCCAAGATGCAGTCTCCCTCTTGAAGCCCTGCAGATTGCAGAGATTCACTTGGGTCGACCAAATTACGTCCATCTGCTAGGACTAGCCGAAGAAACTTCTTGCCCAAGGAGTTCTCAGCCAGATTTGTCAGCTCTTTGACATTGGAGGACTGGGAAATGGAAAGGAACTGACTGTCGCCATTTGGCAAAGCAACATTCACTCGGAGCATTTTTGCCATTCAAGATTCGAAGGGAAACTTCGAAGAAAAATGATGCCCTTGAGAAAAACATGTATACTTGGATCTGACATCATGACAAGGCATACGACTGAGGCCTCATAGGGGGTTCATGCACACAACAGAAAACATGCCATGCTGCGATACTCTTCAGTCAGCTGGCAAGGCGAAAAGGTTTCAATTCATAGATCATGTTTCCCAAAAAATTACTTTACTTCGTGTGATCCCCACCATGACATTTATACATTTTCTTACTGGCAAATCTTCTGGCATTCTATCTGACATATCTTCTGACATTCTATTTGGCATTCTATCTGGCATATCTTCTGGCATATGATCTGGCATATCTTCTGGCATATCTTCTGGCATTCTATCTGGCAAATCTTCTGGCATTCTATCTGGCATATCTTCTGGCACTCTATCTGACATATCTTCTGGCATTCTATCTGGCATATCTTCTGGCATATATTCTGACATATCTTCTGGCATATATCTGACATATCTTCTGGCATATATTCTGACATATCTTCTGGCATATCTTCTGGCATATCTTCTGGCATATCTTCTGACATATCTATCTGGCATATCTTCTGGCATATTTTCTGGCATTCTATCTGGCAATTCTTCTGGCATTCTATCTGGCATTCTATCTGGCATATCTTCTGGCATATTATCTGGCATTCTATCTGGCATATCTTCTGGCATATATTCTGACATATCTTCTGGCATTCTATCTGGCATTCTATTTGGCATTCTATCTGGCATATCTTCTGGCATATCTTCTGACATTCTTTCTGACATTCTTTCTAACTTTCTTCTGCACATTCTTTGTCCCATATCTTCCTACATGAGGTCCGGCAGGGAACACTTGGCGTGGATACTCGCGGTTGAGGTCCGGCAGGGAACACTGGGCGTGGATGGTCGTGGTTGAGGTCCGGCAGGGAACACTGGGCGGGGATGGTCGTGGTTGAGGTCCGGCAGGGAACATTGGGCGTGGATGGTCGTGGTTGAGGTCCGGCAGGGAACACTGGGCGTGGATGGTCGTGGTTGAGGTCCGGCAGGGCACACTGACGTGGATGGTCGTGGTTGAGGTCCGGCAGGGCACACTGACATGGATCGCAGTGGAGCAGGAGGAGGACGAGGAGGACGAGGAGGAGGAGGAGGACGAGGAGGAGGAGGAGGACCAGGCAACTGACATAAAATCTAACAACCCTCACCTGGCAGGTGGGGAAAAATGTATTTTCCATTGCCAGGTTAGACTTCTGGAAGCGCATGGCATGTCTCTTTGCGTGATAGCGGGGGAGACTACAACATGTGACATGCAAGTGAGCACCTTTCCCAAGCGCTGAGAGGTTGTCTCCTTCCAGGTTTTATCCCAAGAATCGAGACACCTAGAATTGCAAATTTGGGCTCTCCCACCACTTCTGAATCAACCAACCATTTATAACCATGTCTCTTTTTTTTTCAATCCGGTTTCCATCTTGCTCCAACTAGACAACTAGATATTTAGGGTTGCACGAGCCGCCCTGAAGAATTTTGGTGTCCACGCGATGGTCTTCGATCACCATCCGTATCGCAAAACCTAGGAACACTTGGAACAAGTGGCTGCGCTCTAGGAATCTGGAAATGGAAGAAAAATGGAAATTCCGTTGATACCCATGATTACGCATGTATATCATTGTATATCTGTATATCGATGATTATCCCAGCAAAAAACACGTGATGCAGAAAACACATGGATGCAGATTTCCCGTTGCCATGATGTTGGATTCGTTTTCCCTTCCCAGATAGGACTGGAGAAAGATGGCTCAAGTGGAAAACAGATTGAAAAACTGAGCTATGCCGTAGTCAAATCTTTGAACCCAGCAGTGAAGAAGACCTTCCCAGCTGATTTTGGGCAGGTCTGATGTGGCCAAGGGACAGTTTCCATGTGGTGGGCGACCTGCGACAAATACGCGCGACATTGGGGATCATCATCCCAGTGTTTGCGGATGGAACACAAGACATATTTGAAACCACCAACCAGTTGTAGTATAGTTTTACCATGTTATACACCCCGATTCTCCTGTAATAAGACATTCCAATGGGTTTTTTTACAATGGTTTTTCGTCCAAGGGAGCCTCTCAACGCAAGATCTTTCGAGGAAATCTGGCATATTTTGTTCTGTCCCTACAGCTTCAGCGACCAAAAAAAATGGTTCCGCTGTGTCTTCCTATTGGTCATGGCCTGATTAGTCCTGATTCGATCGAGATTTTGACCTAGACTTGGAGGACCCGAAGAAAGCAACTGGTGAGTCTTTGTTGGGTTGATGTTGATTCACCCACTCTTCAGTGGGAGAATTATCCCACAGATCACGACTTCGACCAGGATTCATGACATTAACATACATTAACCACTTCGCCGTCTCAGCTGGGTATGTCAGGATCGCCCCGAAAAGTCATCGGCTTTTTTCGCAGCGAAGTCGGCTAGATTGTTGTGGCTCAACCGATGCAGGGGCACGGGTTGAGCCGCATAGAACTGCTTGAGTGGGGAGGGAAAGGTGGGGTGCTCCCAGCGAATTCATCAGAAATGTGGAAATCAACAGAATTAAATTAGCATTTGGATGAATAAAGATAAGAGATGATAAGAGATAAGAATAGGAGGTCCCCGAGCACATCCTGTCCCTCAACCCGGACTCCTTTGGATGTGAGCCGTGGTGACTCAGGAAGCAAAGGCGTCGCAGGTTTTCGCAGATCTGAAGATGTTCCCTCGTTTCAGTGAATAGTTCCCCAAAGTTCAACCCGATTCCAGTCGAAGCTCTCGGATGTCTGATCTCTCCAGATATATATGTTTCATTCATCTGGTTATTTTAAGTTAAATATCTGGTTGAATTTCAGGCTCTAAGGTACAACAGTCTCAAAAATGGATTCATCAGGACCCTGATTTGGGGGTCCTGATCACAAGGCCCACAGGCCCAGCAGGCCCAGCAGGCCGACCGCAGGGACCGAGTGAGTGGACTTCGAAAACTCCGTGGGGATCCCAATCGAGGTTGCCTTGGGCCATGTCATGGCTCTGAAAGGTGGCATTTGGAATTCAGAAATATCAACTGAAGATAACTTCAGAGGTATTGTTTCGCGAATTATACATATGTATATACATAATTGCATATATGTATATATACACATGTATGCATATAATGATATAATTTATATCTATATGTATACATGTAAAATTATGTAAATATCTATAAACTGTATGACTCCCATATCAAAAATGTTGGCCCGTTTTGGGGGGGCGTTCCCTAACTGTCGTTCGTCTACTCATCCCTCAAACATCCGCAATGACTGGAGATCTATCCTAAGATGGAAAAGTGACACAGGGATGGAAAAGCCATGGCTTTCCCTAGGAAAAGGATCTACTTTCTACGGTGGATTGTCCATATCTTGGTGAAATTAGTGAAGTACCCAGCAAAGAGTGAGGATACAGTAGTGAGAATACGTGGTGAGTGTAAGCTCCTACACAACAAGCAGTGGTAGTATATCTTTGTGTGGGCAGAAGAGAAGGAGGCAGCCTGACGTGTATGGAGAGATCCTGCTCTTATAATGGAACAGGAAACGGTGGAGTTGAGAGGATCTGCATGAAATACCAAGATGTGACACCTGTTGCGATCAAAGCCACTACAAAGCAGGAATCTTGACAACTTCCCCCCTCAGCTCAATCCCCTATCACCGGTCATGATGTGAAGCCACTAGTTCCACCCCAGCCGCACCCCACCAGCCCTGTTGAGGTGGCTGATTGAGAGAGTGTTTTTACGGACCACACCCTACCTCATCCCCTTACAGTAATTGCAGGGGTGGTGTAATCGCCCACCTATCAACCTAGTGTTGCACCGGGTATTGAACCCCGGTCTGACGCATGAGGGATGCGTCTTATCCACTAGACCATACCGGCCCTCTGAGGTGGCTGATTGCCATTCCCCGTGTACTTTTTCAGTCTGTTCCCTTGCCCCGGAATGTCCATCCCAGATCAATAAACCCTGGTTGATTCAATGCGAGACAAATTCTTGTTGGAAATGACACTAGGGGTTCATTACTCCTGGCTCCCCATCCTCATGGTAAATGAAAATTTTCCCATTTCCATCATGTGTCGAATCAAAAAGTCGAATGTCCAAGCCATGTTTGATTGCCAAAGGGTATCATTACCTCCCACCCGAAATGATCTCTGCACTTTTTTGCATAGCTGTAGCATACTATAGCTAGTTCCTAACTGGCTCCCGATCCTTCCATTTCCACCAAGGCACGTAGCTGGCATCACAGCTGGGTAAACTTTGCGCACACGACTCCGCGGTGACCAGCTCAGGCGCCTTGTCCAGGGCCACGTTGCGGAAGTAGCGCGGCAGCTTCGTCGTATCGTCCAGGACGTAACGTGCCAGACCTGGACGGCGCTGGGATCTCCAAGCTTCCGATATTGGAAGTGGATGAAAAGAATCTGACATATATTAATTATCATATATTCATTTAACAATATAAACATACATATATATATATATTTGACATGATATATAATATAATATAATATAATATAATATATTATAATATAATATAATATAATATATTATAATATAATATAAAATAATATAATATAATATAATGTAATATAATATATCATATCATATCATATCATATAATATTAATATAATATAATATAATATAATATAATATATTAGAATATAATATAATATAATATAACATAATATAATATAATATAGTCTAACATAATATAATATAATATAATGTATTATAATATAATATAATATAATATAATGTAATATAATACAATATCATATAATATAATATAATGTAATATAATATAATATAATATAATTTAAATATAAATATAATATAATATAATAAAATATAATATAATATAATATATTATATGTATATATATAATTATACATAATATTATATAATCCGACTTTGGGATGTTTTTTGTGGAGCAACTGGGGTTGGAACTGCAAAGATTCGGAAATCGCGCAGCCTCCAAACCTGTCCCGGCAAGATCCACCAAACTGACAAAAAAATGGTGCTAGAACATGGGTCAAAATCTGAACATGTGTATGGTTTGCCATCACAGTTCCCACTAAAAAATGCCATAGATAAGTGGTAAATCCACCATGTTGGACGTACCCAAGGTCAAACTCAAAACCAGCAGCGCCTGTGGCTGCCCAATCCGGGAAAGCCAACCTGGACTCGTACCAGTCCAGAGAACCAAGGCTTGTATAAAATCGATCCACGCGCAGCACTTTCTGCGCGGTCAAGAACTTCTGGGTGCCTGGATGCCGGTGGATGCCGGTGGATGGCGGCCGTTTATGGCACTTATGGCGACGTGGATCATGGTGAAAACAGGACCCAAATATTTCGGATGCCACACCAGAACATCGAAGAGACTTGAAGAGTATGAGATGTTGACCTCTGTGACCAACTGGCAAATGGAGGTTTCTTAAAATTTCACGCTCTCCCATTTTACAAAACCATAAAATCTAGTGCCTTTGCTGCAAAGACACGGATTCTGTGAGGAACCGCAAATCTGAGAAACTTCAAGGGCCAAAGAAAAAACCTCACCCCCGGTGCACTTCTATGGCTGCCAAAGAGTCACCTAGAAATGAGAATGCAGATATTGCAACAAAAGCAAACCTGGAATCAAAAACAAATTGGGAACTGATAGTCATTCGGATGATGGGTTTTCCATTTAAAATGATTGTCTCCTGTCATTTTTCCCTTGAACCAATCCAATGAGGCTAGAAAAGCATCCTGGTGCCCAATGAGTGCCGACCACCAAGCCACTTTGAGAGGTCAAGTAGAAGGTTTCCAGGAAGTTGCTGTAGTTGTACGCCCCTTTAGCTCCGATGATCGTCATTTTCCCCATGAAAAATGGCAGTTGATCCCGTTTGGATGTCCCACAATCTCTGGAAAAACAAGGCGAAAACCACGTTTTAGGCCATGTTGGTTCAAAAACAACTGCGACCACTTTGTTTTGACGAGCACAAACCCGGAAATATGTATCTTTGGGAACCTCAATATTAGACCTTCTGGGCATCATGGATGGAAAATCTGAAGAATCCCCATGTTTTCCCTTGGAATTCATCTACAAATAGATGGGGAAATATCCATTGCTTTAAGGTAAAACATCACCTAGTTCTCCGAAAATTTATCCCCCGTTGTCTCTAAAATTTACCTATGGATCCTTTGCAGCCACAAAATCGGCACTAGTTGCGGTGTTTTTTGGGGAATCCTTCCAAAACATCCATGGCAACATCCAAAAACTCTCTGCAGTGATGCTGGGATTGACATAACTAAAGAAGTGGCCAAGAATCCTACGAACGAATTGGGGATTGACAAGTACAATGGCTAAACATCCATAGAAAAAACATCCATTTAAAAAAAAATAAAGGACCGGATAACCCCACATGTCGATTTTTCCAACAAACTCAAAACAGGTGTGAAAATGGGATGGGGAAAGAAATAGGAGATGGTGGAAGACAGATTGTGTGAAAGAACTGTGTGTGATAGAGCTGTGTGTGAAGAGTTGTGTGTGTGTGTGCGCATGAAAGTGCTGTGTGTGACAAGGAAAGGTTGTGTGTGACAATGTTGTATCTGAAAGAGTCGTGTGTGAAAGGCAGTCTGTGTGTGTGTAAAAGAATTTTGTGTGAAAGGCTATGTGTGAAAGAGCTGTGTGCGCGTGACAGTTTGAGTGTGAAAGAATTGTGTGTGTGTGTGAAAAGTTGTGTGTGGAAGAGTTGTGTGTGGGAGTTTGTGTGTTCAAGTTTGTTGTGTGTGTGACAGCGTTGTGTGTGGAAGTTTGTGTGTTCAAGTTCGTGAAAGAGATGTGTGTGAAAAAGTTGCGTGTGAAAGAGCTGTGTGTTGAAGTTTGTGTGAAAGAGTTGTGTGTGTGTGCACCATCTGAATAGATGTAAATTTTCTTATTATCGCAGGGGCGTGTGGCAGTGGGAAGGGAAACGTGGCCGGTTTCCTGTACCTGCAGATGTATTTATCGAAGGCATCTTAGAAGTCAAACTTCCGACCATATGGACAGATGAAAAGCAGAGATGGGAAGAGTCAGAGAAGAGAAGAGAAGGAGTACGCAACCAAAAACAAGAACCCCCCACCAAGATGTGGGGAAAAATCCTTGAAAATCTATGAAAGTAAAAACATCTATATGGTCCATACATATTTTAAATCCTACAAATGTCCCCAAAAAAAACAGATGTCCTGCTCCTCACATCAACCCACCCACCGGACATCACCTGGATCCGCGGCGTAGGTCTCATCCACCTATGGTCATTCATGTTTGACAGTCAGGTTGACATAGATAGGTTGACATAAATTTAAAAAATAATGTACCATGATAGTCATAGATAGTCATAGGCATAGGTCATTCTGGTCCCAAAAAATAGCTTGACATAGGTTGACATAAAGTCCTGAAATATAGCCAGTTATGTTGGTAGAATGAGGATTGACCACTGCTATATATATATATATAACAATATTTAACAGGTATCTCCTATTCTTAGACACCCCAATTTTGGGGGGACCCCAAAGCCCCAGACGAGATCTCTCTGCCGGGTGACCACGATGTCCACGTCTTGCATGGCTGCCAGCAATGCGTTGGCAGCCGCCGCCCTGTCGTCGCCTGGAACTAAACCAATTTGTGGGAAATCTTACAGAAATGAGATGTCAATAGATGCCATGTTGTTGAGATATGTCTTCATCGTCCTTGAGAAAAACCTCCCTGTACCTCCTCTTATGATGACTTTTTCACATCATCGAATTGAAATCTGTCAGAACGTCTACCACATAAACGTATGTTGGTTCGCTGCTCCCCAGGATAACTTTGTGGGATAAATGGATACAAATGGTGGTTATCCGGTTATCACCCCATTCATACACTACAAACAGCTAGTTGTGGGAAGGCACTCTATATAATTCTATATAATCATATCTACCCCACCTACAATATATGTATATATATACATGTATATATATACATGTATATATATATATATACATGTATATATATATATATGGGTAATTTTAATATTTCACTAACCTGAATTAAGGCCATTTGGGGATGATTTCCCTTACTAACTATGATTATAGTGAGGTCGCAGTGAGGTCGTTATAATTTACCCAGATCTATATATATATATATGTGTATATATATATGTAATATATATATATATATATGTCATATATATATATGTAATATATATATATATATTTGTGTGTAATATATATATATACATATGTATATGTATATTTTACATATATATATGTGTGTATATATATATACGTATATCTATACATATATGTATATGTATATTCATAGCATTCAGTCGGGGTCATCTCCCTGGTTTCTTCGAATATACTACATTCAGCAGCATTTTCTGGCCATAGTCATCCCAACTGCCCTGTGGCCTGCAGGGACGTAGTAGGTCTTGCCAGCTCCGGGATTTCCGGCCACTGCATCCGCCACCGCCATGGATGAAACGCTCTGCGACAGCTGAGCAGCGTCCACATTTCGGCCCCCGGCAGCCGTGACCAGCTGAAGTTTAAACGTGGCCTGAGGAAACAAATGGAAATCCCAAAAAGGTGAAGCCCTGTAGATAACTAAGTTGACTTCTAACTTAGTGAATTCAAGGGTTTATCGGGAATATAGTTACGGTTCATGGGTTCATGAACCAACTCATAACCCGGGTGGTCTCACCTTGTGGGCAGAAACCAACCAACTATTGTGGATATAGGAATGATAATAATAGTGGTTTATGTATAGCCAGCAACAAGATATCTATGGACAATGGGGTTTGTGCTGAAAAGCCGGATACCCCAATTTCTAGCCATGTCCATGAGAAAAAATCGTGCTAAACCATGCAAGTTGGAGGTGGTCAAGCAAGGCATGTGGGTAATGCACCCGAAAACTTGGAGTAAACCAAAAACGACCCACATATATAAATATATATATATATACATATATAATATGTTATTATACTATATTATATTATATTATATATTATATTATATTATATTATGTTATATTATATTATATTATATTATATTATACTATACTATACTATATTATATTATATTATATCATATAATATTATATCACATTATAGCACATTATATCACATTATATCACATTATATTATATTATCATATATTATATTCTATTACGTTATATTATATTATATTACATTATATTATATTATATTATATTATATCATTTTATATTATATCATATTATATTATGTCATCTTATATTATATTATATTATATCATATTATATTGTATTGTATTGTATTGTATTATATCATATTATATTATATTATATCATACTATATTATATCATATTATATTATGTCATATTATGCTATATTATATTGTATTATATTTTATTGTATTGTATTAAATCATATTATATTATATTATATATTATATTATATTATATATAATGTATATATTGTATATATGGCCCCTTTTTTGGAAGTCTCAAAAACTCATGCATGCTCCAATTGTTGTTGGCCGTTTCCCGGCCACCTGACCTGGCGAAAAATCGCCGTATCTCATGGGAAAATGATATAAAATACACACACACAAACTCATCCACGTCTGGAGAATTCTTCCGCCAGGTACGGTGTTTTTTCCCCATTGCCATGCCATAACTTCCAGCCTGACTCAGCTCATAGCGGCTGTACCAGTTGTTCCACTGGATCCATGCCACCACCGGAGCGCTGGCCGAAGCCTGGCGCCCGGTGTAGCTGGTCACGGTGTCCTGGAAGGTGCGCAGGGCCAGCTCTTCCAAGTTGAAGAACGCAGCCAGGAACTTGATGTACTCAGCACTGTGCCTGGGCGTTTCCAACCAAAAAAAGGGGGTTGGAGTGTGTGTTGGAAAATGTGTGTTTCTTTTGTTTCCATATTTTTTGGGCCAAATTTGAAAATGTTGATATGTTTCTATATCATGGAACATTGGGAAATGGAACAATTATCTCTGTTTGATGCTGGGTCGTGCCTTCACCACCGGTGATTCCCAACCCAAACTTGGGCTGTAGCTCGGGGATGGTCTAATTTTTGGAGCTGGAGCATGAGGTTTCGTGTTTGCATCCGTTGTTTGAATGAATTTGGGAATTTAGGCCTGAATTGGACCCGAGATGGCGGCAATGAGAATTTTGTTTGTGCAGTGTGGTTGTTCCTGTGATGAAGAAACACAATTCTACTTCGGATGGTTTTTTGCAAAGCGGTGTGTGTGAGGGTGGGGATGCTGACAGCATCATTGAGCAACTTCCCAAAAGCTGTACATCACAGCATGTGCTTCCTTTTGAAACATGTTTCTAGGTTTCTGTTGGTCTTTTAATCCGTGCCTCAAAGGGGAAAACGAAAAACGTGTTCCTTACTGTGTCGTGTGATCCCCAGCGTGGCATATATCCTGACATTCTATCTGCCATATGTTCTGGCATTCTATCTGACACCTTGACCTTAACTGACAGATATTTTGAAAATTTGATCTGGCATTGTTCCTGGCCCTATTGACATGTTAATGTTATTTCAACATTCGGTCTGACATGTAATCTGGCATATGGTTCAGGTCCGGCGCAGCTCATAGGCTTCAGGTGGGGGGCTTGCGCGCTCCCATGTCTTGTTAAAATCTAGAGGCCATCACCTGGGGGGAGAAAGGAAACACTGCAAACCGAGATAGTTTTGGTGGTACTTACAGTGCATGTCGCATGTTCCGCTGATGGGTTAAAAACCATACTCAGCGAGGAGAATCATGTAAAACTAGTGGATCATCCATTGCCACGCGAGCCTCCCCGAAGGCCTATTCCATAGCCCAGTTGCAAGTTTCCATTGTCCTTGGTGGCAGGAACGTGCACCGCATTGCTGCGTGCCCGCACGTTGCTGCAATCGGAGTTGCAATCCATGAAAACTACCTGGAGCAGGGTTCGAAGCCAGTTAGTGTAGTGGTTCGAGCGTACATGTGTGTGTGTATGTAAATATATATATAACATAGACATCTAACATGTATATATAAATTCATCCGGACGTAAATGAAATATGAGATTGTTAGAATTGCCCACGCTCATTTTAATCACGATTCTTATTCTATCTACTCCAGGATGACTGTAATTCCCCTTAACCCCCAAATTAATAGAACCCTACTAAAACCATGGTTTTTCGGTGGGGATAATTACGATGGGGTTATTCGACTGTGACAAGTTGGAAACTGGATAGGGACCTTCCCAATTGAAATTTGTGGTCAGCAGGGTCCGTCCATCCCTTCTGATCAATCCATGTGGGTTCTAGGATATATCTATGATACACACATAAAGCCTCTACTGATTTGGTGGTTTCAAACCATTCCAACCATATGAACATTTGAGAAGAATCATCAACTGATCGGTTCACACAAAGTTTTACCAAAGACTTTTTTATCCCCATTGGTAACCACTGGGTTTGTTGAACTTGCATACACTAGATATGGTGGTTGTACCATCTTGCACCCATCACATCCATGATAATGATAACCCAATAAAATCTCCATTTTTGTTGAGTAAGTCCCATCTTTGATCATCCAATCCCCAAAAATCCCCATGACAATCCCATCGAAATCAGTAAGTTCAATTCAATCCCAAATAAATCAAAAAAACATGAAAATCCCATGAAACCTCGGACCTCCATTTCCTTGGTTCATCCGAATTAAAGGCCCCTTCCGATCAGCGCCTCCACGCTGTCCAACTGCTCCTCAAGCTTTGTTGCGTTGCCGGTCCAGGCGGATTCCAAAGTGCTTCCGCAGGACGCCGCCTGGAAAATGTCCGTGCCTCATGATGTACCTACCTAGCGTGCTATCTATCTAATGTGTGTAACGATCGATCAACCTACCTATCTATCTAATCTACAAATCTATTAATATATCTATCTGTCTGTCTGTCTGTCTGTCTATCTATCTATCTATCTATCTAATCTACAAATCTATCTAACCTACAAATCTATTAATCTATCTATCTGTCTGTCTGTCTGTCTGTCTGTCTGTCTATCTATCTAATCTACAAATCTATTAATATATCTATCTATCTGTCTGTCTATCTATCTATCTAACTATCTCTCTATCTATCTATCTATCTGTCTGTCTGTCTATCTATCTATCTATCTATCTATCTAATCTACAAATCTATTAATCTATCTATCTGTCTGTCTGTCTATCTATCTAGCTATCTAACCTACAAATCTATTAATCTATCTGTCTGTCTGTCTGTCTGTGGATCTATCTATATATCTATCTAGCTATCTATCTAATCTACAAATCTATTAATCTATCTATCTGTCCGCCTGTCTGTCTATCTATCTATCTAACTATCTATCTATCTATCTATCTGTCTGTCTGTCTGTCTATCTGTCTGTCTGTCTGCCTGTCTATCTATCTATCTATCTGTCTATCTATCTATCTAGCTAGCTATCTATCTAATCTACAAATCTATTAATCTATCTATCTGTCTGTCTATCTATCTATCTATCTAGCTATCTAACCTACAAATCTATTAATCTATCTGTCTGTCTGTCTGTCTGTCTATCTATATATCTATCTAGCTATCTATCTAATCTACAAATCTATTAATCTATCTATCTGTCTGCCTGTCTGTCTATCTATCTAACTATCTATCTATCTATCTGTCTGTCTGTCGGTCTGTCTATCTATCTATCTGTCTGTCTGTCTGTCTATCTGTCTGTCTATCTATCTATCTATCTATCTATCTCTATCTCTATCTATCTCTATATCTCTATCTATCTATCTATCTATCTATCTATCTATCTATCTATCTATCTATCTATCTATCTATCTATCTATCTCTATGTCTATCTCTAGTTCTATCTATATCTCTATCCATCTCTATCTATCTCTATCTATCTCTATCTCTGTGTCTATGTCTATCTCTATGTCTGTGTTTATGTCTATGTCTATCTCTATCTCTTTCTCTATCTCTATCTAGCTGTGGAATCAACGTAGGGCAAACGAAGGGCAAACTGGGTATGGTGGGGTATGAAGGTTGGTCAGCCACTTTAGGGTCGCGACATGATTCTCCCAGATAGCCAATCAAATGGCCATAGAATTGAGGTTCAATTCCCCATAGCCATCATTTTTGGTGGTTCAACGTCCAATTTCCAGCGATCCCCATCCTATCCACCATCATAGATACTCATACATGTACAAGACGGGTAGATGGATAGGACAAGACAAGAAAAGACAATAAGACAAGGAAAGATAAAATATAAATCAGATAAAATGATAAGACGCGATTGGATTAGATTGATGTGCATTGTTGATTACATTCCCACATTGAAGTGGTTGATAACTCCCAAACTATCATGTGGTTGGGTCCCACTCAATTCGTAGCTCCAACTGGCTCCCCATGGCCAAAGGGGAATATGGATATTGAGAGCAATTAGTATTACTGTCTGGGTTACTTAACTACTACTTTACTAGTATCAGTATAAATATCATTGCTATCTCAGTCGAGCGCAATACCTGGGCTTAAAATATTGGTCACTACTGCAAACCATAGTAGCAGTAGTGTTTTTTAAAAAAATAAATAAAGGTTTTTTTTTGCAGTGGTAAAAACGAGTTACTACCAGTGTACTATTTTTTGTAGCCTAGTACTGTAAGCATTACTATTCAACTACTATTGCTATGATCAACACTACTATTATATATGAATATCATAATTTGCTTAGTACAGTACGTGCCGAGTGTGCCGAGTGTGCCAGCTCACTCGCTGTGCGCTTTAAAAAAAAACGGTTTCCCACCGCAATGTACTAATAACAACTAAGTAACTACGATGGTACTAGATTACGGCCAGGACGGGGGTGCTGCCCGGGGAAGTGCGTTTTGACTGCGCAGGGCCAGTGTTTTATGCATTTTGGGATGGCTGACGAGATTTGTTTCCAAAACGCAAAACCCTAAACCATAAAACCTAAATCTGACATGAAACCCTAAGTAAGCCTTGAAAATAAAATCTCATGAAAACCGTGGTAAAAACCCCCAAGCCCCTTTAAAAAAAAAAAACACTTAACAAACCCCAAACAAACCCTAAACAAACCCTAAAGAGTTGGTGACATGATAAACCTCTGGGAGGCACCCCCGGCCTGGGGGTAGTATTACTATGTATTACTGTCCTTATAGCTATGATTAGTATAACCATTACAACTACATATCACTGAACTAGTGTAACTATATCTAACATTATCTAACTGTATCTAAAGACAACAACTAATCAACATTCTCTCATGTGCCTGCTTCATGTGCCGATCTCAGTCCTGTTCTCACCCACAACAACTAATCAACAACTCGCCTTCTGCCAACAGCCGTGCACCGCATAGGCATCAGCATAGGCCACTCGATCCTCCACGCCCAAGCGCCGGAGGAAGGATAAGATCGTGGTGGAGGCGGCCGTCACGTCCCTGTGGAGAGATGCAACAAATGGAGTGGTTTAAGGGGGACAAATATGGAAAGTGTTGGGAAAATATGGGAATATACGATGCTTGGGATTATAACGGGGGTTGAATGGAAATTAAATGGGATGATTGTGGAATAATGACCCTAAAAAAGATGTCGAAAGTGGGAAACACCGGGAAATTATGGGGTAAATATCATTCGTAACCATGGAAAGACTATTCCGTATTTTGGGGGGAAAATGGGATGTTTTTATTGGGATTATAATGGAAGTATATAATTGAATTTATTTGGGAAAATCATGGAAAAATGGTATAATATAGTGGGATAGACAATGGCTCAAGGATGTTTAAGGGGAAATCTGGATCAGAAACCATGATAACCATTGGTTACACCCCCATGATTTAACGGGCGTTCTCCATTGTATCATCCTATTCTTGGACACACGTGGGACCTGGAAGCATCTGGAAAATTGGCCCGGGATGTTGAGAGGCATGAGTCCATGAGATATCAATAGATTCATATAATTCTATAGCTCTAATTTGATTTGACAAGTGAGCGACTGGGGAATTGTTCCACACAATCCTAGTCAAACCGGGGTTATAGTCCAGCCCGGATCCGTTGTTAGCCAAGGTTCTGCACAGGGACGCTGAAGTGTTTCCTTTGATAGCCGGTACCTGTGACCCGAAAACGGCGATGTGTGTGTGTGTGGTGCACATCTGCGAGGACATCAACAACCATTTCTTCGAAAAGTCCTCAAAACCCCTTGGTTTATCCTGGAAATTAAGGGCCAAACACTGCAATTTTATAAGAAACTAAGAATCTATATCTATCTATCTAACTATCTATCTATCGATCTATCTATCTATCTATCTATCCATCGATCCATCGATCCATCTATCCACCTATCCACCTATCCACCTATCCATCTATCCATCTATCCATCTATCCATCTATCCATCTATCCATCCATCTATCCATCTATCCATCTATCCATCTATCCATCTATCTATCTATCCATCTATCCATCTATCCATCTATCCATCTATCCATCTATCCATCTATCCATCTATCTATCTATCTATCCAGCTATCCATCTATCTATCCATCTATCTATCTATCTATCTATCTATCTATCTATCTATCTATCTATCTATCTATCTATCTATCTATCTCATCCATCCATCCATCCATCCATCTATCTATCTATCTAAACAATTGATAAATGAGGGTATCAGGGTGTGTATGTTTGCATGTTGCCTGTTGTGATTTTATGTTGGGGTTCAATGTTTCTTCCTCGGCTTTGGTGATTTTTCAGGTGGGGTTTTAGGGGTCATATCGGTGCTAAAGTGATGTGTCAATGTTTGGTTTGGGTGAGGGGGTCAACTGTTGTTGCTGTTAGGGTTTATGTTTGTGTTTGGGTGGGTGGTTACTTGATAATATATTTTGTTAAGATATTATGGAATTTATCGTCGTTAGGTTCAGTGTCTCCACTTGTCATCATCACTACCTATTCCATCCCAACATTGAGAAACAATCGTTTTGATGTTGTAGAACACTAAAATGGTTGTGTCTCTATCAAGTCCTCGTTGGTCAAACAAGTGTCTCAACACTGACAATAGTGTATAATAGTTTTGTTGGAATGCTGTCTTTCCTCCTCTGTGGTGTATCCTCTCACCATGTTTTCTGATTAAGTTTTTATCAAATATCCTTTCATAATTTTCTTTCATAAGGTCGTGGTTTATCTCTCCATACTCTGCGTATTGCTCTAAAGATTGTTCTTGCTTAAGTATTAGGTCATATTCTAAAATTTTAAAATCAGGATACGGATTTTCTTGTATAAATTCATTAATCTTTCTCTATCTCTTTTCATTTCCTCTTCGCTAACTCCAATCATTGGCATTTTTCACTTACTATATATAGGTATCGTTTCTTTAAGTATGTTTCACTTTTTGTAGGTGCTCTTTTATTTCTTCTTCATTACAGTATTTCTCATAACCTTTGAACAGTTCTTCAGTGTATTCACGCAAGAAGATTTCCAAATTGTCTTTTATCTTGAATTTCCTATTTCTAAATGTATAAGTCCATTAATTTTGAGGAAACCACCACTCACACATTTCCTTACAACACTTCATATATGTACGGTCGTGAAAGTTTTTAAGGAAGTGATGGGTAGCTTACCACTCCCTTTAGACAAAAGACTTAATCGCCATTAAGAACGGTTTGTCGTGTTTGAATTCTTGCTTGAGTTTGAATGTTTCCATCAAGACATCTATTTCTCTTTTCATTTGACGAACATTTGTTCGGTTCATGTTGGATAAAAAGATTGGTGTTGGGATTTCGGTTTTGAAGAAAAGTATTTGGTTTTCTGATGCTGTTAGATGTTGGCCTTTGCGGATTTTTCAAATTCATTCTCATTTAGGTTCAGGCGTTTACGTTTGAAACAGTAAAGGTTGTAATTACATATCTCATCACAAATTCCAGCAGGAAAAATGTTGTTCAATAAAACTATATGTCACTAATTTCTTTCCTACAACATCAACAGTTTTTACAAGTAAATAGCATCCTCTTACTATATATAGTCATCTTTTCTTTAGGTAGTTTTTGGAGTCTCTTTCAGTTTTCGGGTTCAGGTTAGTTTTCATGTCTCCTTTCCTCCTCTTCCAGTTCCTTTATAGCCATATCAATTTCATCCATCCCTTCGTCGGGGTCTTGTCCATTGGCAAGATTTCTTAACCTCTCAAAATCCTTCACTTTGTGTCTTTCATTTGGTGGGAGGGTTTTGAGATGTTCCTTCAATTCTATCAGGTCAAAGTATGTGTCTTGTTCTTCATCCTCATTTTCCAAAAACATGTCCATTCTTTGCTTTTCCATCTCCATAAGTTTGTTTTCCATATATTGGAATTTAATTGGTTTCCTGTAGCACTTGCCACGCACATTCACAAAGGTTTTGAGCAAGTAGTTCCACATAGGTTGGTTTCTACCGTTCAAGGTTATAACATCTGTCATTATACGACATCCACAGTCAAATTTAGCCATCTTATTTACTCTTACTGTATATAGGCATATTTTAAAGTATAATGTTGCTAATTTAGTCTTCTGTTTTACTTGCCGTTTCCATTTCTATACCGTCCCTTATAACAACTCTATTCCTATCCCTCCAGACATAATCAACATCATGATCACCACCATATCTAAGTATCAATCTGTTCCTTCCCATTGAATTACCGTGCTCAACTTAGTGTATTTGTGGTGATACTCATAAAATGGAAGTGTGCACAACTGTCCATACTGTTCAACCCATTTCTTGAAACGTTGGACTGTTTTTTCTGAACCGTGTCATACCTTTTATTCTCATCATCACGGGGTCTCCCATTTGAAAGGACAAAATGTTTGCTTGTATGCCGACGGGCAGTTCTTTGATTTTATACATTTCTTACTATTGTAAGTATCTACTTCTTTAAGTATATATTTTATTGTTCATGATATAAAAAAATAATATTATAATAAATGGCAAGGAGACTATCGAGACATGACATCATAAGCAACGTTTATTACTATCTTGAAACCGGTTTCGGTTCAATCAATGAGACCCCCAAGAAAGCGAAGGAACAAGACCCAGCCATCAACAAGGGGGATGTGGAAAACTTTTTGAGGAAACAACCCAACAAACAGAATTGAAAACACGGAGGTTCAAACTCCTACACTGCACCGTTCGCAAGGTTTGAGTATCAAATTGACATAATGGATATGAAACCCCTTAACAAAGTTCCAGAGGTTGAAATTCCCGTCAAGAACGGTGAGCCGAGATATGCGATGGTTGTCATTGACATCTTCAGCAAGGTGGCTAGTGTCATCCCTGTGAAGGAAAAGTCTTGTCCAAACGCTTTGTCAGCACTAAAACAAAGTTTCAGCAAAATGGGTTTTCCAATGTCCAGTTACAGCGATAATGACCGTGCCTTCCTAGCACGGGTAAAAGACTTCTTTGACACACGCCAATGTTATGGAGCGCTTCATCAGAACAATGAAAAATATGATACACGATAGGGTGAGATTTAATCGTGGCAGTTGGACTGCTATGTTGTCCAAAGCGTTGGATAAATACAACGACACCGTCCATTCATCTATAAAAAAAGAAACCCAAGGATGCCCACGGCGATAAGAACCATTTGGATGTCAGGGTTTATCTGACAAGGAGGGAAAAGAACACTTGCAAATACCAAGAGGTGAAGGTGAATGATATGGTCAAGGTCCTCGAGAAGAAAAAAGACAACTACGCAGAGAGGAAGGAGTATAACCCAAAATGGAGCAATCAATCCTACAAAATCATCAAGATAGAATATGACGATGTCGGAAACATAACCTTCAAACTGCAGGGTCTGAGAGAACCAAATTTGAGGCACGAGATTTTGAAAGTATTAAAAATTATCTAATATTAATATATGACAAATGTAGTCGTAAAGGAGATTGATAATGAAGAACCCAAGGAAGAAGCAATGACAGAACTAATACAGGAAGAAACAACGAAATAAGAGGAGAAACCAGAAGAAATAATTGAGCAACCCGTTCAAGAGAAACCACAACCAGCACCAAAACCCAAAGTAAGACCATCAAGGGCGAAACCACCTTTTGACCCAGAAGCCTTCAAAAACGACCTTGTAAAACAACTAAAGGAAGAACTACAAAGCGCAATGTCAGCCAGAGACACCTACAACAAAGCCAAAGAGGAGAAGAACAAAGCGACGAGAGAGAAAAAATGAAATCTTTAGCATCAAAAAAATTGTACAGTATTATATATAAAAATGAACAAAGGAACAGAAAATGGAACTCAACAAAACAGACAGCTATGAAAACCTCCGCCAGGACATCAACAGAAGACAAACCATCCATTCAAACAAAAGTGCCAACTACAGGAGCGGAACGCCAGAGATGCCAGACAGAAGAAAAAAGTGTATAGCAGTTATGATCACTACTACCACAACGACAACAGCACGGCAAGGATGCCAACTCACAATCATCATCTTTACCTAAAGCATCTTCTTGAATATCACAACACCGAGCACGACTACAAGGTCTTACGGGTAAAGCAGGGGATGAAGGAAGAGAATGAGATGCTACAGAACGACATGACAAGGTTGAGGGAGGTGAGGAAAAATCACAGATTGGAAGATTACGCGGCGAACGTCCAGAATATGAAACAGAGAATTGATGAATACAAACAGTGGTTGAGAGGTGATACACAAGATTCTAATATAGAAATCTAAAGTATTAATATATAGCGAAGACAGCAGAAGTAATCAACGCAAAACAGAGATTGACACGAATACCCACTTTTGCGGAACTCATTAAGGAAATAGACAGAAAAATATCGAAACCAAGAACATCAGAAAATTCTTTGATAGGAACGCTTGGTATTTTCACGAAAGTCCGCAGGGTCAAGCACTGAACCTCGATGATCTGCACGCAATCAATCTGATTGTGCTGGAGCTCGAATGCATGTTGGATGCGCAGGCCCGCCGCGCTCGCAGCGCTGCTCGTGAGAAAGGATTTCAATGTTGGGTCTGCAAGAAAGTGGCCATCCAGCTCATGGTCAGCATGGGCTTGGCTCAATACCGTTTCCGAATGAAATCTTGCCTTGGGCTTCCAGACCAACGCTCTCCGCATCACCCACATGAAGTTAGACTTCGTGATGCCTGCGAAGACTAGCATCCGGTTCACCTCAAACCGCTTCCAGACATTGACATTGAACATACGGGTGGTATAGCCATAGGGCTTCCTACCCGCTATGCCATCAGCAGACATGGTTTTCTTGAAAAGGTCTAGATGAAGCTTTTTATGTGATTCCGGAGCCACTTGGCCCATGATCACAATGCACCGGGCGAAGGATTCAATTTGCTTTCGCAATTCATCCTCGTTGTACCACACCTTGGGGTCAAAGTACCCGTGGTTGGAACCCAGCATTGCGTCGATGTGCAGTGAAAAGAGAGATTGGCCCACCCCGCCCGGTGATTCTCCAATGAAGCACTCAACGTTGAAGCCGCGCTTGGCTAGAGCCATGGCACTAAGGCAACATTCGAACACAGCATTATTTGCCCAGAACGTTTGGCTATAAAACTTTTGTAGTCGTGCTTGGACATGTGCAAGGACAGGATCAATCAGCGGGTGGGGAATGTAGATGTAGCAATCGTTCTCGGCCGACTTACGGCACTGGGGCCATACTGGTGCTGGGGCCTATGGTGGCACTGCAGCATATGTTGCCACTGTAACCCTATTGTGGCACTGGGGCCATAGCGGCACTGGGGCCTTTTGTGGCACTGGGCCCAAAACGGGGCACTGGGGCCCACTGGGCCATAAGAGCACTGGGGCCTGCTATTGTGGCACTGGGACCATAATGGCACTGGGTCCTGCCTTTAAAAGTATTCAAAGTATTAAAAGTTTTAAGGCTCTGGAGGATTAATACTTTTAATACGTTTAAACATCAAGGACATCAGAGATTTCTGGAACCTTGGAGTCTGAAAACCCTGGAGGACTAATACGTTTAATACTTTTAATACGTTTAATACTTTTAATACTTTTAATGGCTTTAAAAGTATTAAAAGTATTAAAAGTTTTGGGGCCCTGGGGGATTAATACTTTTAATGCCTTTAAAAGTATTAAAAGTATCAAAAGTTTTGGGGCCCTGGGGGATTAATACTTTTAATACTTTTAATGCCTTTAAAAGTATTAAAGCATTAAAAGCATTAGAAGTATTAAAAGTTTTAAGGCTCCGGAGGATTGATACTTTTAATATTTGAATATCAACGACATCAGATTTCTGGAACCTTGGAGTCTGGAAACCCTGGAGGATTAATACTTTTAATACTTTTATACTTTTAATACTTTTAATGCCTTTAAATGTATCAAAAGTATTAAAAGTTTTGGGGCCCTGGAGGATTAATACTTTTAATACTTTTAATGCCTTTAAAAGTATTAATCCTCCAGGGTCTAGGGACTCAGGACACGAAATCTGGAGTCCGTGATATTTAAAAGTATTCAAAGCATTAAAAGTTTTAAGGCTCTGGAGGATTAATACTTTTAATACGTTTAAACATCAAGGACATCAGACTTCTGGAACCTTGGAGTCTGGGAAAACCCTGGAGGATTAATACGTTTAATACTTTTAATACTTTTAATGGCTTTAAAAGTATTAAAAGTATTAAAACGGTTGGGGGCCCTAGAGGATTAATACTTTTAATACTTTTAATGCCTTTAAAAGTATTAAAAGTATTAAAAGTTTTGGGGCCCTGGAGGATTAATACTTTTAATCCTTTTAATGCCTTTAAAAGTATTAAAAGTATTAAAAGTATTAAAAGTTTTGGGGCCCTGGAGGATTAATACGTTTAATACGTTTAATGCCTTTATAAGTACTACTTCAAATTTTTAATAAATTTGACTTAAAAACATATCAGGTCCAGCAGGTGCATAATATGACCTGAAGGTCCCTCATACATATATATATCTATCTATCTATCTATCTATCTATATCTATCTATATCTATCTATATCTATCTATATCTATCTATATCTATCTATATCTATCTATATCTATCTATATCTATCTATATCTATCTATATCTATCTACATCTATCTATATCTATCTATATCTATCTATATCTATCTATATCTATCTATAGTTATATCTATCTATATCTATCTATATCTATCAAAATCTATCTATATCTATCTATATCTATCTATATCTATCTTTATCTATCTATACCTATCTATATCTATCTATATCTATCTATATCTATCTATATCTATCTATACCTATCTATATCTATCTATATCTATCTATATCTACCTATCTATCTATATCTATCTGTCTATCTATCTATCTATATCTATATCTATCTATCTAGATCTATCTAGATCTATCTAGATCTATCTAGATCTATCTATCTATCTCTATCTCTATCTATCTATCTATCTATCTATCTATCTATCTAATCTAATCTAATCTAATCTAATCTAATCTAATCTAATCTATCTATCTGTCTATCTATCTATCTATCTCTATCTATCTCTATCTATCTCTATCTATCTCTATCTATCTCTATCTATCTATCTATCTATCTATCTATCTATCTATATTCTGATACATTGTGTATGCATACATATTTATATATATAATATATTGCTATATATACACCATTTCAACCAGTTAAACCATCGGTATCAGCAACAAACATGTCAAAAAGTCGAGGCCTGACACGATGGCATTCACCTCTTCATCCGTGGGTTGCGAAGTGCCACACTGCGTCAGGACGTATTGTTCCTTCGCAAGCTCCTCTGTTAGCACCTCTGGAGTTGGCGGCTGGGAAATGGAGAATATATGTGAGCCAATAGTCAATCATGTCTCTATGTCGACTCTATGTCTATATATATATATACTTTATACTTTGGTTGTAACATACTAAAGGATCAGCTACATCCAATGTTCCAACTCTGTGATACTTTTTACATACACAGTGTATATATTAGATAACCGGGGATTCTCCAACTCTGACTTGGTGAGCGAACTATAGCTAGCAGCTAGCACCACTTAACTGGGATGCTCGTCCAACCCCAGGCTGGGAACCACTCATTGGGGCCGGCTTTCTCCACCTATCCAGATAATGCCCAACCATAAACCTGACCCCAACTACCCGAAAATATGTTCCCACTTTACCCAAGATACCAAATGTTCCAGATGTTCCCCCAGTCACCCAAATATCATACAATGCCCAAAAAAAAAATGCGCAGCTCTTTCAATCATGCCCCTTGAAAAAAGTCGTGGAATTACATGTCATCCCAGCTCTTTTTTAGAATTTCCAACAGGAGTTTCCCAAAAATCGATGGCCTGGTAACTTCTTTCCCAAGAAACACCAAACTGACCGAACATTCCCTGCCTTGAAATGGTTTCCATATGCCACCGAGATCAGCGCTGCTGCAGAGACATCTGCTTCCGCTGCGGTGACGGCAGGGTCGGGGAAGCTGCCTGCTTGGTTCCACCGCGCCGTGACACAAAAAAATGGGACAAAATTAAAACATCCATCAATACAGTATTAAACCGGATTTTGATAAGGGCATATTGATTTTTGGTCTTGAAGGGCCTAGATGTTGACACCAGGATGTTGTGGCTGACAATATCAGAGACAAGGGATGAGAAACCTCTGAACATTCTGCGGTTCTCTGGGGTTCTCGCAGCATCTCGCATCCTATCAGTAGTAGATCTAGCATTGATTGGGAGTCGTGGGGGGTGGATCGGAACCGAATCAGGACCGGATCGGAAACGTGCAATTCGGCGCAAGTATAAAGGGCCATCTGTGAGGCAACATGTTCCCGATCCAGATCCGATCCGGTTCCGATCCGGTTCGCAACTCTCATCTCCCAAAACGCTCAAGTGAAACGCCGGAACCATGGTTTAAAGCCCATATCATCAAAGTCATGAGATCAGAAAATGTTGGCGAAACCCACCACCAATTTTGGCATGCTGACAATCACCTCGAAATTCGAATTTCAGGACCCTAAAGTGGAGGGACCATATAAAGCCATATTTTCAGGGCATAGCCCCTTACCCCTTACATAGACCTTACATGTGGTAGATAATTACCTCCGATACACGACCTGAAATGGCCAGTTTTTTTTTCGGGTCCAAGTTGCTGACTTTCGCCGGGTACAACGACACGTCGCCAGCTGTTGAATCGACGCATTCCCCCACCGCGATGCGCTCCGGCAGGGTTCGCACGGCCGCTGTGACAGTGCCTGCGGGGGGTTCGGATGGCGGAAAACGATGGGAAACGGTAAGAATGGTGAAGTGCATTTGGATATGTAGATATAGCATCTTTTGGAGAAGGAAAACCTTTCACAAACATCAAGAAACCAAGCCATTTAGAGCGAGACCCCACCATAGTTTTCACAAAGGGATGATGGAAATGTTCATCCACCAAAAATCACCCAAATATGGATGATAGGTGACCCATCTCCAGGGCCGCTCACAATATCTACCAATAGTACCGTGCAAGGCGGTGGCGGAAGTTTCAAAAATAGGAAACCTATAGGAGAGGTTGGTTGTTGTGAATCACGGATGGCAGAGCGAATCCACTGATGGACCGACAGGTGGTTGGAGTTGTGTTTTTTGGAATGCAATGGTTGCAGTGGGCACCTTACCACAACTGTTGGATGTAGCGTGGTGTAGTGCAGCTGTAGTCGTAGTTGCAGTTGTAGCTGTAGTTGTAGTGTAGTGTAGCGGGGCTGTAGCTGTAATGTAATGCAATTAGTGCATGTGCAAGCGCAGTTGCGGTTGTAGTCGTGGTAAGGTGTAATGAGTATAGTGTAGTGCAGCGCAATGTCGTGCGTGTTGTGTAGCGTAGTGTGGTATAGTGTAGTGTAGTCTAGCGTAAGGTAGTGTAGTTGTAGTTGTGGTAGTTCAGTGTAATTAGCGCAGTGAAGTCTAGTGTAGTTGTAGTTGCAGTGTAGTGCAGTGTAATTAGTGTAGTGTAGTGTAGTGTAATGTAGTGCAGTGCAGTGCAGTGCAGTGTAGTGTAGTAGTGTAGTGCAGTGTGGTGGTTGTTGTAGTTGCAGTTGCAGCTGCAGTTGTAGTTGTAGTATGTTGTAGTTGTATTTGTAGTGTAATGTCATCAGTGTAGCGTAGTGTTGTGTAACTGTAATTGTAGTTGTAGTTGTGGTAGTAGTAGTAGTAGTTGTTGTTGTTGTTGTTGTTGTCGTCGTCGTCGTCGTTGTTGTTAGTGCAATTGATGTAGTGCAGTGTAATTAGATGTAATTATATAGTGTAGTGTAGTGTAATTAGAACAGTGTAATGTAGCGTAGTATATTTGTATTTGTAGTTGTGGCAGTAGTGTAGTGTAGTGTAGTGTAGTGTAGTGTAGTGTAGTGTAGTGTAGTGGTAGTTGTAGTTGTTGTAGTTGTAATTGTCTATCCATCTGTTTATCTGTCTATCTGTCTGTCTATCTGCAAGCTTGAAAACGCAGCTATTTTGCGACACTTCCTCAATTTTTGCACTTGACAACATCAAAAACGAAACAATTCTGCGAGGCTTCCTCAATTTTTGAACTTGACAACATCAAAAACGAAACAATTCCGCGAGACTTCCACAATTTTCGGAGTTGGCAACAACAAACATTAAACAATTCTGGGAGACGTCCTTCAAAAATGGAAAGTTGAGTGCAGAGCTGACGGCCTCGTGCCAATGCGTTTTGCGATTTTTCCACTCCACTTGTCTAAAGTACTGCGCCTGCCACGATAAAGTGATGCCAGGTCATATGGAGCGCTGCACCTGCCACGCAAAATCATCTTCCCAAAACTGAAGATCTGATGCTCCAAAATGCAACCCCTCTCAGGAACTCGCCCTGACCTCCTAACATCTCTGATGAACATGTCTCTTGTACTGCGCCTGCCACGCGAAATGCATCTTTCCAGATCCTCTTCAAATGTCCCACACCTGCCATCGTTTTGGAAACCGACAAAACCCTCACGTTTTGCTCACCTTTGACAAGGTGTACAATCCCCATCGCCAGCCACGCAAAACGACATCTGAACGTCCAAAAGTGCTCCGTGCCCCTCAGCTTTTGCACTTTTGACTTCGAAATGTGCTTCGCGCCACAACGGCGTGCACTTTTTCGACATCTCAACTTGCAAAAGTGCTCTGAACCCGTCAGTTTTTTACACGTTTGACTCGTTTGACTTCGAAATGTGCTTCGCACCACAACGGCGTGCAATTTTTTCATCTCTCATCTGGCCAGATGGCTCCGCACCCGCCGCTTTAGCGAGCCTACTGTTCGACCCTCCGGAGCCACAAATCATTGAGAAAACACAGTGTTTCGCGACTTTCCTACCTTTTCGCACGCCTGGATCTTCTTTCTTCGGAAACTTTCTCTTTTTGATCTTCTTTCTTCTTCTCTTCTCTTCTCTGACTCTTCCCATCTCTGCTTTTCATCTGTTCATATTGTCGGAAGTTTGACTTCTAAACTTCCTTCGGCTAATATCTACCATGATGGTGATGATTGCTATGTTGAATGGCTGGAATGGGGACATATTTACTATAGTAACATGCTCGACTGTTGATCAGGCCGCTGAGCTCAAATATCTACATGAAACACCGATAACATAGTACCATGAATATCCATAAATGTCCATAAATCAGATCCATAAATCATATCCATAAATCATATCCATCCATCAACTTGCCATATATACATGTCATCATTCAATATACCCTTTGGTAAATTAACATAGACCCTGCCAGTCATCGGGGTTGAAAGACTAGTTTCCACTATCAATTGGTCATTTTCAGGGTCTATGTGAAAATTTACCAGAGGGTAATTCATATCATTGCAATTCATTACATCCAACCCCCGTCTCCAAGTCGAGCTTCGCAGAGCCAAGAAGATCGTGATCCACTGGGCCATGGCGACTCGACGGCGATGCGATGATTATTATCTCGACAGGACGGGGTCGGACGGGCTGAACCAGAAATGACCAGTGAAACATCGGAGGATTTCTAGGTACATTGGGTAGGCTTATGGCATAACCATACAAATAACCAATGTTCTAGATTTGTTTAAATGGTATGTGGCTACTATTGGGGATGGTTTATGGCAAATAATGAATTGCCACTGATCATGAGATGTTACGGTATATGAAGTGAGAAAAATAATTGCGAATGTACCAGGATTCATGGGGTGATGTGACTGATATGACCATCAACAAATGGGATGTATTGGACAATCCAAAACATCTGATATGGTTCTGTCAAACCTTTTTTATCAGGATATGTGGCCCACCTCAAAACTACTATCAGTTGGCACATCGGGGATCCGACATTCATGCTACATCTATATACTGAGCTACTCATCTCTTGTTTGAGATGTGAACTACCGCCCAAGACACACATCCACCATCACATACCACCAGATCTCAGTGGCGCACTCATCTAAGGACTTTCGTATTCTGGCCACCACCGATGTTCGGACCTACCAAACTCAGGAGAGAGCCCTGAGTTAAGGGCTCCATCCTGCTGCCAGCATACCCCTCCATTGTAAGCTTTCAGGGAAAAATGTGGAAAAACGGTTGGGTTTCGAGTACCCCACCATTTTTTCAGACCCAAATCAAGAGCTCAAAGGGCAGTAAAGGCTGGGATGGTTAATGATCAAAGCCAGTAGTTCCAGATGTTAGCTGTGGTGGTTCAAACCATCGGTGTTTCAACCATCCTCAGACTGGAATGACTGGAAGCTCATTTTGATGTCTCAGGACATTTACGAGTTTGCACACCGCAACTTCGATGGGCTGTTACCCATCTACTGTATTTTCTTTGAAAAATCCAACCCATTTACATTCCATTTATCATAATTTACAATACCATTTACCATACAAGTACCATTACTAGTTACTGTACCCGTTGCATCCAGTTACAAGTACCAGTTTACCGTACCAGTTCCCATACCAGTTTCCCGTACCAGTTCCCATACCAGTCTACTGTACCAGTTACCATACAAGTACCAGTTTACCGTACCAGTTCTCATACCAGTTTACCGTACCGTTTACATCCGTTTACCATCATTTCAAATCTATCTGGTTGGTGGTTTCAACCCCTCTGAAAAATATTAGTCAATGGGAAGGATTATCCCATATTTTATGGAAAATATTGGAAAATAAAATTAATGTTCCAAACCACCAACCAGATAATTTCGAATCTAATCCTGTTTCCATGCATACCATTTACCATCACATTTAGACAGCACATCATCCGCACGCCTCATCCGACATGTCGGGTTCTTGGCGGGGATAAGCGCCACTGGAGATGAGGTACAAGTTCTCCGGTAACTGGGTGCTGGGCAATTTCTGGTGGGAAAATATAGGAGAATGGTGGACAAATTGAGCAAAATCTGGCGAAAAATGGCAGAAGAATTGAGGAAAATGATGGCAAAGTATGGGAACCTATGGTAAAATGGTGGAAGATGGTGGAATTTTGAGCAGACTTTCGGAGATCGATCTACATGAAGAGTTCAGGGGGGTTTCAGCCATCAGGTTTTATATACAGTGAAGATCAACACAGTGACATGGGAATATCTACATCACAGAAGATGATTGGGAAATCGGCACCAACGTCCCGTCCAGATCTGGCAGTTACCAAAAAAAAAACACAGCGACATCCATCGGAGCCCCCCAATTGTTCACATCGTCAAGCAGTCCAGCCTTTGGTAAACAAATCTAGCACATAAAAACTGGTTGGTGGCGCAATAACCATCTTGAAAAATATGAGTTCGTCAGTGGGAAGGATGACATCCCATATCTTATGGAAGATAAAAAAAATATTTGAAACCACCAACCAGAAAATATCCCATTTTAAGCGGATCATGTCCGAAGAATTGAAAATTCCTAGGAATTCTTCCAGTGCCATGTCAAGACTAGCCACAGATGCTACCCTTCTAATTATATTCGAATGGTTTCAGAGGAGCTACAAAACAAGTCCCAAAAGCAAGCAAAACCGGACTGGTTGAAGGGATCAAATCGTGGTTGTCCCATCTTTTCCCGTCCAAAATGACCGTAATCCACAATCCTTTCTCCCTAATATTAAACACCAGAAACCATGGCTTCATAGAGTTACCCATATTTTCGCCATCGTTTCCCTTACCAAAAAAATATAAAAAAATGGCCCAATGACAGATGGACATGTCCCCATTTTTGCCCAGCTGCAGCCGGGTTGTGATCCTTCAGTTTCACTGCGTGCTCCATGACCTGAATATCAAACATATCCTGGAGATATTATGGGATGTCATGATTTTTGATGGGAATTCATGTTATAGTTCATGATGATCATGATACATCAGGAATACAGGTATAGTTGGGAGAGCCCCCCATTTAGATGTTTGAAGATGTTTGAAGTCTGTAACTTGACATTAAACATGATTGAAGATTTCATTTTGGTGAATTGATTCCCATGACCAAATGTTTGGGCAGCTGACTGGTATGCCATACCATGGTGGCGCGGTGGCATCCTGTCTTTTTGTCAACACTAATTGGAATTTTGGAAATCGCCATGTCAGCCATGTTTTAGCTGTCAGGCATCCCCTGGAGGGTCGCCCTCGAAAAGATGTGTTTTAATCACACCCAAAGCATCATATTTTCTAAGCCACGTCCTGAATTCTGCCGGTTCTGTGTGTCAGCAGTGTGTGTCAATTCGCATCCTTCAGCGCAAAAATGCCCTGGTGATTCTTCAGCCATGGGGGGTATCCCACTTATCGGGATTGCAACTAACCAGATGCTAGCCAGTTGCTAAGTCGGATGATTCTCCAAGTGCTTTGCCTCCCAGCCTCAAATTTGCTGGACCAGAGCCAACTGGTCAAGCCTGACGGTCTCGTCTCCTCAAGATAGAACTGGGATTGTCTCAAGGCGTTGGGATGTCAAGCAACAGCCATTTTCAATGGGAACATCATCTATAAACGGCTATCGAATGGTGATTTAAGCAACACAAATGGGATTATGAAACCCGTTTCATGGGGATTTTTTGGGGATAGAATCGGATATAATTCACCAAGAATCATATGCTATGGCTTTGTCTCAAAAGGTATGATCCGCCAATTGATATTGAAGAATGGGGAAAATGTAGTTTCAAACATGGGACGGAACGGGGTACCCCATTTTCATACAACCCCCTTGGGTCACTGCTAGGAACCTGAGGCAGAACCAAGAGGCCCCAAGAGATCCCAGAAACACCAAGCAGTTCCTTGACTCTGGGCGTTTATCCCTCAGGGGGGGTGCCAGATTTGTAGACCAGACAACCGCTGAGCAAATGGTGATAGTTCGCAAATCAGACATGAACCCATCATTTTGGTTTCCATGAATCCATTACTGATCGTTTACGGTGAGCTCGTGAGAGTCCAATCCCATCATGACATCCAGTTGCACTTGGCGAATCCGGTCAGGGTCAGAGTTCCAGCCCTTGTCCAGTCCAGCTAGAAAAGTGCGATGTCCTTAACTGTTTTTAGTGTCCTTTAAAAAAATCTGAGTGATGCAAAATTTGGAGAATCGTCCCCTCCACTGTCAACACATGACCATACTTGGATTTACTCCTCTGGTAATTCAGCCTGGCAATGGAAAAACCTCGATATCATAACAAATTTTTATCCGAGAGTGTTTGCATGTAAAAATAAAAATCGTTGTAAAACATATATATACATATATATATATACATATATATATATATACATATATATATACATATATATATATATATATAATTATATATATATATATACAAATCATGATCCCAGATCATCCCAAAATCTCAGGTCGGTCCCATGGTTTTCCATTGCCATGTTGGATTCCCGGTCCGGCTCCCCGAGGCTCGTCCGATCTCACCTTCTCTGGGCGCCCCGTACTGCGGCTTGCAGCAGTCGGAACACCCCACCGAATCTCGCGGGAACGGGGGAAGTCTGCTTCACTGGCTGAGAATCATCTGATAATCATGGGAGAATCATGGGATAATCGTGGTGATTTAATGGGATTTTATGGTGGTTGAATGGGATTTTACCCTCTGGTAAACGAACGTTTACAGAACTATGGAAAGATCCACCATGCTATTAATGGGTAAATCAACTTCAACTATTTCTATGGCCATTTTCAATAGCAAACTGTTAGTCATTACCAGAGAGTAATAGGATAAGAATGGGATGCAGTACTCAAACCATGATTTGCTGAAGAATTCCCATTTAGTTCGATGAGTTTCCATCACCTTAAAGAAAAAAACAGAAATTGATGATTTCCCAGCAACCGATTGCTATATAGCAACCCAAAAAAAGAATGGAAGAGTTCGATTTCATCCCAAAATCATGGCAAATTGCTGCTTGGATTTTTGGGGGTTGCTATAGTGGCAGACCAAAATCTGGGAATATCATCGGATTATATGTAAACTCTGACCAAGAGAGGGAAAAGGGTGACAAACAGCGAGGCTTCGCCGAAATGTGAAGCCTTCCATTGCCATCTGGGGCTTGGTAACCCCCAAGCGGTTTGACCAAAAGCCAATTATCCCAGGTAGTTCTGAACGAAATTAAAACATGTTCAAAGTATTTCAAAGTCCAAAATCTATCAAAGTCTCATATCTTTTGCTGCTTATGAACTGTTAACATCCTGATGGCCTGCCTTTCTTTCCAAACAAAAAAAACTGTGGTCAGGTTGAGAACAGCTGGCCATCCCGAGGTCCCAGCAGCGACTCAACCTGAGGTCTGCAGATGTTTGACATCTCAGGGGCCCCACCAACAAAAAGAACAGGCTTCAATCGCAGAAATGGGCTGAAAAACTGTGTCCAATCTGTTCTAACGGTGTCCAAAACAGACATGAAGCCGAAGACTAGAGTTTAGATAGAGCTTAAGATGGAAGTTCTACCCCAAGTACTGGCAAGTCTTGACCTTGCCTGTACCTCCAATTTGTATCCATGTCGCTTTCTAAAAATGACAAAAAACATCAAAATTGTTGAACTGTTGGCGTTCCAAATTTTGAGACGTACCTCTAGATCCAGTGACTGGTTGGTGGTATACCTACCCCTCTGAAAAATATGAAAGTCAGTTGGGATGATGACATTCCCAATATATGGAAAGTCATAAAAGTCATGTTCCAAACCACCAACCAGCAGTGATTTATCATTCCTTTCCCCAAGTTGGGGTCCCCGAAATGCTCCATCTTTGGGGAAGCCAAAAGCCACAGGACCCACCCGGAGCCGCGCTGGCGCCTTTTCTGCTGCTGCATCGACGCCACCCAAGAGCCGCTTCGTGAGGTCCTTGACCCGCAATGGACGAAATGTCTCAAGACATTAAGGTTTAAAAATGTATTACCCTCTTTAATGGGAAAATAACATAAAATAACTATAGTCACTATAGAAAAAACCAACATAGCTATGGAAAATAACCATCTTTAAACTAACATAGCTATGGAAAATAACCATCTTTAATAGGTAAATCAACTATGTCTATTGTCCATTTTCAATAGCTATGTTAAATTACCAGAGGGTAGAATATGAAAGCAAGCAAACAATTGGGAGGTTCCCTATCATGGGGTGGTGATGGGATACATTGCTACTATCATATGGATGATCCCAGGGTCAATTTTGCACGAATAGGGCCCAATGGGGGTATGGTCATATGGTCTTCCCACCAGGAGAATCCTTTCCACGGGTACGAGTTCTAAGGCCCCTTGGGGATGAACATGGCGATGCACACATCAAATCAGAAAGAGATTTCCACAACAACTGTGACGCTCTGAAAAAATCAAACAAGCATTTGTAGTTGGTTTCCCTACTTGAATGGGATGTTCCTTGCCAAGTCAAGCTGCTGGTATTTAAAAAATTATAATGAATGAGGTCAGTGAATGCTTTGTAACAGGCGTATATTCTCAACTATTCCCAGCTCAAAGCGGTTGTGACCAATCCAGATGCAATTATCATCATCACGCCTGTTATTATCATTGTACTATCACGATTATTTTTACCATTACTACTACGACTACTATATTACTATTGCTGTGATTGATTATGTTCATAGATATGTTTACTGATTGTCACTATCAGAATCAATCATCATTGACTACGCAAATCGTCTCCCTCGATCGCGGGGTTTTAAGTTCCCGCGCTCCCTCTTCTGCAAGGTCCATAATTAGCACCTCAGCTGATCCCAGCTGAGCATGGTGATCAACCATGGGCAGCTCGACATGTCAGTTCTGTCATGGGGAAAATGGGAGGGAAGATGTGTGCACAATACTACATATAGAATGATGTAGAATGATGTAGACAATTATAGAGATACAGTATACGCTTATAACGTAGATCTGCTTCTATTCTTCATTCACATACACAGGCTATCTTTTTCGCCCAGCCGTGACCAGTCTCGGATTCCCAACCATCACATCGGGATGTTTACTCGCATAGTACGATGACCTCAAAAGCACCGCGGCCGCGTTGCCGCGCAGCCGAAAGCTCATGCTGTAGGGACGGGTGGGCCGCTGGGCCCGTCCCAAACACAGCACCGGGGCCGAGACATCTGGTATGCCAAGGTGGTTTTGCCGGTATGGCCAATGTGACCTGGACCAAGGCTTGGCTGCTGAGAATCAACCAACCATTGGGGCCATGGTGAAACGTCGACAGTATTCCTCTCCAGATCTTCAATCTGTACAGGGCCATCATAGCTTACAACTGCGCAGATATGCCTATTGTGATCATCGAAATTGATCACCGGTCGCTACGTAGGGTGTTTCTCAAGAGCTATGTATCTCCACATCGTATCCGGATTTCATCTCTGCTGTTCACCTCAACATAGCGATTTCTGGATGCTCATCTTCCCAAATGTTGGAAGTAGTATAGCCCCAAAACGATGGAAAAGTTGGAAACCTGGAGATGGCAAGGCATCAAAAAACACCATCCTGATATATCCTGATCCATCCTGGAAATACTTGGCAAGGCCTTCTGCATTATCTTCAAGGGTTACCCTCTGGTAAATTAACAATATAGCTATTGAAAATGACCATTTATCGTGGATATACCCATTAAAAATGGTGATTTTCCATAGTTATGTGGCTGTTTACCAGAGGGTACAATAACATGCATCCATATGCATCCGGTAAACTGACATGGCTATGGCGGCTATGGAAAATGGCTACCGTGTAGTTTGATGATTTACCGTTGAAACACAGTGATTTGACCAGAGGCCAACTGTTAGTTGATCAGAGGGTTTTTTTCGCCATATTTTACCTCGTATTCCCATAATATTCCCAAGCATTGTGGGATGATTTATAACATACATATAACATACATATAACATACATATAACATACATATAACATACATATAACATACATATAACATACTATAATACTATAACCCATTCCAAAAGGTCAGAGAATCCACTCGGCTTCCCAGCTGGCGAAGACATGGGAACTCTGCAGCGGCATTGCACCAGCTCCTTGCATGGCCGCATGGCCGTCGCCGTGGGTCAGGGTGGGGGGATCAAGTTGCAATGATGGAAAGTTACTCAATACCAAAATTTTAATCCAAAGTTTGCCTTGAAGAGTGGAGAAAACAGGAATTCAGGCATATTAAATCTTCTAAATGGGTCAAAGTGCACATTTCAACTACTGGCCTCGAGGGTCTTGAATTTCAACCCATACCCGACAAGGTACCAACGGCTTCTTTTGACTTTCAAGAAACATTGTGGATTCCACTTTCCTTCCACCCTGATTTCTCTATGAGCAACGCCTTCAAGCACCCCGCCCCACCAAAAACCGCTCCAGAGAGGCTTCCAGCAGATCGGGACACAGGGCGGCTTCTGAGCCACTCAGCCAGTGTAATGCTGGCTTTTCTACCACTACCAACATGTACCAACAACTGGAATCACCTGAATGAAAGTTATCCAAAAAATATATCCAGTTGGCCATTTGAAACTGACCCATCGCACTGTCCACTTGTCTTTCGAAAATCCAATCCCAGCCCCTCTTCCGTTCATCCCACAGGGTTCCAATGATTGGATTTAGGCTGACCATTTCATGACATGTCGAAAAACATGTCGATAATTACACGAGTTAGATCACGCAAACAAAATCTTCACCAACATATCTGGAAGATTCTGGAAGTAGGCCCTTTTCCACGTCCAGCTCCGCGGCTCCGCGTCCAGCGCTGGTATTTTTTTTCACCAGCAGAATGCCCAAAGGCCCATTCAGCTGATCCAGGTTGTCTCCACGTCCTTTCCCCCCTGCCATCACCTCGCCATGGCTGTTGCCAGGCCTCCATCGGGTAACGCGGTTGCCACTCTTTTCCTGGGCGCCAACTCTGGAGATCTGCCACGGCTGGTGCCACCATAAAATTGCTGTCCCATGAGGGCAATGTTTATCAATTTTTTTGGGTTTAAGAAATTTTCGACTTGGGGGCCTCCAACCAAAATGCTGTCCAATCAGAAAATGTTGAGAGGTTGAAGGCCAAAGAATGGGTGATTCCACTTCTGCCGTTGTCTTGGGCGACTTTTTTCTGAGAATCGCTCCTCGAATCACCGTGTCTGGATCCATCACTTTTGAACCTGGAAAACCTCAAACTGGGGATGGTCATGTGTAAAGTACCAACATAGAAAACGGTAGAAAAATGTTCCCCTGTATTTCAACTAGTAACTTTCACTGCCTCTTCAGGTGCCAGTGACAGCCAAGCTGCAGTGACCCAAATGCTTCCATCCTCATCGAGGGCTACTCCTTGAGGACCTTCCAGTTCGGGGCATGTGCCCGGTCCACCCACCAGCAGTTCGCATCGAGTCTGCCCCGGCCACCATTGTGTGATGCGTTGATTTCCCATCTCACACACCACTATGGCCACAGTGTCAGCCGATTTGCCTGTCCCGTGCTGGTTTGCTTCTCACAAATTTAGGGCGTGAAAGAAAGAAAAAGCATCACTGAATTGCCATGCAAATATCGTATTTGGAAAGATCAATATAATGCCATTATACAAGTATTGCTATACATATCTAGATAAACATGTCATCAGAATTCAAGATAGCAATAATTTCATGATCATAAAAGATTAATACTTAACAAAAACAACAACTACATAATAATCAATCATCAATGACAATCTATGTATCATCATTTTGCATCTGAATTTCCCTCCATCTGGGGATGGGTCAAAACCCTGGTACCTAGTGAACCCCAAAATAGCTGGTAAATGGATGTTCATCCCACCAAAAATGTATCTATAGGTATTGATCCATACCCATCTGCTGTCCATCCGCACCTTTCGTCTCTTGCAGCGCCAGGGCCACGGGCCCCGCCAGTTGCTCCAAGCCGTCGCCCTCCCCGCGGCCGCCCGCCACGACCTCCACCCACGGCGACCGTCCCTGTCCCGGCCAACGGACCACGCGGTCGTTGCCAAAGTCCTTGGACCCCAAGGGGCTGGAGATTTGTTCCAAGGGAAAGCCAGTTGGGAATGATGAGGGGATGGTTCGATGAGATTTAAGGGAATGTTATGAATATATATATATATATATATTTATATTTATATATATATATATGAATATAACTTAACTATAACATGACGTAAGAAAATAGACATGGGATTGGGATTTAATGGGATCATGATTATGATATATTATGATGGGATACAAGTAGGATAGAAGTGGGACTTGACCAATAAAAATGGGCATAAACCAATGGCTTTAATGGGATTCCATGGAATTTTATGGGGATTGAATGGAACCTAATTGGGATTTGATGGATTTTAATGGGATTTAATGGTGATACAATTGGGATTAATTATGGACTTTAACCAAGAAACATGAGAGTTGGAATCGGTAGGATGGGATCAAACTGGGATGTACAGTAATATGTATGAGTATAACCAACTCATTCTGGTGTTTGGGTGTCTGAAAATGACGGACTTACACCCCTGAAACAACCATTCTTTGAGGATAGATAACGTTGAACCCCAAATGGGATGGGGATGTTTGATGATGTGTTCTTGTTGTCTAGATAAATCTTTGTGCCTATGCAAAAACAACATCAAGGATCATCAAGGAATATGGCAGTGTTGTGGACGACCACTTGCCCATGCCAAATGGATCATGCCATGGTAAATGAACAACTAGAAAAACCAACCAGTCAGGCCCCAAGACCTCCCAACAACTGCCCCTCCCAAAACAGGATATCCACTTGGCGTCCGAAACATACACGCGCCCGGCCGCATCCACGGCCACGGCCGTGGGGCGATTCAACTGCTCCAAGGCGTCGCCGGGACCCTGTCCACCCGCCACCAGCTGTCCGACCGAGGCATCTTTCAGCATCCAGCGACTCACCATATGCGTCTTGGAATCGGCCACATAGAGCCATCCATCATGGACACAAAGACCACTAGGCTCCAGAAATGGCAAAGTCTTGGTGCCAAGGAAGATGTCACCAGGGATGCAGAAGCCTTGGTTTCTGGTGGTTTTTTTCAAAGCCATCTGGGCTCCGATAGGAGTGTTACTTGATCGCTTGGAATCAAGTATTGTATAGTCAGGCAACTAGGAGAATCATGCCCGTTGCTGGGGTTGAAATAACAGGACAGACCAACAAGAACTGCTATGTTGGATCAAGAAAATTGATAAAATTGCCAAAACAAAATCGAACTTCAAACTTCGATAACTTCGCCCAGGAAACCCTTACTTTGAGGATACCAGCAGCTCACCTTCTGTTGCTCCGCCACATAGATGGCTCCCTCGCCACAGATGCCCCGGGGCCCCGCCAGTTGTCCCAGCTGTTGGCCCCGGCCCAGGCCACCGAGCACCACGGTGGCCGTGGGAGTCGTGGCAGGCGCCAAGGTCCAGCGGCTCAAACGGTGGTTGTTGAGCTCAGAGATATAGAGACCTAGTGCTTGGTGAGGATGGTGATCAAGTTGATCCAGTTATGAATTCCCATCTTCAGAATAAACACGATAAATATGGATGTGTTTGACCCATAGCCATGCGACTTGAAGCACCCAGGAATCGTAAGTGGGTTATACATGGTTATACTATTTGGGGATGAAAATCCATAAATATGTTCCAAAGTTGATGATATTAGTGGGTCGCCCCAGGAATCTTTATCCGCGTTGCAACTTCTAACCCCAGTTAGTTCGGCTAAGTAGGGTGATCATCCCGTTATAAGTGGGGTGAACTAATCTTAACCCACTTACGATTCCGATGAACCACCTGCCAAGTTTTTTGAAGATGGATCAAAACCTATGAATCATCCTTGGGAGGGGTGAATATCCATAAATCCAAGCTAACTTGGGGTGAGCAGGGTACAAGTACCAGGCCCTTACCCCGGCTCGTGCAGATTCTGGAAAAAATCTGGACCAAGATATGGCCATTAGTTGGAAAATGATGATAAACCATGGGAAATAAACCATGGGAATTATGAACAAAACCCATGTACCAGAATTGGATGGAGGGAAAAATCTCGGGTTGAAAACCTGTTTGCTCTTGAACCATCTTGAACCGATCTAATGAGACCCGGTAACGAGGTGCTCTCAATGGCAGCCTGAACAATTATGGGATGTGAATCAGTATTGAGCATAAAATGATGAGGCGAAGCCCCATCGAATCTGGAATATTCAAAGCATTTTTGGCAAATGGTGATGGGACAATATCCATGAAACTCCAGACGCATCCGGGTCAGATCGTCCCCCATGAACCAGCCTAACCCTCTATACTAGTAATCAATACCGTCATTCATCATCACTACATCACTTCTCCCTCCATATGTGTCTCTTTTTTTAGCATCTGAAAACCCATTTTTTATAGGAAAATCCTCATGAAATGTATTAAACAGACGCGCTCAACAGGTATTTTCTCTCAGCTGCCTGGAGGGATTTGTGGCCGCAACTCCTCCGCCCGGAGCACCAGAGTCAGTTCCACCAAGCATTCACAGCGTCCCAAGACATTCGACAGCGTGCCATCCGTAGGTAGAAGCCTCTGGGGATGGGATGGGTTGGAAAAAACACATGAAATTCAACGATTTGATACCCTTTGGTAATGACTAAATAGCTATTGAAAATGGCCCATAGACATAGTTGATTTTCCCATTAAACATGGTGATTTTCCATAGCTATGTTAGTTTACCAGAGGGTAGATGATTTTCCCATCCAAAAACAAAACGATGTTCCATTGCAATGGTTGTTTATTGGAGGGTGGAATGGGCAAAAATGGCAAAAGGTGCATGAAATGAGGATGATAGCACTTTGGAAATCAACCTGAAAGAAATTGAAGCATCAACGTATGAAACAGCGACTGGAACATCCTCTCACCATCTTCAGCAATGCAGAAAACTTCAAATCCACTTCAACCTCAAGCTGTTTCTTGATCAGATGAATCAGCTGAGTTTTAAGTCACAGGGATGTGCCCCTCATGAGCCCCCGGCCCCTGATCCCTGAGTTTCATCCATTTTCGGAGACCGGCTCACTGCTGAAATGTCCATAGGATTCATTGTCATCATGTTTTTTTAATAGAAAAATGAAATCCCCCAAGAGTGATATTTATCACTCTACCTTTTGGGTGGTCACACATATGTATTTTGGGTGGTCATACATACATATATATAATATATACATATATATATATATATTCACATTTAAATGCATCATAAATCATCACTAATCAGCACCTCTCATCCCAGTAACGCATCCTCCCAGAGAAGCTCCACAGAGTCCACGGCCTTGGTTTTGTCCAATAGCTGGATGGTTTCTGATGGAAAAAGCCATCGAAAAAAACCATTGAAATGGATCATTTGGGGCGAAACCCCATGGAAACCTCCATTTTGGGTCCTTGAAAATCTTGAAAAGTGGAAATTCTCAGATCCCGTTTTAGTTTGAATAAAACATGGTCATAATCTTTGAATAGTATGATTGTTGAATCTCCCCAATGATCCAAAGCTACCAGCCCACTAAGCTTCTCAGAGGCACCATGGACCTTGCCAGCTGCTGCTTCAACTCCTCTAAGGACATCAAGGGATCCAGTTCCTGCGATCCCTTCGATCCGGGGACACCAAGGTATCCAAGGTCAACTGGTGACCTGAATTTATGACACTTCGGGGGATGACCCCCTAGCCCTGCTATTTTGGAATGAGGCTACCGGAGTTTTGACCGCCATGGCAATATGGGTTTTATGGGAAAGCGGATGATTTTTGTTGGCGTTTTTATGGATACAACGGAGATACAATTGAGGGGGTCCTAAAATGAGAACCCGCACTATATCATGTTCTTAACCCGGGTGCTGTGCTCCCCTTCATTTAACATCCATTTATGGCAGCGCAGTTGTATAGTGCGTAACTGTATTCTATATGTATTATAGAACATGATATGACCTATTCACCCACGAAGCTCCCCATATCACCCAGGTTTTTACCCCACATCTCCAGCATCCCATGGCAACCCATGGCATCCCCCCCCGCTCCTGCGGTCCCCAAAGCACTTGCCCCGACATCGCTCGGACTTGAAGCATCTTCGACATCAAGGCGCGAAAACCAGCAGGTTTTTGCGGGTTCTCTGGGTCTCAACGTAGTCTCACCTGCCTTTATCTGTTTTTTTGAGGGGTATGACAGGACACTTTATTCTTTAATGACTTTAATGACAAGTCATGGATAACGACAAAAATAATGACATTACATTTTGGGGGACTTCACAGGGCTCGAAAATCTCTAATTACCATGCTGACGTGTTTTTCTATGGGTTGGAAAGAACAATCCAATGGCTCAACATGGGGCTGGGGTAAACAGCTAAACTTTAAACGACCGATTTGTGAGAGATTCAGTCTGCAAGCCGCCATAGCACCTACCAAAACATGAAAAAATTGTTACATTGGAACCACTTGGAGGACCAATCCTGTTTGTTGCGGGGTTGTCTTGGTGAAATGACAGGATTTCTGCATCTTGATGACAGAGGAGACGTGTCTGAAAAAAATTACAGATTGCAGCTGCCATATGGTGGTTGTCTGAAAATATGGTACCCCAAAATTTGGTGGTCTATCATAACTTTCCCCATTGAAATTGCGATTTGCGGGATCCCAATTTTCAGACAAACCCATGTATACATCGTGAGAGCGCTTGGGCATCATTGAATTGGGATCACGACTTCATCGCCGAAATCATCAAAAAATGATATGATCTGATGATCTTCAAATAGTTCAACAAAAACTGGGATGTTCATGGATATTCCCTAAATGCTCCCAAAGTTCTCCATACTCTTCCAACCAGGATCACCTCAATCCCACATCCACTGAGCCTCACAGCACCCAAAGGCCGCACAACTTTCTTTCGCGCGCAACTGTCGAACCGCGGGTCATTGGCGTCGCAACTCAGCATGGCAAAGGTTTGGAACGGTTCGAGATTGAAGATCTTCCATGGTCTTCCAGGTCGGTGGATGCAAGCAGTTCAACCAATCATCATCTGTTGAAGCCATTCATAAACCCATTTTTCACACATTCTTTTCACGGTAAAGCCCATGAATAAAGCCATTTTGGGGTATGGTTTTTACATGTTTTTACAGTTTATGCCGGCCCTTGCCACCAGCTGGTTGCCAGCTGCCAGGTGTGAACTTTGCACATTTCAATCATATGGGAGGTGCCTTACTAAAGGGAACCCTGGCCTTGGACAGTTGAAGTTTCTAAGTTTCCTCCTTGCACATAGTTTCAAAGCCCATCGCGAAAGGTGGGACACTGTGAAGGAAACTAGAGGCAAAGGTAGCCAAGATCAAGCGACACATGTTTGTTCTAACTACCACCTTCCAGCCTTACATGTGCGCTGACAATGATTAACCAGTAGACATCATTCCCTTCCTTAGTTGTGACCAGTATGAATCCACTGGATGCCAATCTCCTGGTAAGAAACCTTGTGGGAAATGGTCGTTTTTTCAGATCAGCTGCCATTTCAAGGCATCCCGTGTTTGGCATCAAGCATAGCGGAAGCTGGCAACCTGCGGATGGTCTTCCCTGGTCAAAAAACAGTGGGCCGCTGGAGAATTCCGTTGCAATTTTGGGGCTAGATTTGGGCCGGGAAACACACCAAATGTTCATCAAATGTCCATCATTAGCCATTGATATCCCCATTAACCATCATTAACCAACCAAATGTTCATCTCCACTGCCCCATCAATCAGCCACTTGCCCCTTCCCCAGGCCCCTGTTTGGGCACCTGCGGTGGCCTTGTTTGCACCGGAACGGAGCAGGAGGAGTAGCCTCAGTGGAGTCCCCCCCTTTGAAAAAAACGTGGTTTTTGAAGCTTCAAAAAGAGCAGTCATGAGACGATCCTCACAGCATTGACATCACTTTAAACATGGTGGATGTTGCCACCGGGGCGGTGTCTTTGGGGAAGACAGTAGTTACAGTGGTTATTCTGAGCAGTCCCGGGTGACGGCTTTAAGCAATTTGTGTTTTGTTCACCAGGCCCATCATCTTTTTGCAGAGTTCGTTTGATCGAGTGCTGTGTAGCAAGGCCCCAAGGCCCATCAACAGCCCAGCCCATCAGCAAGGACAGCCGTCAACGGCGGATCTTCCCCCGCTGAGCGGTCAGCTAGGCGAGGATGGTACCACAGTACGTACCTCGCTGGATGGTCCACTGCGTCCCAGGGCTCCCAAGCTGGCAAGGGATAATTCCACTGTGATATCATGTTACATCATGTTACATCCATTGTTGATATTTTCCTGTTGAAAATGCTGGTGGTCCACACCCATGGTTCATTACGATATAATTTGATTATTGATTTAAATATATAATATGATACAATTGATCCTCAAAAACATTGGCCAAACCCTAAATTTTACTTCGTTAAATCCCCATGTTGGGTGGCCAAGCCCCAAAAATTCTGTGGTAGTTTGCCCAGTTTGATATGTTGCCCAGTTTGCCCTTCAGTTGGATCATCTTTGTAGGTGATGAACCCGGGGGTACCCCATTAGCTGGATGGTTTATTTCATGGAAAAACATATTACCATGGATGATGACTGGGGGTACCCCCATTTCAGGAAACCTCCATATGTTCATCACGAATTGCTATATGGGTATGGATCAATACCTATAGATACATTTTAGTGGGATGAACATCCATTTACCAGCTATTTTGGGGTTCACTAGGTACCAGGGTTTTGACCCATCCCCATATATTGCTATCTGCTATCTTCACTTCCTGGCGCTGGCATCCCACTTCGAATCCCATTTCAGATTCTATCGCCATGGTACCGGCATTGGCACGTGGCGCATGGACCCCACCGAGGCAATCGTTCCCACCGGCGCCTTGGGTGTTTGTTTGTTGTTTTTTTGTTCAGGTTCCATTGGGAAATCCCTTCCTCCTTTTAAGTGGTGCTCCTTCGTGGGGATGTGTTTCCAAAAATGGTGGATCTCGGCCATGATTTAGTTGGCAAAGTTAGTGCAAATCACTCCTGTTGGGTTTATGGTACGAAAATATAGAGGTAGTTGAGGGGGGGTTATTACCCACCAAGTTATAACTGGGTGTCTCCACCTTGCAGCTAAGCATTGCGAGTGTTGTAATGTGTTGATGTATTGATTGATGCGTAGAATTCATACAAAGGGGCTGGGATTAGAAGTAGGAACTGAGCCACTGGTCAGAAGCACCATCAAATAGTGAGGATTGAAGCTCTAATTTTGTTGGAACACCTTTAAAAACTATTCCTATCACTGGCCAGTTGTGAAACCCCCTTACAACCTGAGGGCCGGAATGAAATACAGATTAAAATTGGAGCATGTTGGTCATACATACACATTTCCTTCTGGGCAGATCCATTGTCGGAGGTGTTTATTTTCAGCCACTCCCGAAGTACATGGGCATGGGTGAAGAATTAACACCCACACATGCACAGAGGCTGGTCATTTCTACAATGAGGTGGAAATCACAAGAGCATCCCACACATCAGGCTACCCGGCTACCCTATGATCTTGTCACTTAACCGACTTAACCTATCTATATAAACCTCACAGCTTCAGTGAACCGGCGATTCCCCAGCCATTCAGCCGATTGGCCTGAAACAAGGGAGTCTACAGAGTCCCAATCCACGCGCAAAAGCTGGACGTATTGTCTCAGTTGTCAAGCATTTCCCATGGTTGTTGCTTACCCTAAAAAACATAGACTCCCAGAAAAATCCCCCCATTTTTTTGCTTTGAAAGTACCCTGCAGGAACCCCCCAAAAACGGAGTGCCTGGGGAATCATGGGAGGCCTGGGATGCCGAGAGCAAAATTCGAGGAGATACCAGGGAACCATCATTACTCTTAGTAATAATCAATGGAAATTAATGGATATATGATATATACTATATTGGGATAATGTTTTGTTTACAATGATTCTTATTACTAGTTACATCATGTTACATCTAGTTACTAGAAATAATGGAACCGTGTAATAATTATCACTACTAGATCTACTAGTACCAACGTTACTCCAAACACGACAGATGTTTTAAGAATCGCAGCTTTGGGGATTGGATGGAACATCGAGTCTCTTGGACAGACCAGCTGATATTTGAACTCTTGCCACACACAAATGGAACAAGGAAAACCATCAGTTTCATCAAGAGACCCATCTCAGTGCATTTTTCCCTTCGATTCGCCCTGCTTGGCACCACAGGATCCCCAGAAAAGACCAAGGTTGGACTGTTTGCACCATAAAATGCAACCCACATCGTCCAGCTGCCAGCTGATTTCGCCAAACATGAGATTTCACCAACCATCAAAATATCATCATTTGGTGATTCAACATGTTATAACATGTTATAACCAGAAAAAATGGGAAGATTGACCAGCTATATTCGGTTTAATATCATCCCCCGCAGCTTCGATGGGAGGCTGCGATTTGGTACGGTTAGGTCAGCTAGGCCTCCCGGCGGCATGTTCATCGACGCTGGACCCAGCACTTCATGTCGTTCCTGAGAATGGATTGGTGTTGGGACCAAAATACACTGGAAACCCATGGCTGGTTGGTGGCAACCCCTCTGAAAAATATGAAAGTCAGTTGGAATTATTATTCCCAATCTATGGAAAAATGAAAGCCATGTTCCAAACCACCAACCAGATGGGGTTTTAGTCCCAAATTGCTTGGAGATCGGCCTGGGGACCCAAGCTTTGAGCTGCCTTTCCCACTCACGTTGCATCTTGCTCTTGGACTCATATTGATTCTGTTGGACCTCGGGTGTCGTGGAGTTTTAAGGTCCCAAACTTTTGGAGGGGTTGAAATGGGATTTTCGTGTCTCCTTTGATGATGGAAAATGGATCAAAGTCGAAGGCTCTCAGATGTCTGAAGTGTGTCGGACAAGCGAAAAAACCCTCACATAGATCGCCTTTCGGTCCTTGCCTTTGAGTCTTGACCGCCTGTAGATCTCTACCCCATGTTTGCCAACACAGGGTTCGATCAATGTCCAATCCTCAAATAACTTGGGCTTCTCCAAGTTGGGGAACCATCAGAATCATCAGAATCCTTCCTACCGGCGACTTTTGTTGGGGTCCCCAATGTGAAGGCACCTCAATTTTCAATGCTGGTGACCCAAAAAACATCCAGCCAGGTTCCAGGTCCCAGGTCCCAGGTACCTCCGAATGCAGTTTCGTTGCGGAGTCAACATATTGCCTGCTGAGCAGCGGTGATCCCCACTGGAATCTTGGATGGCCATGGATCACTGGAATCACGGGCCTCTGCATTTCCGCCTGGGTAGCGGCAAACTCTTCTTGCATTTTCCTGTCAAGAAAATCCCGGGGCAATCCGGGGGTGGTTCCCCCACGCTGCGAAGCTTCGCATCAAAATGTTGTGTTAACATGCAATAATCATATGATTGGCTTACAGCAAAATCCTGATGTTGATCATGCACTAACATTCTGATGTCATTTGACGACCAACAGCCTTGTTGATTGGTTACACTGGGAGGAACGCAAAAAACATGTAGCTTCTTGGGGGTGGTTATGACCTATGGAATTTCCCATCAACAAAGCCAACAGGATGAGGGGAAAGGCCTCTGCTGGTACTCCAGAGTCAGAGACCTCAGAATGGGATGAAGATGGATGAAGATGAGCAGTTGGGTTGTGACAGTGAACCCCCACTGTAGAGTTGAATTCATTGATCACTCGAAGCTTCCCTGTGACAATTTCTGTGGTGTGCGAGAATTCCGGTGAGGCTCTTCCAATGTGGAACTATCTCTTGGGTAGCTTCATCTGGAACAATTGCTTTCCACCAACCACATCCACCTGCAAAAAACATTGAGGCATTGCATAAACTAGACGCGCACAAATTCTTTCTGACAGACTGGGCTTTCTTGCTCTTGATTTGAGCTCCTCCTCTTCCTCATTCCCTCTCTCTTGAATTACCTCTTCTTGCATCCGCAATTTGTATTTTCCCGCCGCTTTTTGTTTGATGACTTTGTGTCCAACCCCAAAAATGCCACAGCGTGCCCCCTTTTGTAGAACGGATTGCCCAACTCCAAACAAATAACGACTCCCAGCAAATGATTGAGATCCCTGCGCAGCTTGTTGTTCAAGCGCAGCCCTGCGGCATCAAAGAGAAATGTGTCATAGAGTGGTTGTTGTTTTTTTCTGAAAATGGAGGTGCACCCCCAAATGGCCGGTTTTATAGGTACAAAGATAATAGGCCGCTGGATTTTTGGGGTATCTGATTTTCAGACAAACCTAAGTAAAAATAAGTGTGATGAAATTGGCAGTCGCAAGTGCGATGTAGATCAATTGATAGAGATAACCCTGATAGAGAGGAGTTCTGATAGAAATGAGTTTGATGGAGTCAACAAGTTTCATAGAGGTAGACTTCATAGGGGGAGGTCATGTCAGAGTTCGGTTTAACAGAGATTTTGGTCTGAGAAGGTGCAGCCGAAGATGCCTCAATTCGTAGCTGCAACTGGCTCCCCAAAAAGTTCATAGGGAATATGCTGCCACCAGCATGGCTCTCATCAGCCTGCTACCTCCATTCAAAAACTACATAGCCAAGTACCCTCTGGTAAACTAACATGGCTGTTGAAAATCACAATTTTTAGTGTGTAAATCCACTATAAATGACCATTTTCAATAGCTATGTTAAATTACCAGAGGGTAGTCACCATTAATCGTCATTAATCACCATTGGTTCCCATCATCATTCGTGATTACTGGGGATCGATTCCCATCACCATTCATCCCCATTAAATCTATGAAAATCACCATTATATAATCACTATTGATAGATGATAATAGATGAGATATATTAATCATCACTATATGATCCATATTAATATCAATCCATGTATTAATATCAATAATAATAATAATTAATAATAATAATAAATAATGATTAATAATAATAATTAATAATAACAATAATATATATATATATATATACTCACCATTATATTCATTATATGATCACTATTTATAGATGATTGATATCAATAGACGATTGATCCCCATGAATCACCCGGAGACCTTTGGTCAAGAGCCGCTTTCTTCAGGCCCATCCTTTGGCGGCCAAAGTTCCGAAAACGAGCGGTGGTGACCCTGGTGACTTTGGTAAAAACATGGTGGAAAAATGTGGGAAAGACCGGAAATCCCTGATTTTTATGGAGCTTGTTATGAGAAAATCATGTAGAAAATTGTAGAAATGGAGGATCTTCCACCAGGCCACAAATTGAGGGCAGTTCAATCTGAGTCTGGGGCAAAGCATGGTTGGTTTGCTCATCCAAAGCCATTTCCTGCAGAATTCCACGCTAGCTTCTGCCGGAGGATCCCACTTCGAGGACATATTCTGCAGTAGGGGTTCAGTGAAAAATTCAGCCATGTACCAATCCGCTGAAGTGGAAAACAATGAAGTGCACGTGATATTTTTGCGATGCTGAAGATTGAATACTTTAAAAGCTGGTTGATGGAGTGACCAAGTGGTTGACTGAATGAGTGCGTGAATGGTTGATTGATGGAATGGCTGAACGACTAGTCAATGAGTGAATGGCTGAGTGAATGAATTGGGGAATGCGTGAACGGAGGAATGACTGAACGACTGCCTGAGCGACTCTTTATGACCCAAGAACATGTCAGAACATTTCCAAAGTGAGCTAGCTGCTAGATGCAAGGTGATTCATTCATTGCTCTTTATTGTTTATCCTCTGGTAAACTAACATAACTATGGAAAATCACCATTTTCAATGGGAAAACTCATTATAAATGGCCATGTTCAATAGCTTCATTGATTGATTTTTCACAGCTTCATTGAAGCAAAATGAAGCAACGAAGCCGCCATCTCCTGCATTTTGACCTGCTGCTCCATGTGCAGCCTCAGTGGGCGAAGGCTAAGCAACCATTGGAGCACCAGTGGGCCCTCCGAAAAAGCCAGATGCCCTTAGGCCCTATGGCTAATCTAACATAGCTATAGAAAAGCACCATTTTCAGTGGGTAAATCATGGGAAATCCTCTATTTATTGGGCAATTTGCGATGGCAAACTGTGAAAAATTCCCGGGCAATGGATGAATCGCCGAGGTCAACTCACCTCACCATTGGAGTCACCGGGGCCACCGACAGCAGAGCTTGTTTTTGCTGTTCCGCTGCCTCCCAGCACGGTCCATCGGTATCTTAGGAGCTCTAAGAAACCTCACCCCACCATGTCACCATGTGTGGCGACATTCTAAGGATTGGCCGTTGACAAGTTCCGTGGGTCACTGGCATTTTGCTGAAAGTTCGGCATGCCAATCATATTTTGCCAGGCTAATGCTGGGGGATATCCATTCTCGGGGAAGATTGCTTTTGGTAAAACCAATAGAGGGAATACCAATAGATCCCAATAAGGACATCCTACCAATAGAGGGTTTTACCATTTAATAGAGGGGTTTGATGTCCTTTTGGTAAAACCCTCTATTAATCAAACCCCTCTATCAATATTATTAACACTAATCAACCAACCAATGGGAAAAGAACATCTATGGGGAAGATTCCCAGACTCATGGTGCCACCAATGGTCCCTCTGTCACATCTGGATCGTTTGCGTCACCGCCATGTCCCCCTTTTTTTCGCAGTTTAAGGTAACGTAACGCAATGCAATGTCTCTATAATCTACATCTATAATATGTATATGTTTGAAAAAAATATGTATGTATATATATATACTGTTATATACTATGTATATATATATATATGTGTGTGTGTGTGTTCAATATGATACAATATGTATATATTTCACAGAACTTCCATGTGTTGACCATGTGATTTTCGCGCATCTCGCTCACCTCGTGCAGCTGCTTCTTCCTCTCGATATTTTGCCTGGATCGATCGTTGACAGTCCCAGAAATCTGGCACGAGAAATACCATGTATATACCATGTATTCATCTGGTTTAATGATGTAATGATGTCTAATGAGAAGTTTCATCTGATTTTAATATATTTGCATATATTTGCTATGTTTTCATGATGGTTTCTAATGATATTCAATATGCTCATGATTTTGGTTTATCCCAAAGATGCTTGAAACGTGTTGTTTGACATCTTTGGAACCAGCGACCAAATTTCAGGTGCAAGAAATGATGTGGTAGATGGGATTGATCTTCAGCAAACATCATCCAGTTCACAAAAAAAAAAGCCGCGCTGTCCAAAGTTTTTTTTTGTGCTAGTGCTGCTAGTGAAGTGGCCAAATGAACTGCCAAAAAATCGAAAAAAAAAATGGCTGATCCCGCTGGGCTTCACCCCACTGCTGAAGAGATTTGTTGCCCTCTTCAAGCTGATGTTCAAGGCTCCTGGCGGTGCTGGGCAACCCATGGCTGGCTGGGAATCCGCTATAAATGAAGCTTTAATGGGAAAAACATGAATAACTTCGGATGTTCAATTGCCATGTTTGATTACCGGAGGGTGGGTCAGAAAATGATGAGAAACCCTTGGAAGTGTGGGCAATTCCTGTACTTCTCACTGCGAAATACGGCGATCCATCAAAGGTTGCAGATGTTGAAGTCACAGCACTGCCGGCGTAAAGATTCACTTCCAAGTCGGTGTTTCTACATGATTACCCTCTGGTAATTTAACATAGCTATTGAAAATGACCATTTATAGTGGATTTTCCCATTAAAAATGGTGATTTTCCATAGTTATGTTAGTTTACCAGAGGGTATTCCATAATTGTCCAGTCAACAGTTGAGATATTCCATTGCCATGTTGCATTACCAGAGGATAATTATACCAGCCACCTTTGCCAACTGTCAGCGACCCAAGTTTTCTCGAAGGATACCCCGAAAAAATAGGGGCCATCGAAAAAAGTCTTCGGAACAGCTTCGAAAAACCACGGCTTTGAAAAAAATGTCCCAAAATGAAGGACGAAGCCATTGCCCATATTTACCCGTCATTGTTGGTTACAGTCTGTTATACATCCCATATTATATATCCCATCATAAAGCCCGTAAGATGCTTGGTTTCATGTCCCACGAATCGTTTTCCAACTTCCAGCTTTCTTAGTTTTACAACAAAAAAACTAATATACATCTATAATCATCTATAATATATATATATAAGCTATGTACAGTATATATATATACATTATATACTGTATATATATCCAATGAATATATCCAATGGATCTATCCCCATCACCCCAGATGTTTCCCCGCTGAGGCCGCACCTGCAGTAGGCCAGTTTCTGCTCCTCGATGGAGGTGGGATCCGGAAAGCCCCGAGTGAAGGGCCCCTCGCAGCGATAAGGAAAGGGTCATGAAATTTGGGGATGGGGAAAGGGTGCGTTACAGTTACTATATGTACCCTCTGGTAAACAGCCACATAACTATGGAAAATCACCATTGTTCATGGGAAAACTCACTATTTCTATGGCAATTTTCAATAGCAAACTGTTAAATTACCAGAGGGCAACCACCAACAACTCATGAAAGGGTTTGACTTTTAACTTTTTGACTTTTTGATTTACCGGATGCCTGTCCAGCCGAACATGCGCAGCTCTTTTTTGCTTAGGGAAGTGAGGACCAAGGTCTCAAGGGTGCAACGGTAGTGGATCATCCCTTAGACATCAACAGCGCTGTGACAGATATCGCCACTGATATATGGCTTATAAATGGGATAGCCACTGTGGGATATATGGGTTATATGGGTTATATATGGATTATATATGGGTTATCTGGGTTATAAATGGTTATACTGATATGATAAACCACTGAATGGTTGCCTCCCCGACACCGGGTTCTTTTTCGCAGCTAAACACCAAGGGCGCCCCAGTGAAATGCACCTCGCTGTCAACGCTGCGAGGCGATTCCGCCTGATCTGGTGGCCATCAACTGAGGTAATTCCATGGCTGGGAAATTGCCTGAAAATCATTCACAGCAATCCATGGAGATGATGATGATGATGATGATGATGATGATGATGATGTTTGGAGGTTTAAATCCCTGTTCAGACAAAGCCATTTTTTGGGGGGGCGACTTGACCAGCAGAAGGTGAGGATCTGGCAGAATCGGGGCCGCCAGCACCTGCGACGTAAGGTCCATCCCCCTGGGACTGGTATAGGACTACCCCCAATCATCCATTTGGGTATGGGTCAAAATTAGGTACCCCAAAATTATGGATGGTTAATACTAAACTAGACTAACATCTGCGGTCCCCTAGGTCTTCCATTTTGACCCACATCCATTTGATTTTCGGATGTCCCATACCATCCAGCTATTGGGGTACCATTGATGGACATCCACGGGCTGCCACTTCGCCTGCGATCGGAGCCGCATATACCTGACGCAGCAACTGGCTTGGAAGTTCTCAAGTATTTGGGATATATTTCGGTGTGTCCTAACGGGGCTTTAATGGGAAAATATCCATGAAATCCATGAACATCCGATATGCGAAGAGATGTCTATTCACTGATCTTGTCATCTATGTATTTGTTTTGACTTATCTAGGCATCTATGCATTTGATGGTTTGTCTACATCAATATCATACAAGGGTGGTAAACCCAAGACCACAAAGCTACCAAATTTTGGGAGGCTTTGAATCCCATTAAATTTACTAAATTTATGGTGATGGGGACGATGGTCCTATGAGCTCCGGATCCTCCTAGCTCAGCTCCGCACAGCACGAGGATTCACGGCTTGCGGGGCCTCATTTTTGGCACATCACCAGCTCTGTTTTCCGAGAATTTCGCCCGGAAGAACCCAGGTTTTAGTTACCCACAAGTAATGGGTTTTCCCACAAAAAGATGTGGAAAACCTACGGTTTACCCACAAGTAATGGCTTTTCCACAAACTTTTTGTATGTTTAAAGGAGGGTGGTGTCCAAAACAGCGAGGTGATTTGTTCAATGGAAAACACCTCAAAACGCCAGCAGAAACCCTGGAATACACTCCCATCCCATAAACATCACCTTGAGTATTGGATCTTACTCATACGGCTCACATACCGATGAAGATTGGATGGGTATGCAGTTCTACATATAAATCATCGAACCTATCCCTGTTTTTGCCTTGTTCATTGGCTATATCCTTGTATTTATAGAGGTTAAATGCTCATGTTTCTCCATTGTTGAGGGTATTTTTTTTGTCTTTTCACCATGTTTCATGGTAGAAACTCCATGTTAAATCACCATTTTACATGCTTATTGATGGTAAAATTGTTCCATGTTATGAGTTTTTCTACCTCAGGGGCTTAGTTCGCATCCACCCAGGTGTCCCCAACCGTTCTGAGTCCCTGGAAGCTTTGGGGACCTGGTTTCGGCGCCGAAATCTGCAGGATTTTCTATGGAAAATCACCAGAAACTAGGAGTAAATCAGAAGAAACTCAGGGATTTTCACTATGGATCACTGATAAAAAGATAGGAAACTTAGATTATATACAGTTCAGTAAATGGAATCTAAGAAGGAAAAAAACTGGAATGCTGCCAACAAAAGAGAAAATCAATCAGGTACACGGTACAACCAACAGAAAAAAGGAAATCTACGCAACAAGTTCTTAATTTGGCTCAAACATCGAGTTGGGAGATTACCCATTAAAAATGGACCACCTTCGTGTCATCAATTAAAATAAGAGGATGTCATATATCAGCAATAATTACTTGGAAAGATTTGGAACATTTGAGATAATCTCCAGATATCACTAGCAGGACATTGTAGGATATTAATGGATATTAGTGTTACCATCTGGCTATTTAACATAGCCATGGACATATCCACCATTTTTAATAGGTAAACCATCTATAAATGGGCCATCTATACCATGGCTATGTTAAATAACCAGAGGGTATAGATATATTTCAGGCCTCCAAGCTATATATCTCGATTCCCAGGATTCCAATGGCCTGGCACACCTGGGACACTCACAGAAGACACCGGCATCGCCACGGCCTGCCGTTGGGATCGTCTTCATTGGCCGTGAAAAAGGGGAAGTTGTGGGACCATGTGGGACCCACGGACACGCCGTCCTGAACCCCACGTGTTTAAGATTTACCCTCTGGTAATTTAACATAGCTATGGAACATTACCATTTATAGTGGATTTTCCCATTGAAAATGGTGATTTTCCATAGTTATGTTAGTTTACCAGAGGGTACAAAATCCCAAGGCAGTAGGTGTAGCTTTTTGTAAATAGGCCCCAATTGCAAGTGTTGGACCAAGTCGAAAAGCCCAGTTTCATTGGATGCCGCCCAGGGAAAACAAACTGAAAAAAAAGCCCTCGCTCGTAAAATCAGGTATGTTTACTTCTACATTAGTCTAGTGCAAATCGGCTTTAGTTTATTATACCTGATTTATACATGAGCATTACCGTCCGTAGTTTATTATAACGTCATTGTATATTGGGTATACAATATATATATATATATTAGGCATATGTTAGATATGAATTTTACCATCTGCTTATGACTAACAGTTTGCCATGGAAAGATCCACCATTTTGAAGTTCGGGAAACCATCTATTTCGATTAGGGCCATCTATACCATGGCTATAAGATGCCCAGATTCCATAGATTCTTTCTGGGACCCCACACCCGATAGCTTCCTGGCGCCATGGTGCACGACCTCGACTGACCCGCACCGTTGCCTGTGGAAATATCAGGAAATTAGATAACTTTCCTAGGGAAACCATGGATTTTCATGGATTTTCTACATCTTGTTGTATGTTTATCCCAGGGTAAGAGGGATTCTCACTTCATTGGTTTGATGTTGTTCTGTGTGTTTAATGTCAAATTCCCAAAACAACTAGCAGAATCCAACATAAGAAGCACAGTATGATAGGATCGTCCCAATATGTGTACTCTGTATATATATATATACATATATGGGTATGGGTCAAAACCTTGTACCCCTTCTGTTCACATCAAAATAGCTGGTAAATGGATGTTCATCCCACTAAAAATGTATCTATAGGTATTGACCCATACCCATATAATATACACATAAGGATATGCTAATAACACCTGAAGCAACCTGAAGCGATTGCTGTCACCAAGGGCATGACATAGCAGGCCCACCGTCCACCTTGGCGATTGTCATCCCTTAAACCATGGGATTTTCATGCATCTTATTTTCAGACAAGCCATGACAAGCCCACGTCAAAGAGACTGGTTCAGCTCAATCCGGGCGAGGTACAGACGAACCAGGACGAGCGAATAAACATGCTATTGCAACACACTTGCGAAGTGCGCAAAAACACACTTGCGAAGTACGGAAACGTCGAAGCAAGCTCTTGAAACATGTTGTGAAACTCATCTGGGTTTGTCTGAAAATGGGATACCCCAAGATCCACTGGTTGATCACTATTTTCTCCATGAAAATGGACAAAGTGAGAAGTTAAATTCCCCATTTTCAGACACACCCATCTACAGAAAAGCAAGTTGCTCTTGGATACGAGAGCTGTCGCCACCATAATCTGCATAGCCCCATGTTACCAGCGATCCATCTTCCACCACTGCAGCAAAGGCATGATCTGTGGCTTCAACCTAAAAAAAATAATAATGAAGTTGTCACAGCTGCCGCCCTTGGTACGCGAGCAGCTGGAAAAGTGACCTCAGAGTCCTTAGAATCCCAGGTCCTTGGAACAACAGGTTACATTCCTATGCAACTTCGTGTGAATCCGTATAACGACATTCAACAACCGTAGCAGCAACTTTAGCAAGATACTTTAAGACACTAGTGTCACCATTAATAGTCGGCCAACCAAACCTAGCCGTGAGGGGGTTTTGAGGCTTAACAGGCCTGTTCTCAAATTGAGGACAAAACCAAGCCATGTGCTCCCAGGTAGCAACAGAGCAAGAGCAAAGAGGGCAACCCAGCTCATTATCTTGTTTCATCTTGGCCAAGGCAGCAGGGGAAACAGTAGCCCCCAAGGCAACATGTCTCTGCCAAGCATTGTCTTTAATGCCAACACGCAAAGCATGGAAATCAATTTCATCAAAAAAGGAAACCATCTGTTCAACGGAATAATCAGACAAGAACTGTCCAGGCTCTCGTCGTTTTTGGCACAACCAGGCACGGAACTGCGTCTCACGCCAGGAATTTCTAATGAAGTGAAGGGACTCACCCAAACAGTCAACAGGGGTATCCAAAGAAATGATACCATGTTTAGATTGCCAACCATGAGGGGATCTTTCCGTCCACCCAAGTTTCTGAAGAGACTTGCGAAGCCAAGCAATGGAAGAACCAAAACAACCATTCCAAGTGATCAAGCCAGCGTGGAAAAGCTTAACCGTACGAACCCAGAGGCGTTGTAAGATAACAGCAAGAAGGTAAAACTTAGCCCCATAGACGACCTTACGGAGGACAGGGGATGCCATACGGGCAGTATTATGAGTGGCCTGGTTAAACAAGGAAAAGAACTTGTCAGCCGTGGCCTGCGTGGGAGGTTGGGCAAGCCAACCATAGTTGAGCACAGAGAGGACGAACAGTTTGTATGCTTCTAAGGCTCGCTCCCAAGGGAGACCCACACTTCTGAAGAGAACAGCCCTCAAATGAGCTTTGTCAATTCTGTCCTTCTCAACCTGATGGTAAGCACGTTTGCGACTTACAGTTACAGCACCAAGCATGCGCATGTCAGTTTCAATCCAACTTTGAGGCCCCTTGGCCAGTAAATCGAGGTGTTTTTTCCCTTTGGCAATCACTTTGGTCTTTTCAGGACCTTCCTTAAGGCCAACGCTTAAGCTCCAAGCTTCCCACCTGGAAATCTGGGACATCACAGCGTCCCAACAACAGGTATGCAAGGTTCTGTCGTCCATGTACACTTTCAAAGTGCACCGGTCATCATGAGTGGCCCTAGCACCTGCACTTGTCCACACTGCCAACAGGAGAGGCGCAAGGGGACATCCCTGCGGTGTGGCAGGGGCGTGAACTGGAAAAGACAACGTTTCATTTTCCCAGCTGATCCAACGGTGTTGTTGGCCCCAGGCTTCATAGAGAAGATCGCAAATCTCAACAGGCCAGTTCAAACGCTTAAGCAGCAAAGTACTAACCTCAGGGCGCATTCGGTCATACGCTTGTTTGAAGTCCATAGTTGCTAAAAAACCATGGTGTTTGGCCAAACGGTCCTGGAGCGTGTGCGCAATGAGTTCTGCCCCAAACGCACCCCGCCCATAGCAGACGCTTTCATGCAAATTGAGCTTATGCCATGTTTGAACAGAATTAGATTGAAGAAGGGCAGAAGCAAAACATCTCCAAAAAATGCTCATGACCGTAATGGGTCTCGTGTGTTCGGGCTTTACGCGCCCAAGGTGAGATTTACCCGGCTTGGGCAAACTGATCTGCTTTGCCTCTTTTAACTGCGAAGGCAGTTTCTTGACAGAGAACCATTGACGCACAATAATGCTATGCCAAGTTTCGATAGCTTTCAGCGGCAGGAACTGGAGTTCATGACCTGACCACTGATCAGGGCCAGAAGAGCCCTTGGATTTGCGTACCGCCTGCCAAAGGTCAGCAACAGTAATGGTTTCCCACACAACGTTTTCGGTAGGTCCAAAATCCTGAGCCAAAGTGGCGGCCGCCATCTCAGCGGGGACATTTTGATCAGCCCAAACCGATTTCCAATAATCAGCAATAGCCTGTGCAGCCTCTCGGGGAGTGGTGGTAGAACCAACACTGACATTTTCAAAAATAGACACTTTGTTTTGAAGCCACCTGCTAAGAGGCCTGAAAGAACCCGCAGTCATCTGTGATTTCCAATAGCGAATGTTGTCATTTTTTTGCTTAGACTCTTCTCTGGTTTGTTTCATCTGCAAATTTTGAATGCTCTCTTGTGCTCGAAACAGGGCATCATGAGGCGATATGTTTGCAGCTTCTTCAGGCCAGAGCCGTCTAAGAAGAGCGGGATCAGCGTGCCCGTGACGTTGAACCTGACGTACCACCTCATGAAATCTGGCCAAGTTCCTACGCAGCTTGCGCAGGGATTCACCTGCGGCCGGGTTACCTGCCAAACGAGTTGCCGAAGTGACAAACTGATGCTTGGCAACAGCACCTTTTTGATTCTGACCTGATTGTCTCAACATGGTCCGGGTTTTTCTTTCCATCTCACCGTCAGCCTGAGCATGAATGCCAACAATGGCAGTGCGATAGACCTTATTGAGAGCAAGCATGTATGTATCCCAAGTTTGTTGCAGGGTGCAAATATCAGGAGAGTTGACATTAATTAAATTTTTGAGCTGGAGAAAAATATCATCAGCATCCCAGAGAGAATCCCAAGTGGAATCAAGGGCTTCCTGCCACTTTTCAGAAGAAAGCCCATCAGGTTTTTTCCAAACAGCAGCCGGCTTCAAACGACCTCTTCTGTTGTCACGACCCTCAAAGCAAAGTTCAAACCAAACCCCTTTATGGTCGGAAAATTTCACATCCGAATTAACCCAAGTGGAAGCTACGACTGGGCGACTTTGGAAAGCCCAATCAATGATCCGTCGACCGTTCCATCTTGTGCTGGTGTTTTGTCCAGGAACCAAGGTACCGCCATGAGCCGTAAAAAAGGAGGCAATGATTGAATTGTGAGGTTCCTCGTTGGCATCACCCAGTGCCAACCACACATGTTTTCGCATGTGAGCAGCGGCCCAATAAAGACCCAAAGCTTCCGCACCCACAGCACCGTGCTCGGGAGGAAAATAGAAATTAATGAGGTGTAGCCCTTCAAGCCATAAACCCAGGAGCTGGGTACACTGATGCGTGATTTCAGAAGCTAAAACGTGTCTGACCGATTTGTGCACCAGAAAAGCCAAACCGCCTCTATGCTTACGGATACCCAAAACATCTGTGGAAATCCAACCAGAAGAAAAATAGCACTTGTAGCCATCTTTGTTGGCAAGTCTAGCAAAAGCCTTTTTTTCATTTTCACTCATGCAAACTTCTTGAACACACAAGACATCGGCTGAGAAATAGGCTTCAGCCCTCAGCCGCCACATACCAGGTGCTCCACCAGTGTTAGCGGAAAAAATCTTGAGGCCAGAACGAACAGTAGGGCCTCTCTTGACAGAGAAAGCCGCATCCCCAATTCCCATTGGAGGACCTGGGTTTTTAGCTTCTCCTATTCTTTGGCCAGCCAAGCCACAGAGACCAAACCTGAGAGGATACAAGCAAAACGGTCCTGTGGCTTGGCAGAAAGGTCACTCGGAAACCTGAGGTTGGTTTTTCGACTTTTTGACCTGAAACAGCTAATCCACCTCATCCATGGTCCAACCAGTAGCAGCCAAAAAAGCATGCATATGTTTGGGGGAACGGGACTTCATATTGCCCCACCAAACTCTTCTGCCCAAGACGACTTGGGGTTGATCCTTATAAGCCCGTAACATTTGCTTGCAAGTGCGAACAGTCACCATGGCACGGGAAGTCGGGGCAAGACACTTCTTGCAATAATACAGATTGGGGATTCTGTCAATGTTCTGTTTATAATCAAGCGTAGGGACCTGAACAACAGTGTGCGTGCGAAACTTTTTCTTGCGAAACTGAGCCCAGGCATCCGTCCGAGCCTTCTGCACAGCCAGCTTAGGTTTACCACAGGAATTCTTGTCAGCCAAGGATTTCGGGTTTTCCCCAGGATGCCTTTTGCAATGCTCACGAATGGCTCTGATCCGAGCCTTGTAAGGCAAACACGGTAAACCTTCTTTGCAAATAGGGCATTCCCAGTCTCTTTCATGCTTGGGCAAAAGCGAAGAAGTTTGAAAAACCGTAGCTTTAGTTCTTTTGACCAGGTTGACATCAAACTCAGGATGGCGAGATTTCAAATGCCTAAGTTTTTTGCACGACAAACCATTGGTGGTGTCATCCTGAAATGTGATATGACAAACAGGGCATACCCAAGTGTGCCCGGTGACACGTGGGAAACTCTGTATTTTCCCAGCAACTCCCTTTTTCTGATCACCGCTACATGTAGCGGCGGCGCCACTGGAAAGTTTTTTGCCCTTGCCAGACTTGACGGATTTGTTTGAACAGGGCTTGAGCCACTGAGAAACCTTAGAAGAAGCAGCACTGCGAACATCCTCTGGCGGCCTTAGCCACTTGCTTACACCTGACGATTCACTGGCAGGAGGTGGAGGCTTGAGCCACTTCGAAACGTTAGAGCTGCTACTCTTCACGCTTTTTTCCTCGGATGAAATCCGTTTGATGACCCTGCAGTTCAAGTTGGCCTGACCGCTGCCTGAACTTTTGCCACCACCTATAAAGCTAAGATTAGCCTGTTTCTCTTCTTCATCGAGTCCCAACTCCTGCCATTCATCAGGAAAAGTGACATTGGAGGGAAGGGTCGTAAAGTGCCCATCTTTCAGGAAAAGGACAAGAGGAACCGAATTACGAATATATTGAGGGCGACTTCTAGTCAAAAAAATCCACTTGGACTGCAGTGTTCTGTATTTCCAAACCATGACTTCCGTCTGAAGGACTTCGGCACAGGCCTGAGTAAGCCAGGGGTCCAGCCACTTTTTTTCCCGTTGGATAACTTTCAAAAATTCTTCAACTGTTTCAGCAACTGCTCCAGCCTCAGTCTGAACGGTGGCTTCCGGGTCGTTAAACCAAGATGCCTTCCAACCATCTTGAGAGCTAAGTTGCGCACAAGCTTTTGCTCGGAGAGAGAGGCTAAGTTTGGTGATCTTGCGCTCTATTTCTGGCAGCTCCATTTCATTCCTGAAAGCAACCTGAGCACTCAATGCTCTGAAGCCGCAATCACCTGCCCCACCAAGGTCCCACATGGGAACATTGGAAGGGCCCAAAGCGGAAGAATCATCCAAAGCATCAAAACCTCCAGGGACCGTCTTTGGCACTTTGTGCTTGGGAGGTGTGTTGATAACCTGCCTTTCATCAGTGTTTCTTTTGCCGGTCTTTCCAACATCATCCATAGCACCTCCCTCTGTGGCTTCAGCACCATCCTCAGGAGGGTCAGGAATTGTAGGAGCCATAGGCTCATCTTGCTCCTTGTCTTTGCTGTCATTGGTTCCCGCAACGACAGTGAGCCAGCTTTTTCTCGCATGCAGAGGCGTACAAACCGGTTTTTTGGTCTTGGCAACCCAGGGATTAATCAAAATCTGCTTCCCATTTTTAAGGCATAAAATCATGCCAGCCTCCGTGGAATCTTTGGGGGGGGCGCCTTTATACGTCCAAATACCACCTTTGTTGTTCGGGGGTTGAGCATCCGACAGAACCCTCCATCCATGCTTCGTGAGAGTGTCTTCAAATTGTGAGGGTATCCAATTGGCAGGTACACCTCTGGCAGCCCAGCGCTTCACAAGAAGCTCTTGCGAAGAGTTTTGATCCTGAACCCCTATGATACCCAAGCAGCTTTTGGTGCCTTTACGCAGAGCAATTCCTGCGTCAACATCACGAGCCTCTTTCCGGGCCTGAGCAAGGTACTGAGCATTGGTCATGTTTTGTTCCTTAGCCAACCACTTGACAGGTTGCCTGGCGGGTTTATCCCCAACAGTTGCATAAAAGGCATGCTTGGCGCCCGATTTTTTGACAATCGTGACAGCATTCTCTTCAGAGGTCCTGATGAAACCCATGACAACCTCTTCCTTTTGAATATAATGCCAACCATAGGTCCTCAAAAAAATACCATCGGGCAAACATAATTTCAAAACTTCGACAGGCTTCTGCAAAGCAAGGTCCCACATGGACGAACTGAGAAACTGCTTAGAAAAGGTCACACGAACAGTGACCAATGGAACTTCAACCGGATCCTCAACACAAGAAACGGACTTGGGAGTGACCGGCCAAGTTGGGAAGTTTTTGTTCAGGGGAAGTGCCCAAACTTGCTTCCAACGACCAGTTTGCAATTTGATCCACTGAGCCACACATCCATGCTTGGCAGCCAAAGTGGCATCCGTTAAATCAGCACACACAAGGCAAAATTCTTTGGTTATCTTGTGAGCTTCCGCAAGAATCCGAAAATTAAGACATTGTTCAATGCTAGAAACAACCAAGGACCCAGACGGTTCCTCCCCTGACTCCAAGGCATTAGACACTTGAGTGGGGCGTGCAATATCCCCCTTCCACCAATTCTTGCAAACAGTTGGCCAAGAATTTGACTTAGGCCCTCGAGGAGAGGCATGGCTCTTGGGCTGTGCATTTTTGGGCCTCCCAGTTGGTTGGCTAGGAGTCTTAATCTCAGCTTCCGACCAGCGTTGTACCAAAGCGCGCAATTGATTGATGAGGTCCCCAGTGCCATGCGTCTCAGCAGCCAAAACAATAGCCTTGAGTTGAGCAATAAGAGAGGAATCCTTAGTCTGACCATTTTCCTCAAAGTGGACTTTGCGCTGAGAGGACAAAGGAGCAGGGCATTTCCCTTTCCCTCCCGCATTTGAAGCGGAAGAGGCGGAAGGGGCTTTGCCCAAGCCACTACCCTTCGCTCCCTTGTTTTTCTTTCCCTTGACCTGCCACTCAGGACTGGGACTACGGCTCCTATTGGACAAAGAAGACGCAGGCGAAACATCCCTGTAGGTAGTCTCCTGTCTAACTGACGGACGCCCTCTGTGTTGAGGACTCTCATTGTCATCGTTGAAGTCATTTAAAGAGGAAAGGAGTTTTTTCAAACCATCAACTAGAAATGACTCTTGTCTTCGTCTCTTCGTCGCTGCTGCACCAGCAGCACCACCTCGAAACATGACCAGCCTACTGACATGAGGCCTTTGAAAGGCTTTTTGCACAACATTCGCTTGAGAAGCAAACGAACCCTCACGGACAGAACCACAAAACTTTCTGCGCATTTCGTTCTGCAACCAGCCTGTCTTAGCAAAATGCTTTCCTTGAAGCCAAAAAAATAACCTGCGAGCACGTAAGGTCCGAGCAATGCGTCGATTTTTCAATCTGGCATGTGGTTGGCGCATACACCCAGCCCATCTACATGTTTGAAAGCAACGTTTCCGGCTGCCATCGGCTTGGGAAAAAGTCTTTTTTCTAAGGAAGCGATGCTTCTGTTGCTGCCTTCTTTTCTTTCTTTTTTTGTATTTGGATTTGACGAAGCCACCAAACAGCCCAGCCCCAAAAAAACCAGAGGCTCCCAAAATCAACCAGCCCCAGCAAGGCGGATGGCTCCTTATAACCAAAACAGCATCTCCAAAATCCCCAGAGGAATTTCCAATCCAACTAGGGTCAAACCAGCCGTCGCCAGTGAATTGCCAAGAGGCACCAAAAGAGAGATTATTGCCGGGCCACGGCGCAGTGCCAACAGCAGCGGCAAAAGACGCAAATTTGTCACATCCAAGCGCTGCCACTTCACTGCCATTGCTTTGCCCACCCACGCCCCGGGAGCCATTCAGGCTAAGTCCAAATTGCAAATCCAAGAGGCTTGTGGGTAAGGAAGGTGAATTAATTGCAGTCGGGTCGCTGGTAGAGTTCGTCGGTGAACAGCCAGCAACAGCAACAGGAACAAACCAAAACCACAACAGCACAGCCAACAGAGGGAAGGAGAACATCCGACCCAAACAACCAAAAACCCGCGAACATTTGTACCGACCCTTATTTTTGGGCTCTTCGGCCTCTTGTAAAGCTCTGTCAACATTCATATTCTTGATGGGCTCACCGGCCACACTGTCGCTTTTTTCATCAATTCTTTTGTGATTTTTTTTTCATTTTCTTTTATTCTTTTCTTGTTCTCGTTCTTTTCTTCATTTGTTCTTTTTGAATCACACAAAGTCTTTGGAGTTCCCTTCGCACTCAGCAAATATGCCAAGCCCGCCATCACCACGAAGGAGGTGAGAACGAGATAGCCTGTGGCTTCAACCTGCTGGACATTCTGGAGCTGATCTTGGACTGCAGAGCTATCACCTCCATAATGTGCATCGCCCCAGGTTACAACTGATCCATCTGCCAGCACTGCAGCACGTGCACCAAACTTGTTGCCCTGAACCTGCCTTGCACTTCTCAGTTGATCTGTAGCCGGGCTATCATCAGTGCATTCGAGATCACCCCAGGTAACAGCCGATCCATCTGCCAAGATCGCGGCAAATGCGAATTCTGTGGCATGGATTGCCCGCACATCTTTGAGGCGATGTTGAACAACGGAGCTGTCACCGCCAAAGTCTGGATGGCCCCAGGTCACGACCAATCCATCTTCTCGGAGCTGTCACCACCGCTATGTGGATTACCCCAGGCAACTGCACGTCCAGACATAATGGCAGCAAACGCACCATATGCTTTCTGAATCTGTTGTACATTTCTAAGCTGCTCTTGCACTGCTGAGCTGTCACCACCCCCATGTGGATTTCCCCAGCAAACGACTGATCCATCTGCTAAGGTCGCTGCAAATGCCGCATGTGTGGCCTGAATTTGATGGACATCCCTCAGTAAAGGGTGGACTGCCGCGCTGTCGCCACCGAACTTTGGATGGCCCCATGTCACGACAGATCCATCCGCCAGGACCGCAGCAAAAGCAGAATCTGCTGCTCGAACCTGCTGGACATGTTTCAGCTGATCTTGGACTGCAGAGCTGTCCCCGCTGTAGTGTGGATCGCCCCATGTCACAACTGATCCATTTGCAAGAAGAGCAGCAAATGCACCCTGAGTGGCCTCTATTCTTCGCACTTGTCGGAGCTGATCTTGAACTTCAGAACTATCACCACCGAAACCAGGATCGCCCCAGGTGATAACTGATCCATCATCCCGGATGGCAGCACACATAGCGTGGCCTGGAGTTGCTGGACATTCCTCAGCTGCTTTTGCACACTAGAGCTGTCGCCACCAAAATCTTTGGAGCCCCAGGTGACAATCCCACCACCATCCCGCCATAAGGCAAAGGCTCTTCGAGTTGACAGCAACTTTGCTTCTTGTGCAATGGCAGTTACATCATAGATGTGGTCCGGACGAAAGCCCACCGCCGACAGGGTTTCGGTGGGGTCCACCAGGTCACGTCCCTCTGCACTGACTAGTCTCAAGAAGCCTTGTCGAAGGGATCTTTCGGCCAGGATCCTCAAGTCCCCAACTTTGGAGGACTGGGAAATGGAAAAGGAACTCTTTCTTCCACTCAGCAAAGTGACCTTTACTTCAAGCATTTAGCAATTGAAAATAAAACAAGAAGGTACAGTACATGGTTTAAAATATCTCGAGCCAGACTCCACTGTCAAGTTTCTGTCCGTGAGGTTGCAGACCCTTTGCAAGACTTCAGGCACCAAAAGAATGCTTTTTTGTGGTTTCTATGCTTAGATTCGTGTGTGGATTTGTATCGATTGTTGTGGTCATACAGGGCCCTCATAGACCAATCACTTGGCTGACTTTTCAAACTGACACTGCCTGCTCAGACACAAGACAAGAAATGCCAACAGCCACGGAAAGCCACTCAATAAAACAGAGGATCCCGGCAAATTGTGTTGTATACAATTGTAATTCCTATGTATTATATATGTATGTGTCTGTGTGTGTGTTTTATAGTGTCTTATATTATATATATATATGTATGGTCATACATGTTTATATTATATATATAGGCGATATAGGGTGCACCTTTGAGGTGCGAAAGTGTCTGCATTTTCAGCATCCAGCTGGACCGGGGAATCTGAGTCCAGCGCGGCGCGGACCGCGCCCCAGGTCGCGTGGCGGAGCAGCGCCCAGCCCAAGCTTCAAAAACAGGCGCCCGGTGCAAGCAGGGTCGATTTTGAAGGGAAAAATCATGGAAAATCATGGAACATCTACAAGTTCACCCTGATTCATAGTACGTTAAGCCTGATGATTCATGATAAAAACATGTGAAACCATGGTTTACTGTATCTCAAAGCCAAATGAGTGAGGGAGTTTTGAAATCCAACTCTTCAACTTTACAAAGACTGCTGAAGTTTCTGAACTTACCTGACTGTGCGGTGACTCTTCAAAATGGACAGTGAAACTGGAGGTACACCTGATGGTTCACAAATCGCTTTCGGGGATCTTCAAAAAGAATTGAGCCCCAAAACCTAAAATTTTGACCAGGAACATGATTTCCCACATCGCCCAAAAAAAAGGTATGTCCACTTAGGAGAATATGCGAGAGAAGTTCAGCTGGATCCACTACCTGTCCCATGGGAAAAATCTGGATCTGGTGAGTAATCCCATCCTCTGGTAGTAGATTTCCCATTCTGAGCCTAAAATGAATAGATAGATCCCACACGAAACCAGGCGTTCTGGTGGATTCTAGAATTCTATTTTTCAGAGCACTTGGAGGTGCAGTTCCAGGTAGTTCCAGGCAGTTCCACTTAACAAACCTATACAGTATTAGTGTATTCTATGGCCAGTTCGCCAGTTCTTATTCTGGGTTTATTCCCATACCCATTGAATGATCGCTGCAGATCTTCCGACTTTTTGCAGCTTAGTATGGTGCTGATCTCATGGTCATGGCGGGTCTTCGCACCTTGGGAATGAAGCCCAGAATGAAGCCACCAAGCCATGGGAATGACGCCCAGTCAGTTGGGTCCCAAAGATGTGTCCCCAACAATGATGGCTGGTTGCGTCTCAGAATGCCTGACATCCAAACTAGAGGTTGTTTATTGTTCGGAATGACCGAAATCCCTTGGGCTGGGGAAGTCTAAAAAAATTTGACACCACATCCCCGAATGGTTCCTCCTCCAGCATTTACTTGAGGCTTTCTGTTGGGACCGGAGTCATCCACTTAAAATTCTGGAATCTCCAGCGACTCCCTTGGGAACAAGAATGGTCCAATTTCCAAAAGTCAACCAAACATATACCCTCTGGTAATTTAACATAGCTATTGAAAATGGCCATTTATAGTTGATATTCCCATTAAAAATGGTGATTTTCCATAGCTATGTTAGTTTACCAGAGGGTAAGTTCCAGAAATGCCCAGTAAGTGCCCGGCTGGCTCAAAGTTTTCCTGGCTGAAATCTCACTTCACCGAAAAAAACAATCCATAAACAGCAGCCCCTTGGCTCTCACACGGATTTCAGAAATCCACAACTTAAAACAACCAATTCCTCCACATCTCCCCAGTAATTTAACTTTTATCTATGGGAAAATTGCCATCTTCAGTATGTAAATCATCATCTTTATCATCCAAAAATGTGGGTTTTTAACAATCTACCATCCATTTTTCTTCAAATTCCATGGTCAAATCCCAAAAAAAGGTGGGATTTTACCATGCCATAAACCATCCCCCAGTCATCACCATGTGTTTTTCGGTGGCTGGCAATGTCCGCCTCCTCGTGGCCTGCTGGAAAGACGTCCACCTCCCTGGCCTCGTTGCTTGGGAGATGAACTCCGGACATTCTATGGAAATTCTATGGTTAAGATGTTTATGTTATTTTACTTTGATTCACTATAATTTGGAGATATATTTGGAGATATATTTGGAGATATTTGGATATGTTGAGATATGTTGAGATGTGTTGAGATGTGTTGGGATGGGATGCCGCTCTACCGATTTTCGCACCTGCAGCTTGCCATTCTCCGCGATCTCGATAGAGAAATGAGCTTCGTCCCCAGCGTGCGGAATCACACCTGGTGAAATTCAGCATCCAAAATGGATCAAAATGGTGGATGATAAACCATCAAAATGTTGGGATAAAATTGACCCTCAAAATGCTGGATTTTTAAGCATCACGATTGTGGAAATGAACCATGAAAATGGAGGATTTGACCAATGGTGTGTGGAAAAATTTAACACAATCAAAGTTTTGCGGATTTTGCCTTAAAAGTCTGGAAATCAGCATTAAAACTAACTGCGTATGTCTGGAAAGAATAGAAAAACCAAAACAAAACACATGTCGAGTTGAGACCCAATTGAGCTGAGAAAAGAAGGTGAGATTTGGATTGGGACGGTGGGTTGATTCAGATGAACCGTGCATGATCAGTGTACTGGCGGGACAAGTCATTTGGCTATGAAAAATGATGAAAAATGATGAAAACTCTGGTACAGTACCTGGTAGACATCAATTTATAGATGGCAAGTTGATGTTCATCGCCCCAAGAGGTATATATATATAGCAGTATATACAGTATATCATGGCTTGTGATAGCTAGAGACAGGCTGCCAAAGCACTAAAGTGTGGACTCCAGCCCCCGCTCTTGAGCCCCCAGCTGCTATCGTTCAGCTGTTTGTTATGCAAAAAGATATCCTTCCCGAAGAATAAGCCGGTGATCTCCTCGCTGGTCACAAAGCCCCATCCTTTGTCTTGATGAAATAGCCTCAGCTGCCGACAAAAAAAACGCCGGTTTCAGTCCCGGGAACGTCTCGGGTAGATTTTGGACCAGTCCAGGTGGAAACTGAGATGAAACTGAGATGCTTCAGCAGGACTCATGACAAGTAAAAGAGGCAACGAAATTTCAAACCCAAACTAGTGAGAGGCAAACATTTTTCACCAGAGGTTGTTTTTTTTGCAATGCTCGGAACTTCCTTGGAAAGCAAAAAGTTGGTATTGTTCATCAAAATGCCATGTATTGTTGAGGTATAATGTATCTGTGGACAGACCCAGATCACTAATGGACACCTTAGGATCTGAAAACGAATTCGAATGATGAATCCACAACTGGCTCAAAGGAACAAAAAAAACATGTCCACTTTGATGACATTCAAAAAATGGGATTGCAAGAACCCATTTCTGCGGACAGCGACTTGCAGTCTATGTTCTTCCACGATCGGGAGTCAAGGTTCTTGGTAACATCCTCTGAAACAAAGTGTGTTCGTGAATGATATTCTGCCAAACGCCTGTCACTCTCCGCCTTAGCAGCAACTCATCAGTTTTTTGTGAACTGTTCTTTTTTCCACTAACAAAGAGATGCTCTCAGGACTACCAACCATCTACTCCCCAACCCCAACCCCAACCCGAGCCCAACCCCCAACCCACCCCCAACCCCAGTTGCAACTTTGTGCAATTTCTGGGGATCTATGGGGTTACCGAATCGGCTAACCTCAGCAGTGCATCAGGAGGATCTTGCCCTGCGTCCTACAGTGAGCCAGTAATCACAAAACCACCAAGAAAAGTCACCTTTCACCAATCAGATTGGAAATGATCAGGACACCTTCAGGAATAATACTGAAACTACAAATCGCCCACGTGTTTACACATATTATCACAGACCATAATTTGTTGCATGTTACCCATCTTTCAGTCACATCTTGAAGGGGGTCAACATGGGTCAACCTTCTCCCCTTTCCCAATGGCCTGCATCACCTTCACGAGGCGTTTCGCAAAGCGCACCTTGTCATTGCTGCGGAAGTCGCAGCCGAAGAAGGACACCGCGGTGCCCGACTTCCCAGCGCGTCCCGTGCGGCCAATGCGGTGCACGTAGTCCTCGATGGTGTTGGGCATGTGGTAGTTCACCACCTTGAAAAATGTGGCACATCCCCAAGGCCAAGGCAAAAAAAACGCCATCCCAATAGCCGGTGGCCAATATGTTTTGTAAAAAAGGGGTATATATATATATATATACGATCTGCCCAGGAGTAAATCCCATTGGGGATGGTGTATGGTTGGATTTACCGCACGGAATACAACCTACTCCGAAAAGCAAATTGGGGAAGAATAGACGTGTGGTGTTGATCACATTTTTTGGCGGAGAATTGACCCGTCTGTTTCTTGGTAAAGCAAGAATCGCTTGAAACCACATATAGTAAATCCAGCCGCATATTCCACATCTTTGATGTCTAAGCCTCGCTGGGCCACATCTGTGGCCACCAAGATCTGGCACTTTCCCTGGCGAAAGTTGTTGAGGATGGCATCACGTTCCGCCTGATCCTTATCTCCATGGATTGCCCCCGCTTCAAACTGCTCATACCGCAGTTCCCGACAGAGCGCATTCGCACCCTTCTTGGTTTCCGTAAAGATCAGAATGCGAGGCCTCGAATCCTGCGGTGACACCTCCTGCAACCACTCGAAAAACTGCCTGGTTGAGACCGACTGAAAAATATACTTGTCATTGGGGATCATCATCCCACTTCGGTTGAAAATGAAGAAATATACCAAACAAAACAGCTGAAAGCATCCAGCTGCTGTTTCTTATCCAATTCTGTCACCACTCGGACATCTTGTCGTACATTGGGATTGGCCCTCGTCTCAGAAATGCCCACAGAGATCTTCTGCGTGTCCTGGATGGGGAAGATAGACTTGTGTCGGGGAACCACGAATCATCGATGTTTATTCATGTGTGATTTTACTGATTTCTATAGATTTCTATAGCATCATTGACAATTTCAGTCTCTGAGTTCAAATCATCCAGAACTCTGGAAGTCTGCTGGAAGTTTGCATCCATCCCCAAGAGAAATCTTAGATGTAATGATGACAATCAAGTTGGAACCGTTCACAACCCAAATCTCAAAGTTTCACGTGCTTAACTGCTTAACCATACAAAATGATTCATCCACCTCAACCCTCTTACAACAAGAAACATCAACACCTGGGCATGGGTCATGGACCAACCTGTGGTTCCCTGAGTCTTTCAGACCATCTGGTCCGCCCCGGTGGACAATAACTGAATTGGAGATGACGAACCTCTAGAAATTTCCTGGATCCGGGTCAGAGGAAAATGCTTCACATAAAGTGCACCCGAAAAAAAAAAAAAAAAACTAAAAAAAAAACTTAATCATGTGTCTGATTTTTGCACCTAGCAACGCACTCCATGGATCCGTCCTCCTCATTGATGATACATCCCATTATATTCCCATCAAAGTTGGTTTTGGCACCCTCACGGCTTTGCTGGTTGAATCACCCCTCACAGCCATTTATTGATGGGCCCATAAATTACCACAGATTGGGGCTAAATCCACTTAAAATCCCGCAAACCCATAAATAACTTCCCCAATGACTACTGGTTGATATCCCTCTCCATACTTGTTTGATGGAATCTTATTAAATACCCTCTGGCAATCAAACATGGCATTTTCTGAAAAATGCGTGTCCCATTTCAATGTATAAAAAGTTCGACGATTTCCCAGCCAGGGATATCCCATTCTGCCACCTTTTTTTGCTGCTGGAATCCCAACTGTTGATGGTTCAGAACCACATCTTTTCATGAATTCCGAGGAAGAATTCCCCATTTGCTGCTTTCCCATTCCTGAGCCCCCCAAGTCATCATCCTTTCGACCTTCGCATTTTTCATCATTTTCCCATGGACATCAACCAAAAAAAAAACAGCACCCCCAGCCATTCGGAAACCCCTTTTTTCCCCATGGAAATACACCATCCAAGCACCGCTCCTTGCAGAAATCTTTCGCCAAGTCCTGGATGGACAATGGCCAGGTCGCCGACCATAGCAAGGTTTGTCGGTCAGCCTTGAGCTGGGACACCACCTGGCCGGTTCAGGAGGAAGAAATGGTTCCAAGATGTCGGTTCCAAATGATGTCATCATGATCTGGTTGGTGGTGCAATGTGCCCATCTTGAAAAATGATGGAGTTCGTCAATGGGAAGGATGACTTCCCATATATGAAATGGAACATAAAATTCATGTTCCAAACCACCAACCAGTGATTATAACTGTATACCCGGAAAACCATAAAGACAAAATTGTCTGTCCGTACGCGTTTGGACATTCTTTTGTCCGTTACGTTTTTTTTCCAAACACGGCCATGCCCGGCTGCAATCCCTCTACGAAATAGGTCAATAGTTTTCCTGAAATCTTTGATTTGCCCAACTGGTTCCGACATTGAATGTCCCGTCTAAAGGTAGTATTTGGGGCAGTACGTTGAAATATGGTTACTGTTTTTTTTTTCAACATGATGTTGAAAAAATACTAGTATCTTATGAGTACACCCAAATTTTGTGGCAAATATCGGAGTAGTGGCCAGATTTGGGTACCCTATCATGACTCCCAATCTGACCCATTTTGGGCTGTCAAGATACTCTTTCAGCCGTCGGAGGATGTCGGAACCCGGGGTCTGTCAAGGGATTTGATCAACCCCTCGCACTCAAAAACCCAAATATGCAATTGAAAAAAAACAGTCCGTTACGGGTAAAACGGTAAAACCCATAATGGACCAAAAAAGATTGTCCACACGGGTTCCCAGGTGTACATGTACGTGTATATTACATATATATATATATATAGTCATATAGTATACTGTGTAAATACCTGAAACATCCTGGAACCCACATGACCCTGAATCCTGAATTTGAAGTTTTTGATGCAAAAGACGGAGGGATACCCTTCCAAGAGAGTCAATTCGGGGGTTGCAAACATCGATCTCTGAAGCTGGGAGAAACCACAGCTATCGAAAATCACCATGTCATCGAACTGTAGAATCAAGGGCCATTTTTTCATCCATTTTCCATACAGCAAACGGTTTTTTTTCCAGTTTGCAAGCAGTTCCATGACCAGAGGCTACCCTCTGGTTATGTCAAAATACCATAGAAATAGTGGATTGTCCCATGAAAAATGGTGATTTTCCAGTTCGCTATGTGGCTGTTTACCAGAGGCTATCCCCTTAGGCTTCTGGTTCCGGCCTGTCGCAGTTGAGGCTCAAAGCCCATGTCCAGCATTCGGTCTGCCTCGTCCACCACCAGATACGTCACTCGATCAAGGTTGGTCACCTGGGATCCCCGGAGATCCCGGGGATCTCCAAAAAAAACCGGGAAAACCGGGGTGAAATGTCTTGGATCCTATAGGGAGATGGGATGAGATTCGGCCATCTAAGTCATGGCAGTGAAAGCAGCAACAAACTGTATGGGCCAATCCTGATTTGGCCCACAAAATTCAGGTGAAATCAGGTGAATGCTGGGTCTATGCTGTTGAATGTTGACATCTTCGTCACTCTAAAGCGCAAGGCTCTCGTCCCAAGATGATTGGGGCTGCCATGGATGAACTTCACATTTTTTGCCGACGCTTCTGTGGAATTTCACCCACATCTTTGAAATCCCAATTGTGTCCCATTCAATCCCATTAAATCTAATGCAGTGGTTTATCATCATTCCTTCCCCATCAAATCACCGTCAAATCCCCATCAAAGTCTCATCAAATCCCAAAAAATTGGTGGTTAACCCCTATGAAATCCCACTTGATATCCCCACTATATATATATATATCTTCACTTAATAAATCCCCAAAAAAAAAGAATCCAAAAAATCCCCAAAAATCTCGATCCCAGCTGTTGTTTCTTAAAAGTCACCTTGGCATTCACAAAGTCCAGGAGCCTCCCCGGCGTCGCGATCAGCAGCTCCACCCCTCGGCGCAGCTCCTGCTGCTGCCCGCGCCGCGGCACCCCGCCGTAGCACACGGCGTCGCGGAGGCCCAGGTGCTCGCCCAAACCAAAGGCCTGGGACGATACTGCCATGATAATAATATGATAGTAAATATGTATATGATAGTAAATATGTAAATCTATCAGAAATCTATCAGAAATCTATCAAATATCTATCAGAAATCTATCAGAAATCTATCAGAAATCTATCACCTAATATCTCCTCAACATGTTGAAATATGTTGAAATTCTATCATACTATATCCTCAAACAAACATAAACTTGAATATTGATGGTGGAGCGTGAAGCCAGAGCACATGGCGGTCAAAAGATTGGGTCCCCGCAAAACTGCATGTTTTCTTGCCCAAATCTTTGGAATCCCCAGCCTCCCATTGAATCTGCATCACCAGCTCCCTAGTGGGCGCCAGCACGAGTGCAATGGGGCCATCTCCGACTTCCACCGGTGGCTGAGACTTCACGTGCATCATCCCAGGCAGTAGATACGCCAAGGTCTTCCCACTGCCGGTTTCAGCGAGGCCCACCAAATCGGACCCGGATAGGGCCAGGGGCCAAGCAACCGATTGGATGGGCGTGGGCTGGCAGAAGCCAGCACTCTTTAGGTAGTCCAGCACCTGCAACAGGTGCAGCTTGGTGAGCTTCCCTGAGGTTGGCAAATGATTCGTAATTTGATGCAATTAAAGCAGTTAGATGATATATTCTGATAAATTATATATTATATATACATATATAATATGGTATAGAAGAAGATACGGCGGCTACTGGCCACTTGCCTACCCCAGGGATCATCAGAATCCGCGCTGAACTTAGCACTGTTTCGGATCAACCACGCACTGCCGCCCCACCTGCTCTGGGAATCCGCCCTCCTCAAAGCTTCGGATGGGTTTCAACTCAGCTGTGCCTTCCAAGGCTACGCCATGTTTCAGCAGAAAATCGTCCACCTCGTTGCCCGCCTCCAAGATCTGCTCCTTGGGAGCACTCGAAACCTCCACGGACTCCACGGATCTCGGATGCCCCAAAGGTGGAGGAGGCGGAGGCCTCACACCAAGCTTCACGCCCTTCCCAGATGCCCCAGATGCTTCCCTCGCATTGTTGGAAGATCTTTCCAACTCCGGGTCCTTATGGTCCTTCTCCAAAATTTTCGGATCCTCCACCAGTTCCACAGGTTTCTCCACCACCAGAAGTTTCTCCTCCGTTTTCTCCGCTAGGCTCCATCCGATCCCAACCCCACCGCGCCGCCGGCGGGTCAAAGGCAGCTCGTCGATGGGGTCGAAGACGTCCTCGTCGTAGAGCTCCGCGCGGCGACCGTAGCTCTCGCTGGCACTGCAGCGCAGCCATGGGGCGCAGTGCAGTGCCCGCGGCAGGAGGCGACTGGCAGGCCGGCAGAGCCATGCCATCGCACGCAGGGGCTCAAAAAAGGGTCAAAAATTGGAGGAAAAAACTACTGAAGCTGAGGTGGTTGGGATATGTTGGGATACAACGTCTTCACATGCAAATCAAATTGGGCAGGGTGGCCTCCATGTGCTTGAGGCAGCTGGTGTTTACATTGCCCTCCAGCTGTAGGGGGAAGAGGTGTCTCCAAAGCCAAACAACACCTCCACAAGTCCCTGCTCTCAACAATGGGCCTGGTCTTGCTCACTGCAATTGAAATACGCTGTCTATTTGACGCTTAAAGCTCACTGCCCTTTCCTAGAGTTGAGGTTCATTTGTTGCTGTTCATAGCCCTTCAGGCACTTGAAGGTCAGCTGTACTATGCAGCTGTGCAGCTTGCGAGCAAAATCAGCCAGAACCACCATATGGGTCCGACGGTACATGTTTTGATCTCATGGATACATTCACACATCTGTATAGAGATAAAGGATTCAATGTAGATATCTATGTAAATTAACAGATTGTCAATATGCACATGCTCTGAATAATATTGCTACATAATTACGTGACCTGGGCAGGTATTACACAGAAACTACATGTATATTGATATATATATATATACATATATATAGTTATCTATGTATATATAATTATTTATGTATACTTATATAATTGTGTATGTATATATATATTATATTACATCATACTACATCATATTACCTCCACGGCTGGGGAGCCCCGGCTTCACGGAAGCGGCGTAGCGGCGCCCCGGCCTGGGTGACAAGCAGATGAGCATCGAAACGTTGGTTTTTTAAATGGGTTAGATTGGCATTATTTTAAGATTAATAGAATCATTAATCATTAATCATAATAATAATCATCTAATAATAATAATCATTAATAATAATAGTCATTAATCATCTAATAATAATGATTATTATTATAATAATCATTATATAATCATCTAATAATAATAATCATTAATCGAATCTAATTCATGGTTATTGATTATTGATCATCTAACTCTTTTCTGATGTTGATTTTAGATTCTTGTTCATACGAGGTCCTTGAGAATTGTCGAAGTCAGTTCCTCCCACTGACCTCTAGGTCCTAGGTGTCCCAGGCTGCCCTTCAAAGGAGAAGGTGTCTGATGGCAAGACCTGGGCATGGGCCGTTTCCGTTTGGATTAGGAGCTGTTGATAAGAATGGGAATCCAAAGGTTGGTTGAATTGCACGGTCTGGGATTCAGTTTTGTTGGGAAATGGAAAAATCTGCCAAAACTCATGGAATTCACGGTTTCTTGGGGCTTTCAACGAATTAGAGCCACAAGTTCTTGTTCATATCAGTGGTCTGGTCAGGACTTAAGAGTATCCGTCGGTGTCCGTTCCATCTGTCATCCCTCGATTGCTGCAGAGGAAGCCCCAAATGGAGAGCTCCGGAACACCTGGATGATGAAGTGCATATATGCAGTATAAAAATCGGAGGATGTCAACAGATCTTTTGTCCATGATGTCACCACTTATATAAATTTTCCCAGGATCTTCCTAAGATTTCAACTGGAGCTAAGTCATCCTGGTGCCTTCATTGGAGTCTCCCCAGGGATTTCCATATGGATTTCCCATGGCACCCGAGGTCTGGACGACCACCTCATTGGCCTACGCGCGGGCTTAGCGGCTAAGGGTACAATGAGATGTCCATGAAACTTGGAAGAAAAAGAACGAAACTTGACATCAAAAGACTGTCAAAAGACCAAAAAAGATTGAAAAGTTGACCCAAAGACTTCTGAATATGGGAACATGTTGAGAAATCGTGCCGGAACGCACCAAGATTTGGTGAGACATGTTGAACCCCGAGCAATTCCAACGCCTGAGGTCCCTTGGGTGACATATTCACCTCATCGGACACTTTGCCCATTGAAACCATTGAGCTCCATCATTCAGCGGTTCCAAACTGATGTGCCAGCACATCTCCATTTGTCATACTGCATTACAAAGTCCTTGCTCCATTGAAAAACCAGGGTCCCATTGACTTCAACCATAAGGTCCCCAAAATGTCAACGAAACGAGAGTTCAAAACCAGCTTTCGCGAGACGATGACAATCTACTGTTTCTACCACTGGGAGATCATCATTTGGAGACAAGTTGTCCCAGGCGAGAGAGAGAGAGAGAGTCTGAAACTACGGTACCCCCAGAAATTGAATGATTTATCACCATCCCCATTTTCAGACACACCCGGATGCCCAAAATTGTGTTTGGTCAAAAATCATCAAAAATCCTATAGTTCTCTCCATCTCCTATAAAAGATGTTTGCTTTAATCCCCCACTTTCCCAGCACTTCCCGTTTGCTCGGCCCATGCCCCAGGTTTCCCCACTGTGAAGCCTACCAGTGTACCGGGCTCCACCGTTTGACCGTTTAGGGCGGAACGCAGCAAGAACACCTCCTTGCCAAATCGGTCCTTTGCCACCTGGCAGTGGAGTGAAGGTGTGGGGGGGGGGGTATCTCATTCGAAAAAATCACCAATCAGATCGGGATTTAATGGGGTATCATGGGATTTTATGGGATATGATCGGAAATAGAATGCCTTGCATACATGTAAGTAAAATTTTGGAAGTATGCAATGCAATGCCGTGGAATGTGATGTGTCTACAGGGATGTAAATCAATGTACTTACCACTAGCTAACTTCCGGATACCTTGGTTGACATCTGTCTGCCCAGCCGCAAGTTCGAGGAGGAAAAACTGCGGGTACAGGTTCTCCCTACACTGTAGAAGAAGCCAGAAAAAGAGTGAAAAAAATATAAAGGTTCAATTTACCAATATCTTAGTAGAATTTTACGAACTTTTGGAGGGTTGCTACAGGATTCGCAGCTAAAATCATGGAAAGGTCTGCAGCTCGGAATTTTCTACTCCCCGGCTGGCCCTGCCTGGCAAGTGATGTGTCCCCATCCCTTCTCTTCGTTATATCCTGCCACGGCGTCCCAAGTTGGACCGTCATGACCGGGAAACTCCAGCCAAACCAGAAGCAGTTTCCCCAAAATCAAATAGGACCAATAGCGGGGAACTTGCAATCAACAGGGTTGTGAACCACTGCTCGACTATTACTTGGTGTTGTCTTATCCCCATTATTCTCGGTTTCAAAAGCCGAGGTTTCATGATGATTGTCTTCAAAAATCAAAAGTCAGCCCACAGCCCAGTCCTTTCACCGCTCCGAAGAAGTATTCGTTGTGCACAGGCTGCGTGCTCGGCATTGGGCTATATGCGTGCATCGCTGCCATAGGCGCAGCGTGCATGGGCGCAGCATGCATGGGCGCAGCATGCATTTGACGTACAGGCATGGCCGGCCTGGCGCTTTCTTGAAAAATGGGGATTCAACTTGATTCAACCAACCACTTGTGGATGTTTAGTGGGATATTATATCAGCAACATTCAGCAACATGATATGGGTTTGTCTGAAAATAGTGTACCCCTACACCCAATGGTTTTGCTGATCCTTATCCCTACTAAATGGCTATGATTGGGGGTATACCCCATTTTCAGATATACCCATATGGTTTTGTCCAGAAATGGGGACCCCCAAGCAAACCCATTTTGGTAGCCACCTGTAGGCGCTCGGTGCAGGCACCGGCGTCTGGCTGCGGAACCTGCCGAAAAATCTGGCTGCAGAACCCTGCTGGATTTGGGGGATGTGTAGCTGGTGTAGCTACATGGATGATATGATGTAAATGATGTATCTGTATACAGATTCATATTTTGTCTATCTGTCTATCTATCTAATCTAATCTAAATCTAATCTAAATCTAATCTAATCATCGAATCTAATCTAATCTAATCTCATCTAATCTATATAGATATATTCATGTGTGTGTGTGTTTGTTTTGAATGTATGTATACACATGTGTGTTCTCTTTGTGTCTTGGGGCCCGAAATGAAAATAGATCCAATACAATATGGTGCTCTTGTGATAAAGGTGCGAAGGAATGATCACAAACCGATGAAAAAAACGGGGAGTTTGCCATGTGAATGCCATGTGATTGGACCATGGGAGATGCCAAGAATAAGTCTTTGCGATGGCGGTGTGGGACCCAGAAAGACTGTGACATCAAGGAAAGGATCATCAAAATTGCCAAATAGATCAAATAGTACCAAACAAAAATCCATGTCAACCATTTGGGATTGGATGCATTGCCAGCCAGTTTGCAATGAACGTCGACATGGAAGGTATATAATGGGCCGGCAACCACAAATCATCCTTGGATCAGCCAAGCAACGCAGCCGGCCTCAGCGGAGATCACCAAAATTTGTTCAGGTCTTTTGGAGGGATATGTCTTAACAAACATGGAAAAAATCACCAAGCAAAATGGTATCAAAATGACCTTGGAAACCAAATATCGGCATTTCGGAAGTCTTGGTATAGCGTTCCATCCATAACACCCGCAGGAATGTCATCATCCTTGGTCGCTTGTAGCTGAGGAGATCACATTCGGTTGCTGGTCGCTGGCTGTATGTTTTGCGCCTCACAGGGCACTGTGAGAAGTCCAATAAAAGTCCCTGCAACTTGGGACTTGAAGAGTCTCATTTTAAAAAAAATGGATGAATGATGATGAATGGCACTGGGATGCAGAAGTTGGATGAGGTTGGATGAGGTACTTCTTTTGCTGTGAAGAAAACCAGAGACTTTGTGAATGGCCGATAAATCACAACGTTCCAACGAAAGGTTACCATTGACACCATCCCATGCCGTCCTGAGTGCCCTTGGGACTCTCGAAGATCGAGAAATAGACCTGCCTCGGCATCTGCAAGGCTTTGAAGGTTACCCTCTGGTTATGTCAAAATAGCTATTGAAAATGGCCATTTATAGTGGATTTTCCCATTAAAAATGGTGATTTTCCATAGTTATGTTAGTTTACCAGAGGGTACCAACATTACCAACCCAAGAATTTCCAAATCAGCTGACAGGTGCCACATCTTGGAACATCCCAACATGGACCTCCCAGGGTCCGCGCTGTCCCTCTGAAACCGGAGCCAACAGCGAGGACTTCATAAAGAACAGATCCTGCAGCAAGATGGCCATCTTTATACCGATTTTTGTACCCGGTTGAATGGGAATAATGATGCTTCAACCTGGGATTTCGGGGTACGTTACCTGTGGATAAACTGGATAAAGCCATCTGATGATTTGCTAAGCTGTCTTACAGGTGGTGCACGGAGCCATCAATAAACATGTTGAGAAAACCGTAGCCTTTGGCTTTTAACAAAACAAATATGGCACTGGAGAATCCGCCACAGACTAGTGGACCACCGAAGCTAGGTTCAATGACCCGGCACTTGGGGTGATCTTCGAGAAACCGATGAACTTATGGGGGTTATGTCCATGGTTATACTCATTTTAGTCACCCCAACTGCAGCCCTATGTCTTCATAATCATGCATTGGCTCTATAATCTCTATATCCGTATGAAGGTTAAATGTGGTTAAAGGTTCAATTTTCACAGTGGTTCATGATAAATAAACAGGTTCACCATGTTTGATGGTAACATCCCCCCAAGAAGGAAACTTCACTGCTGCACCTTGCCAAAGGTCTGCATGATTTCATCACTGGTGATGAAGCCCCAGCCTGCCGGAAATCCACGCTCCGGGGATGAAGATCCTCCCATGCATTTTTGGCAAAATTAGGGATGGCGTATGACTTACCCTCCGGTAATCAAACGCAATGAGAAATACCCCAGTTCGATGATTTTCCCAGCTAGAAACATTGACATGTTTGTAAAAACAACAGGGTGTTTTTCAGATTTCCTACAACTAGTTCAATGCCCCTGGACCCCGATCGACCCCAGCGCCTTTCAATGCATTGAAGGACTTCACTATCCCAATGTTGTCTGCTGGAGCGCCTCCTACTCCTCCTCCTCCTCATGCGAGGTGTGAGTTTTTGTCTAAGTGGGAGAGATGCGTTCCCTAGATGAGAAGCAAGGAATGCCCCCTGGAACTTATTTCATGATACATCCCGTTGTATCCCATCATGTCCTATCAGATTCCCCTTATTTCCCTATTCTACCCCAGTAAAACTGTCGAAGTGGTTCAAGTTTGCTCGTGAATATGTTGGATATAGCCTCAACCCACCAAAAGTGAGCAATGAAGGCTGATAGGAAAGTCCCTGTTGCTGGGCGAAGGCTATGTCCAACGTAAAACCATGTAAAACCAACAACTAGGCTTGTCATGGTGGATTTACCCACGAGCTATCGCATCCATTGCCATTTTCAGTGGTATGCTATAGCAATATCATTTAAACAAATCTCCATACTTTCATACAGTATGTTTGAATACAATTTATCCCAATTATAACAAAATTATCCCCATAATGCCAGTTATAATTGTTATAATTGGGATAATTGTTATAATTGGGGATAATTGGGGATAATTGTTATATAATTATCCCCATCTACGTATCCCAAAGTTGCCGGATCTCCCGGCAGCATCTGCTCCCCCGCTCCACCATGCTCCACAGATCTCCTCCTTTCCCGTTCATCGGCGCCCGTGCGGGCACCGGCCCACGCAGTTGGGGTCCTCCCATTGGCCGTGGGCCGACCGTCTGCCCATAGGGCCCGGGACGGGCTGCAGCCTTAGGACGGGTGTAGGCCAGGTGTGTGTCTTTTTGTTGTTCTCATGAGGATATCAACCACGAATAATGGCGGCCCGAATAATAGGGATTAACCAATAAATAATGGATGATTAATGGAATATTCACTGGAATTATCTGGCAGCAGCAACAACAACAACAACAGAGCAAGCGGGCGACATTCTGGGCAACAACAGCGACCCTTGGGGCATCGCCAGTGTGCAAAGCCCTACTATACGTAGGTACAGTGTGTGTGTGTGTGCGTGTGTGTGTGTGTGTGTAATATATATATACACACAGTTAATATACCATAATATAAACCTTTTATATACATCTTTTTACGACATATTTCCCAAAGACAGTCGCTCACCCAGGGCCCCAATTATACCCTGCAAGTAAGGCACTGCCATCGGCCTCCTATTGAGGACCAAGATATTTTCGGCCTGGCTGATTGAGTGGGGCAACGAAAAGTCCATGTCTGGGAGGATACTCCTAGTCCTTAAGTCACTTTAGTCTTTGTGTTACATCCTCACCAGAAAGATTTCCACATTGCTCCCACCCTATGCCGGGGTGCTCCGCCTGTGGCCCCTTGTTGCTGTCAACCACACTGAAGGTGACCTGCAGTGAGGCTGTACAAAGGTTGAAATGTGATTCCAACTCCCTTCACCAAGTTTTGGCATGCCTCAAAACTGGGTGCTGCAAAAATGGGGGTGACCGGAAATCCTCAAGTGGTCCTTACTTGTCAAATAAGTGTTGACCGCAATCCATCGAAGGGTAACGCCACCCCAATAAAGTCGGATGGTTTTTCATCTGAGTTTGTCATCAGATAGCCCCAAAATCCAAGAGTTCATCCATCTGTTTCGATATTTTCCCACATTTTCCCCATGAAACATGGTGAAACCAAGCCGAGCCGGCACCTGATCCCCTGGAAACGCTCCCTGCAGCGCGGTCTTCAGCACAAAGACGTCCTGGCACGGCAGTGCACCTGTCAAGGCTTGGCCCACCCCAACAAAAAGGCTGGAAAACCCATAGGAAAACCCATGGAAAATCCGCAAGAAAAGCCCTGAAGCCATCGTTGAAACCCAGTTGTTTTATCACTTCGAAAGTCAAATATGTGTTCTTGTTGCCATGGTCATCTAGCCTGCAGCCCTCGAAAGACCGGGATCTGCCCGTGGCCCCATGCTGCTCCTTCCCATAGATGGCAGCTGTGTCGGCGCTTTCAATGAAGCCATAGCCCTTCGTCTCATTGAAGGACCTCAGGCTGAAATCCACGAACTCTGCCAGCTTTGAAGGCACAAGTCTCCACAACATCAAACAAATCTGGTGGATTTCTAGGTCAAACTCCAGTCACGGCAAGCCAGAATTCTGCGATTGCCTGGGCTATTCTAATTGAATTATATTTAATGGGTGATACATGGTGATACCATGTTAGTAGCAAATGACATCACGAAAACATGGAGGTAAGCTCAGATTTTAATCAACCATGCTATTTTGAGGCATTTCGCTGAGACTTTGAAGGCCCTGAGACTGTGGCTTCACCACCCCTCGATACTGCGCCATGGTGACGCGGCGGTGGCAGCACTTGAGCCCGTCTGGTGACATTGAAGGGATCATCCACTGGAAAACACCAGAGGTGGCAAAAACATGCAAAAACCATGGTTTCCTGGGTTTCCTGTGAAGCGTCCCTCGAATCCTCAAATCCATCTTATCTTTGGCTATCATCCCATATCATCCCGAGTCTTTGTCGCATATGAACTTCATATCCCTTACATAGCTGTCCCCCAGTCTTCCCAGCATCCAACCCACTCCCGTCTTCGCCACGCCAACTTTTGGTCATTGGCCGGGACTGACACCATCGCAGTCCGATAGTCGCGCCATGCTCACCTCGTGCGCCCAAACTCCGGCCATAATCTTTTGAGTATCCCCCAATCAGAGAACCCCAATTGATTGAGGAAGCCACCGTTGCGGTCACCAACACAAGAAAGAACACCGCACTTGGAACCCCTCAAAGAAGGAGATTTGGATCCACACTTTTGAAAACATCAAAATAGTCCATGACCTGCGGGCAGGTAATGATGTTTTATGTCATCCCCAGATGAGACCCTGAGACCCCTGTCTCTACTGAGGTGGTACTGTTTTGGAAGCCTCCAAGGCATCCCAAGGCATCCCAAGGCATCCCAAGGCAAACACCCTGAGCTTGACACGGCGCAGCGAAGGTCTTTTGAGCTGGGTACCTGCACCAACTGCAGCTTTTCGAATCCCAAATTTGCAGATCTGAATTCATGTTGACGCAATTTTCGAAGCCACGGGCTGTCACTTCGTGAAGTTCTGGTTTCTCTTCAGCACCATTGCAGCTGCTTTCTGTGTCGCCACATTTCTATCAGCCAAGGCTGGGATCAGCCGCTAAGGTCACATGGCAGGCACCAGCACTCCCAAGGGAACTGCGCCTGGACTTGGAAATTCAAACACAAGCGGATCGCCAGCACTTTTTTGCTCATGCCGTCATTGAAGATTCACCGGCTGCATTGATATTTATATAATGATATTTATACGTTGATCCTGGATGCCAAAAAAAATGCCTTTGGAGATAGTTTGTCAGAAGACGGCCAGCCACAACTCCTGAATCCGCTGAGATTGCCTAGTGAATACAACACGTGATCCACACCCAGTCAATAGGTTCTATGAGCAAAACACAACTGTCTTTGATTCCCATAATTGGTGAGGGAAAAATTCAGCCCGATATCTCTTCGTCCTTCGGTCTCCAACCACCAAGAGCAAATAGCTGGAGAAAACCCCGGTGCCCTTGAGCAGACGGGCCTGGATGTGCGCTCGCACGCGCCTGGATTCAATGGGGAAGTGGAGGGGAGCCAGGGTTTCAGGGGGAGCAAAAAAGACAGGCCATGTGATTTTGAAGTGGACCAAATATGTGCCAATACATGTGACGCAGGCTGGGAGCAGCCCTGAATAGAGGGATGTTGGTGCATCACCTCATTGTACTGCTTCAGCAACCGAATTATAATCTCTTTTAGATAGTTGGCATGTCCACAGACCCATGTCCGCCAGCTAGTGGTCATCTGTGGGATTACAACCCCAACACACAACTGGGTTCTACAGTAACCCCAAACCGAAACACTGCCAAGATGAGGGGAATACCCCAGTCGCACAGCATTCACTATCCAAGCTCGAGGTCACAGAGTTTTAAAACCAGAAGCCAATTTTTTCCATGAAAATGGCCAGAAGTTGGAGGCCCAATCCCCCATCGTTCAGACCCAGCTGGGAACCCAAGACCCCCGGCCTGTCGTGCACCGTTTGCTTGCTGCGTGGCTTCTGCCGCCTGCTGAGCGATGCAGGCGCGCTGATGAGCCACCTGACAGGTCAATCCAACGAGGCATTCCGGGAGATACATACGGATTCATAACAACCCAAACAAGCTGGCAGCAGGTGCACAAGGATGTCTGAATCGTTCTAGGAAAGCTACCAAGCTTGAAAAATATCTGATGCAGCACCGAAAGCTTCAGCCCTTTGGAGTTACATGTTTCCAATTTCCCATAGTTGGCCCGCAAAGCTGGCGCCTGTTGCTGCGCAGCAGTCTGTTGGACCTGGGCGGCTTCGCCACCCCATGCTCCAAAAATCCTCAGGATGTCGTACAGACCTCCCTACCTTGGTCATAATTCATGGCTCTTCAGATGGGCCCATGGTTACACTTTTTTCCGGGTCAAATCGAAGCAACCAGCCTGGAGTTCTTTCATCTCCTCATTGTACTGCAATTGAGTCTGCAACGAGCCGCAAACAACTTGGGATTCAGGGTTGTCACGTGGACCAGCAGGCTGAACGTTCAAATACTGGTCAGTAAGTGCCCTGGGGTTGTCCAATTTATAGCAGGCGTATTTCAGGGATATAATGTGATTTAATGTGATTCATGATGTGATTATCCTACACTATGGTACATTTCTACTATTTTGTTCCATGTTGACTGCTATATCACTAAGCACTCGGGATGAACAACCCGGGATCGCACTGAGCACCTCATACTGCTTCTTCTGAAACTGATACTGCTGATACAACAGATCCTGCGACCAGTGTGACTGCTCTGAGCAGAGCTCAAAACCCGAAAGGTCATTCCATAAAATACTGTTTGATTTAAGAGGAATTTCCAAAATGGATTATGATAATCCCCTACCAGTAGTTGGGGTTTTCAACCCCAAAAATCTGAAAGTCAGTTGGGATTATGATCCCATTTCTATGGTTGAACATAGAAATTCCTGTTTATGCCGGGCAAACTTCCCATGTGTTATGCTGCATAACCCATATATTATCAATGTACATATATCTATTTATATATATATACCATATTTATATAATATGATATAATATAATATAATGAAATGTAATACAATAACATACAATATAATACAATATAATATAGTATAATATAACATAATATAATACAATATATGTAATTGATAATAAAAACAACCATAATAATAATAATATATAATCATGTATATAATTATGTATATAATTACATATATATAATTATATATACAATAATATAAATATATATACATACGATAATATATGATAATATATATATATGATAATATATATATATAACAATATATATAATAATAGATATATACAATAATAAATATAATAATATCAAAATATAATAATAAATGATAACATATTTAATCAAAACAAAATAATATACAATAATATATATATATAATATGTATTATTTAAAAAAGATATATGTATATATAATTATATTTGTAATTATATATATATAATAATATAAATAATAATAATATCTATTTATAAAATAATATAAATAATAATATATATATATAATAATATATATAATAATATATAATAATATATATATAACAATTATATATATAACAATATATGTAATAATATGTATATAATAATATATATATATATCATAATATATATAATAATATATATATATATAATCCGCCGACCCCAGCCAGCTGCAGAGGCAGCGCGCCCGAGAAAAAGTGGCTTTGCAGCGCCCTTGGCAGCCCAGCAGCATGTCCTTTGGCCACCTGCCGGGCGCTTTCCTTGACTTTTTCTCCTGGTTTCAGAAAGCAACGTTAGGCACTAGGCTGCCCTTAAACGCCTCCCGGCGCCCTAGGCTGCCCTTAAACCCTTCCCGGCGCCCTTGGCGGCCCAGCAGCATGTCCTTTGGCCACCTGCCGGGCGCTTTCCTTGAGATTTTCTCCTGGTTTCAGAAAGCAACGTTAGCCCCAGAATCAAATGCTTGTCACAGAAACTTGGGCATTCTCGTCCACAAAATGGCCTCTGGGAAACTGACAATTCACGAAATGAATCTGTGGGCACAAAAACCTGCAACATTCGAATGTTTTCCGCACAACCAAGAAACATACGTCGTGTTAATCAAAAGCCTCCGGTCAACAGAATTGATTAAGGCCCTATCAGAAATGTCACGACCTCAGGAAAGTTCGAACATCCACCAAACATACCACCCTAGGATGTTCTGATGCCTATATCTAAATTGCCTGCAAACACAAAAACCAAAAACACTAAGCATGATGACGTGTAACTTCCTTGGTGATGGCAACAAGTGATTCCATACTTGCAAGAACCCAGCACCCATCGCTGCTGGGTATTGTTTTCCTTTCGGCGCACCCAGTCATTCATCCGTTCTCTTGCTCCTCTTCCTCTGCCTTTCGCTTCTCAGGGCAAAACTTTCTCCATGTGTCTCCCGTTGGCGGCGCTACTTCCAGATAATGTCGCCAAATGGCTTTGTCCAGCGCACATCTGAAGCCTCCGATATACAAGGCGATCATTTTTTGTTCATGAGGTTCCAGCTTTTTCCAGAAGTATTCACCTAAGTTACGTTGACTCCAGTAATGACCGCTGAGGGCAACATCTCGCGCAAGATAACCGTGAAGAGCTTGTTCTGTCATCGAGCGTTTCCTCTCACATCCAGACTGAAGATTGTAGCATTGTCTTGGGCCGGGTCCACCGCTGGACACTTTGTCGCGGAGATGCGAACATTCCTTGAAGATGTCACGCGACAGCAGGGCTAAATTTTTCAATGCATAGCCGGAGCCTTTCATTCCAGGCAACTCTTGCAACACCTTCCACTGCCTTCTCTCTTCTGCCGCCTTCGAACTTGTAGCCAGCGCTTCGAATGTCTCAAAAACCTTTGTGATCGACGGCAAGTTCTGCTTGGCTAACCTGCACAAGCAAGCGTGCCGCAGAGCTTGCGCAGCAGCAGCAGCTCGTCCAGGAAAGGGTCTGATGTTCTCCGCGTTGGCAATCTCGTCTTCGCTTTCCGGCTCTTGATCCAACAACATTGCATCCGATCTGCTTGCGAGATGCCATGTGTTCGCATGAATCTTCTGAGGCGAATATCTTTTGTGAAACGGCAGCGTTGGAATCTGCAAAGCATCCCCGAAAATTGTCGCAAGGTTCTTCGTCGAGCCAGATGCTAATAGATCCCACTTTATTGTTGCAGCCTTCTCCTGAAGCCATCTCAGCATGCCGTCGGATCCAGTGAAGAAGACAAA